GAACAAAGTAATATAATTTGTTATTATATCTCAGCTGTATAGAAGACAACCGAAATCGGAGCTCTCTACTGGCATTATTTATTGTTTTATTTCCGTGGAATACAGATTTGAAAAGCTTCCTATGCAATAAGTTTTAATAAACAGTTCCGCAGTTAGCAATATGTAGAGCCTAACTGACGAAATTTGGAAAAAACATTTGAAATTCAATCATGAAATCAAGATGAGTGACATTATCGCTTCCAGGGACGGAACTTAATTTGGTGGTGACTTTGGAAATGACGTAACATTTTAACAATCGCTGCTTCATTAACGAACCCCTCAAAAAGATCAGGTCAGTCAACAATATATACTTGCACCAAATTGAATCAGAAATACGATCGATTTACGATTCAGATCTCATTCGTTTCTTGTCCTCCTTTTCTGAGACATACCAGACACCCTGATCCTGAAGGCTTCCAGTCACAACTCGTCTCTGTACGACACCTGTGGGAATACCAGGACTTTTACAAGCAAACAGAAATTGTATAAATGTACCAGTGTTACGGTAATTTGTTATCTTTTTTTTCTACAGTCATTGACCTAAACGAAAGACCATTAACAATTTTATGACAGTCATGTATTTTCATCAAACGAAACCGGTTTGAGAATTCTTCTATAATGCTGTTGATAAGGAAGGAATAACGATCGAAACTACAGGTTGAGGAAATGCTTTTCACGTTTCAGTTACGTTTAAAGATTATTACACAAGATTTTGATTATAACCTGAATATTTTTGTGATTATTTCAAACGACTGAAAAGTACAATCATTATATGATATAATGTTGTTGCGTACATTGAAGATCGTGTACTTTCTATGCTTACTTTGTATCATTTTCAAGTTGCTTCATGCATGAAAGTATGCTTATGTGTTTCAACATTGTAAGTACTTTCATTGCTCATGTATTATAAACTCTTCATAACTGAAGTAAAAAAGGAAGTAATGACAGTGACGCACGTTAGTTTGTCGGTTGGTTCCCTTGATGTATACCTTGTTCTCATTACTTGCTTTGATTAGCCAAGGTTTACATGGCGGATGTCATCGATGAAGCAGAAGATGCTTACTCTTCAGGAACACCTGGTCTTTTTCTCTTTGTACTTGTTTCTGAGAATCCATGTAAGTCTTTCTTTTTGCCCTAGTTTTATTGAATTAGAGTTTAATTATGATATGTTGGTAAATCTCAACAGAAATATTTCGTGACAATTTGTTCGTAATTTTTGTTGGAACGGTTATAAATGATGAAAAGAATCATATACAAATAGTACCATCATGTTTGTTGTATATTTTGTCAGCCACATTTCTGCAACATACAGGATAATACCACGAGACAATCAACACTAATTCATTTCCACTGCAGTCCTAGTTAACTACTAAAACCAAGTTTACATTGTAATTGTAATGTAATTCAGAATAGCTTTCAGAAGTGCGAGCCTATCACATGTCATTTTTGTGTGATGTCAATACCTATAAAAAGAAATAAAATAGAGAAGTGACATGACGTCAACAATTGCTTGAAGTGACATCATGCCAAGAACAGACGAGTTTCATTGCTTCAACAGACAAAATGTAGTTGCCTCCATAACAGTGATGTGGTATTGTGTCGGAACTGACAGAGACATGGTACGGCCTCGACAATGAAAAGGTGGCATTGTGTCGGAACTGACAGAGAAGTGGCATACTTAGAAAACGAACAAGGTGGCAAAGTACCGACAACAGAGAAATGGAATGGCCTCGAAAACTAAGAGGTGGCATGACCTTGACAGTAAAGTGGTGGCATGGCCTCGACCCAAATATGGCTCGGCTTCGACATTTTGTAAATGGCATGACCACTTCAACAGCAAGTGGCATTACGCCTCCATTTATTCTTATAAGCGTTTCCTTCATTTTAACATAAGTTGCTGGTTTTATCTTAATATAGAAGTTAATTTCATAACAATATAATACCTTCTGAGTTATTAATTTGATTTCATTCCTTTCTTTTAATCTCACTATGGACTACATATATGTGCACGTTAATGTCACAATTACGAGATATTCAAACATTCAGTACTGCAAATTATTTGAAATAATTACTTGTAGTAAAAATCTATATTGTGTTGTACCATTTATTTTTACATTAAGATGCATCATGTTTGTAAATTTCATGTCCTCATGTACAATTTCTTCAATGTCTTCACTTTCATCATTTAAAGCAACATCTATCAAATGTATCGTGTTTATGTTGCACTTTCGGTGAATCTTTATTACAGTTTATATTTTAACGATAGTATTCATAGTAATACCACAGGTAAGACAAAGTGTGTGGTATTTATAATAACGCCGGATTTCATCATTTGAAGATTGGTTCTACGATCAAACAAGCTTACAAATCTCAAACTTTTATCATTGTAATGAACCCTTTTTGACATTTATGTGTACTTTTTAACATTTTGATAATATTTTAATCATTAAGACGGAAATTCCAAAATGGCTGCAAAATTATCAATAGCACAGTTATAATATTTACATCATCGATATGCATTGTTGTTTTCTTCTCGGCATAAAGTTGTTAGTTTTATCCATATCTGCTTTATGTGTTTGACGCTTACTCTTCTGAAACACCTGGTTTTATTATCCTTGTACTTTCCATGAATCTCCGTGTAAATCTTTATGAAATTTGAGTTTGAATTATGATTATGTTGCCATTGTAAGATGTTTTTCATACAACTCAAGGTTTTGTGAGCGGTAGATTGAAGATGACTTTAAATTATGGGGTCATGATTGAAAATATTCAAAGAGGAAGCAAAGAACACTTATCTTTATGGAATTCCGGGTCGCCTTTCCCCACTTTTCATAGTGTATCTGTAATTCTTTCTTCTGATTCGCCGTAGCTTTAAGAGTTAAAATTAACAATAGATTACACAAGAGAGGCTTGTAACTAAATTATCGATACAGAATTTTCTAGACGAAGACGGAAAATGAAAGTCCGCAATAAAGTTTGGAGTTGCACACCATAATCTTCTATACAAGGAATAAGGAACAAGACAAGTCTTAACCAGAAAGTCAGAACCGATAAACTGTTGACTGACGAATAACCGGTTCCCAGAGTTATCTGTAACTCATGGCATCTAATTTTTCATTGATTCAGAGTTATTCCACCAACATGGTGCCGAAGAATCAACTTCCCTTTCCATATGTCAATTGATATTGTAGAAAATATTTTCTTTCATGTTTAATCATTTAGAAATCGTATCGTTTCTACCACACTAACGTTATACTGCAGTAATTTCAGTCTCACACAAAATGTCCATAAGTCAAATATGCGTAATAGTAAGCAGATATTCACAGAAAACATCTTTACGTATTTTATTTGCTTTTCTTTTCAAACTCAATGTAATCACATTTTCAGATAAAATTTTAGTTTTTTAGTTTGCCACAACTCAAAATCGTCAATTCGCCACATTTTGAAGCTGAGACGTAGTAGATTGTCTAGACATAATAAAGTTTATAATTCAGATACTATTACAGATCCAAAACTACAATTGATGTAATCCTTCCTTTTCTGTCCAAGTGAAAATCATTCAGGTTGGAATTATTCCTTTGTCGAACATGTAGGACTGGGCTGATTTCTAAACCTTATGTGGTGTGGTTAACAGTCGCAAATTTATAGGAAGTCGATAGCTCCCGTTTGATGATGGCACTCTTATCATCATCGATAGATTTTCGAAAATCGCTCTCGTTCATGTATATATATACTTTTTCAACAATTTTCTTTCCATTCCAGGTACTGCTGAATATCCAGTTGACTTGTCCGATGACCCAGATCGAACTATCTACACATAATCCAATTTCCCAAGACGAAGCGTTAGCTATTCATGCTTCAATTGTTTGAGTAATATAATGTTTCAGGTTACTGGTAAGTGATAGGGATACACGGCTTTCAGTTCATTCCTAAACACCACAAGAATGAAAAATAATATTTTATTGTCGACTCGGCCAGTTGTTCAGTCAACCTTTGTCCAGGCTTTCTGCTATGATTCTCGGTACTGTCAACTCATACTCATGTTGTGATGTCATGTACTCCGAAGGCGCGATTCGTTTGGTGCAAGTTTGGAGAACTTTGGGGGTGCTTTTGGCCGTGCAAGGGCATCCTCTATGGATATCTATCTTCTAGGGGAGCATTTGATCTTTCCATTAATGTGATCATTCCAGACCGATGGAAGCCTCCGTTCTCCGGTCATTGGATCTTTCTCAGCGACGGAAACTGTGCAGTTAAATTATTGTAGAGAAGCGTTTCATGTATGTGCTAGTGGCTTGGTTCCGGCTGACTGACTTCGTTGAGTTTGGTTGTGACATCTTCCAACAGACTGTTGGGATACAATGTACTCATTACTCATAGGAACTAACAGAGTGCCTCTCTTTTTCAACTTCTTTTTTTTCAGTATCCAAACAATTCTAAATGTAAACCATTCATGTTACATAGACAAGGATAATTCTTACATAAAGGAAGCTGCGTCAAGACAATTATAATTGTAACCAATTAGGAATGTTACCTAGGCAACGCTAATTGTTACATATAGGGAATGATATCCAGACAATTATGATCGTAACTAATAAGGAATGTTACCTAGGCAACGCTAATTGTTACATATAGGGAAACGCTAATTGTTACATATAGGGAATGATATCCAGACAATTGTGATCGTAACTAATAAGGAATGTTACCTAGGCAACGCTAATTGTTACATATAGGGAATGATATCCAGACAATTATGATCGTAACTAATAAGGAATGTTACCTAGGCAACGCTAATTGTTACATATAGGGAATGATATCCAGACAATTATGATCGTAACTAATAAGGAATGTTACCTAGGCAACGCTAATTGTTACATACAGCGAATGATATCCAGACAATTTTGATATACCCTTATACCATATCATCTTATATCTGAATTCCGGTATGGAGAAAAGCAACCTGATTTCAAAATGCAGAAAAGCTTTTATTCAATAACAACCTTGCAAACGGACCCACTAACATAATAATTGATAAACAATGGCTACATTTTCTGTTTTATATTGTCAACAATATGTGGTAGGTTTCTATGGAAAAAATATATTTCATATAATAAATATATGAAAAATTTGTAATTGCTCTGTGAGTCTGCTTTCAGAAATACATGGCATCACATTTGGACAATTAACACTGATACAACACATTGGAAAACTGGCCATAGAAATGATAGTACACTTGATAAATAGCACCTTTCAGCACAAATTTAGTACTCAATGCAGTATAAGTAATGAATTACACATTCAGCAGTTTTGTCCTTCTAGGACCTATTGGTGGCACCCTGGGCCTTATATGTGAAATCTAAAAGATGGTTTAATGGTAAGTAAGGGAAACCCAAATCAGCGTTTAGACTGTACCGAAACAGATGTTAAATATAGATTGGGAGGTGCATTAAATGCAACATTCCAATAATTTCCACAAAATTTCAACATAAGATTATTTAAAAAAAAGGTCAACTATGTCACATTAGTGTGTTGTTTATAGAAACAGTATATATTAAAAACAATTTATATAGAAACACACTATAATATCAGTACAATGTTTTTGGTTAAAACAACAAAATGCAAATAATCTATGGAAATATTTTCAAAAATATAACTGAGATTCTAGAAAAGCCTGTTCATGTGTTTTAACAGATGAACAACGTACATCATAATGTAATTTTCGACAAGGGCATCATTTTTCCTTAATTCAATTTGTTTATTTCTTATAAATATGTTGCTATGATATGTATATTCACTGATACGTGTTCATAAATACAGAAAATTGTAGTGCTCTCAACTGAAATTGTTCTACTATAAATTCAATCAATCTTAGACAAGCACACACAGTTTTAATACTTTATGTAAAATCCAGTAATTCATCATGGTAAACTATCTAAAGATGGATTATTGATTTTGAAAAATTCTTCTGTTACAAAATACAAAATGATGTTGTCTTGATAAAAAAACTTTTACTTCTTTTCTCAGCATTTTTATACAATTAGATCAAGTCTTCACAAAGGGGCAGATCATGTCTTAACAAAGGAGTTTATAATGTTTTCACCAAAGGGCAGATCACTTCTTCACCAAAGGGCAGATCACTTGTGCACCAAGGGGCAAATCACTTTGAAAATCTGATGTATATATCTTTGTTCTCTTACTATTTATCTATGTATATACTTACTATTTATCTATGTATATACTTACTATTTATCTATGTATATAAAGTATTAAGCATACAACAAACAAGATAATGACCATATAACTCACCAGACTTATCAATAAATGTGTATAAAGGATATGAATTTCTGTACATAATATTGCATGAAAAGGTAATGAAACACAGGATTTGGTAACATTAACAAAATGTATACAAATTTTGTTTATAAACAATAAAATAGTAATATCTTAACTCAATGAATATATCATTAGGTTGTGACCTCACACATAAAACTATGTAATCCTACAGATAATCATAACCCAAACAATTTAGGTGTACCACAATACATGTAATACAATGTATGTGATTGTTGCTATGGCACAGGTAATAGAGAAATCATAAATGTTACCCTGTAAATAAAAAATACAGGACGATTTTGACCTTTTGGCAGCTCTTACAGAGAAACATATATATAAATGTATATACAGGGTGACATTTCTCTCGTTGTAGCGAGATCATACAATTGATTATAGGAGTACAATGAAAAAGCAGCAGTCATAAAGATATAGCATGTACACTGACATATAAGAGTTCAATCAAGGCTATTCTATTGACTTAAGTCTTCATCAGTGACTTCCGGGCAGTGGTTTGACTCAATATCACTGGGTATGTAATTAAAAATTGTAAGTCATTCCATTCCAACATCTAATATCGGAGTTACAGAAAATCATGAATGGGGCATAATTCATGAGAAAATTAATGAAATAAAACAAAATCTCGAACACACAGCTATGTTGGCTATGAACACCAACTTCTGCAAGGAATGAGCACCATAATGTTGTTGTCCTGAACTTCTATCTAAACAGTAGAAGAGGCATAACTCCAAGAAAGTGGTCAAAATGAAAAAAAAATACACACACACAACATGTACCAATAGTACTGATAACTTGCCTCCAGTTTATCTTATTAAATGAAATTTACATCTGACAGCAGACAATCCTCAAGTCTCTGAATACAGCTTAGCTACATTCAGCACATCACGAAAAGGAACAAAACTCTAAAGAAAGCTCAAAAAAAAAAAAAAAATTACATTATACCACTGTATAAGCACTAATCACAAGTTTGCTGGGTTTATTGCCCAGTGAACAGCCAGGTTCATTCTGAGGGTTTCCTTGTAGTAGCTGGTGGCTACCTCACTGAACAAAATATGAGAGGCCCATCACATACCATCCAGGGCAACTAGGGTAAAGTGTTTTGCCGAATAACAGAACCAGGTCAGCACAGACCAGTCCCTTTTTCTGATTAGCTCCCTGGTAAACACAAACCACCATGAATCACAAAACTTTGGATCTTAACCAACAATTACATGGGCCAATGGTCTATCAACTGTACTATCATGGTCCCACCAGATCATGAGAACGGAGTTTCATCAGTCAAGTGAGTAAAAAGTCAGTTTTAAAGACAGCAAATGAGTAAACAGATGGACAGATGGACAGACAAACAGACAACCAGGCAGGACACACTGATTCCTTCATATCCCTCCAACAAATGAAACAGCAAGGTTTAAGTATACAATGCATATATGCATGTATAAGCATCAGATGATATGTGTCTTATGCTTCAAATGAGCCACTATTGGATGCCTTAATTTGTGAGGCTTAAGAAAAAGAATGATGTGGAATTTTTTTTCGAAATAGTAATAATATTTCAAAATGTTATTTCTATAACATATGAAAATACACAATATCTATTTGTTGTCATTAAGCCTACAGGAAGTTGACTTACTACAGGACAAATACAATTAAAATCAAGGTAAGGGGGTTATTTGAGGACATAGCTGATACCATATCTACAATAACAGTACAACAGTCATATTATGACAAAAAAGTCATACAAACAAATGCTTAGTTTACCTTTAAATTTATCACAGGTTTATGTTACATATTCAGTAACTAGTAGCTAATTTTGTAGTATTTTTATCAACTCAAAAGTGAAGTAAAACAAAGAAAGCTTAAAGCTAAATGTATAACTTTTCAAAAATCTTAAAAAAAAAAAAAAGTTTAGCCATTGATTTGTAAAAAATAACAATAAATATTTATGATTAAGTACATAAACCCATCAGGATTGCATCACACTCTAAGGAATGAACATAATTACTTCACCTCCGTAGAAAATCTCCACCAGGTAATTTGTTATCAAACTCTTAAAAGATTGAGGATATTTGTTTCATTTTTTTCTACTTTGAACTCTGTTTTGATAAACAAAGCCTTGTATATTTCCATTGATATTCAAGTTACAGACCACATGTGATATGTGAATATACCTAGCATATACAAGTACATTTTGTACATATGAATTGGTATCAACTTTCAATATTCTTGATCTACAGTGCTTACCTAAGTGCAAAATACATTGCATATGAATCACAGGTAATATTTATGAAATTCATTCCCCTACAGCTTTAAGTTACATACAACATGGAATGTACATAAATTCCATATTCCATCTGAAATAAGTAACGACAACTTGAGAATCTCTCATGAACCATACTCAGTTATGTTTTAAAAAAAAACAAAAACAAAAAAATTAAAAATGAAGAAAAATCTAACAAAAAATGTTAATGGGAGTATATATGATAGGATTTCAAAGCTATAACTAAATGCATCATGATATTTTTTCTCTTTGGGACCACAAAATAACAATAAAACATTTGTCAAAATATAATTGATATTTTGGTATTTCTTGCATGCAAACATTGGTTCTTATGGTATATGAATATTTTCTCTTTTATAAAACTAATATGACACACACAAAAAAAAAAAACTTTCATGAATTATATATGAAACCATTAAAATAAAATTAAATGTTAAGTACAAAAGCATATTACATAAATATAAACAGCCATGTTATATCAATACTGTAGGTAGCAGTTGAAGTATCTGTGAACATAATCGACAGATCTCCGTCCACTAACAGGAGAAGATAATTCATCTCCAATAGGAACATATTGTACATTATGTACACCTACCCCAACAGTTTAATCAGCTCACTATTAGGTGACTATTAATTACCAGGGGGTACTGATAAACAAATTTTTTGAAGTGTAGATAGGATATAAGAAATCCACGATGGGGTAGCTCCCATGTTGAGATTCTGATAGAAATATGATGGAGTGGTATTATGTATAGACATTTTTCAACAAGTTCTTCCCCTCTTCAGCATCAGATTGGTAGTTCCTCTGATTGTGCCCAAACTTCAGAAAGTTACCAAACTGGAAAGAAAGTAAAGCTTTTGATTAGAATGTGTGATAAATAATGTACTAGAATTTGGGCTAACAGCATCAGTGTATCAACATTACTAAGGCAGCCAATTATATTGATAAAGTTTTGAAATATCAATATGTTTTCATTTTTATCTTTGTTTTCCAAAAACAAATTATTCAATATATGCTTTATAGATAACAAAACAATTTCGTTTTCTAATTTAGTTGTAGATTGAGAATGCCTCAGGAAATAGAATATTACTGGACACTGTATTGATATATCAATATTTCTGTTGGATAATATAATGATCAGTCTTCCCTTCAATGTTGATATGTTAAATGCTAGTCCAGCACTTTGATCAGATTTCTTAACAGTGACAAATCCCAATATTAAACACAACAGGTCTGGAGCAAATCCTGCAAATGGTGCATCATCAATTAAGTAGCATTTGATTTTTTTTTAAGAAATGAGGCTTTACATACAAAAACTGATTTTACTGACAGGTGTGTAAAGCTTATGATTATCTGTAATTTTGAGTTAGAAAGGAAATTAAAAAGTCTGTATTGCAGTAAATGACTTAATTGAATTTGTGCTTGGTTAACAGAATTTTTTTTTCTTTTTTCAAAATTTGCCTGCAAGTTAGTAATCTCCTCCCTCATCCCTCTGTATCAGTAACAAATTACCCTGTGTCTGTGTCTGGTGAAGATGAAGACAGAAATGACAATACAAGTGAGGAAGATAATCCAACTGTAATAGGCTATTGTGTCCATCTGTACATCCGCATCCTCATTCTTTTTCTGAAGACTTGATGTGACAACACCTTCTTTGGGAGGGGGATAGTTCTTCTCATCTGTATCAAAATAAAACTTGTATGTACAATAGGTGAAGGTCATTTGTTAGTACACAGTATGTAGAAACTTAAGTTATATAAACAAAGGTCATTGCTAGCATGCACAAATCTTTTACTGACAAAGGTCTACACAAGCATGTGAAAGTTGTATACATTGTACAGCTAAATCTAAGGGCATCATCAGTATGTGTTAATTATAAAGGCAATCGTCAATGACAGAATGTATCAAACCATGTTCTGTTTAGACAGGTCAACCAAAATCTAGTTGGTTTATAAGGTCTATATCTGGATTATGTTGGGTTCGGTTTAGACAGGTCACCCAAAATTTAGTTGGTTTATAAGGTCTATATCTGGATTATTTTGGGTTCGGTTTAGACGGGTCACCCAAAATCTAGTTGGTTTATAAGGTCTATATCTGGATTATGTTGGGTTCTGTTTAGACAGGTCACCCAAAATCTAGTTGGTTTATAAGGTCTATATCTGGATTATTTTGGGTTCAGTTTAGACAGGTCACCCAAAATCTAGTTGGTTTATAAGGTCTATATCTGGATTATTTTGAGTTCAGTTTAGACGGGTCACCCCCAATTTAGTTGGTTTATAAGGTCTATATCTGGATTATGTTGGGTTCGGTTTAGACGGGTCAACCTTAATTTAGTTGGTTTATAAGGTCTATATCTGGATTATGTTGGGTTCGGTTTAGACAGGTCACCCCAATTTAGTTGGTTTATAAGATCTATATCTGGATTATTTTGGGTTCAGTTTATACAGGTCACCCAAAATCTAGTTGGTTTATAAGGTCTATATCTGGATTATGTTGGGTTCTGTTTAGACCACCCAAAATTTAGTTGGTTTATAAGGTCTATATCTGGATTATGTTGGGTTCTGTTTAGACGGGTCACCCAAAATCTAGTTGGTTTATAAGGTCTATATCTGGATTATGTTGGGTTCTGTTTAGACGGGTCACCCAAAATTTAGTTGGTTTATAAGGTCTATATCTGGATTATGTTGGGTTCTGTTTAGACGGGTCACCCAAAATTTAGTTGGTTTATAAGGTCTATATCTGGATTATTTTGGGTTCAGTTTAGACGGGTCACCCAAAATTTAGTTGGTTTATAAGGTCTATATCTGGATTATGTTGGGTTCAGTCACCACCCAAAATTTAGTTGGTTTATAAGGTCTATATCTGGATTATTTTGAGTTCAGTTTAGACGGGTCACCCCCAATTTAGTTGGTTTATAAGGTCTATATCTGGATTATGTTGGGTTCTGTTTAGACGGGTCACCCAAAATCTAGTTGGTTTATAAGGTCTATATCTGGATTATGTTGGGTTCTGTTTAGACGGGTCACCCAAAATCTAGTTGGTTTATAAGGTCTATATCTGGATTATGTTGGGTTCTGTTTAGACGGGTCACCCAAAATCTAGTTGGTTTATAAGGTCTATATCTGGATTAATCTAGTTGGTTTATAAGGTCTATATCTGGATTATGTTGGGTTCGGTTTAGACGGGTCACCCAAAATCTAGTTGGTTTATAAGGTCTATATCTGGATTATGTTGGGTTCCGGGTCACCCAAAATCTAGTTGGTTTATAAGGTCTATATCTGGATTATGTTGGGTTCGGTTTAGACAGGTCACCCAAAATCTAGTTGGTTTATAAGGTCTATATCTGGATTATGTTGGGTTCGTTTAGACGGACCCAAAATCTAGTTGGTTTATAAGGTCTATATCTGGATTATGTTGGGTTCTGTTTAGACAGGTCACCCAAAATCTAGTTGGTTTATAAGGTCTATATCTGGATTATGTTGGGTTCAGTTTAGACAGGTCACCCAAAATCTAGTTGGTTTATAAGGTCTATATCTGATTATGTTGGGTTCAGTTTAGACGGGTCACCCAAAATCTAGTTGGTTTATAAGGTCTATATCTGGATTATGTTGGGTTCTGTTTAGACAGGTCACCCAAAATCTAGTTGGTTTATAAGGTCTATATCTGGATTATGTTGGGTTCGGTTTAGACGGGTCAACCTTAATTTAGTTGGTTTATAAGGTCTATATCTGGATTATGTTGGGTTCTGTTTAGACGGGTCACCCAAAATCTAGTTGGTTTATAAGGTCTATATCTGGATTATATTGGGTTCAGTTTAGACAGGTCACCCAAAATCTAGTTGGTTTATAAGGTCTATATCTGGATTATGTTGAGTTCTGTTTAGACGGGTCACCCAAAATCTAGTTGGTTTATAAGGTCTATATCTGGATTATGTTGGGTTCTGTTTAGACGGGTCACCCAAAATCTAGTTGGTTTATAAGGTCTATATCTGGATTATGTTGGGTTCAGTTTAGACGGGTCACCCAAAATCTAGTTGGTTTATAAGGTCTATATCTGGATTATGTTGGGTTCGGTTTAGACGGGTCACCCAAAATCTAGTTGGTTTATAAGGTCTATATCTGGATTATGTTGGGTTCGGTTTAGACGGGTCACCCAAAATCTAGTTGGTTTATAAGGTCTATATCTGGATTATGTTGGGTTCGGTTTAGACGGGTCACCCAAAATCTAGTTGGTTTATAAGGTCTATATCTGGATTATGTTGGGTTCGGTTTAGACAGGTCACCCAAAATTTAGTTGGTTTATAAGGTCTATATCTGGATTATTTTGGGTTCAGTTTAGACAGGTCACCCAAAATCTAGTTGGTTTATAAGGTCTATATCTGATTATGTTGGGTTCAGTTTAGACGGGTCACCCAAAATCTAGTTGGTTTATAAGGTCTATATCTGGATTATGTTGGGTTCTGTTTAGACAGGTCACCCAAAATCTAGTTGGTTTATAAGGTCTATATCTGGATTATGTTGGGTTCGGTTTAGACGGGTCAACCTTAATTTAGTTGGTTTATAAGGTCTATTTCTGGATTATATTGGGTTCAGTTTAGACAGGTCACCCAAAATCTAGTTGGTTTATAAGGTCTATATCTGGATTATTCAACAAATCAGTAATATAATGAAGGGTTCTGCACAGGTTTTCTTTATTACAAAGTCATTCTGGAATCAATATCAATGCTTTTGTTTATCTAAGTTCTACAATGTACATATCTTGATACAAAAAGATAGACTAGCTGAGAACAGTTTAAACAAGAGGCCTTACAGCCTTGGTGGTCACCTGAGATATTGAATATAAAGGTTAAAGGATAGTTATCAAGTGTCATGAAACAGACATTATGACACTGAATATAGTAAGCGCGTATCAATACATGCATACCATCAAAACTGTCATCCTATATGGATGATCCTTATAAAGTTATCTCCAGTGGGAAATAATCAACATGGTGCTCAGTAAGGAAATTTTTCTATGCAAGTTACAGTAAAGTCTTAAAAAGAAAAAAAAAAACCTTCCCCAGGAAAAAATGCGAGGCTCATTTTAGTGATTAAAGCACCTAAAGATGCGTCCATTCATGAAGAGTATTCGATTCTATCTCTGGCCCCTGGGAGGTAGGGCCTGTATTATTCACAATTTTGGTTCATCTCAGGTCAGGGAAGGTTTTTGCAAAATGTCATTGAAATTGGATCAGGGGTTTTTGAGAAGAAGTCAAAAATGTTAAATTGTTTACAAATGCACAACCCCGGATGAAGATGATTGGAATATGTCACCATGAGAATTGTGATTATGTAGCTAAGTTCCATTTCAGAAAGTATGATTTAAACATTTAACACTGCTAATGTTCAACATTTCATTCTTAATAAACACCAATAAAAGTTTTTACAATAAACTGCTCACCTCCAAATGTCTCCATTGACGGTTTGTAAGGGTTGTCAAGCACCTTTCCTTTGGGAATTAACTTCTCACCTATGTACAATATGGAAATAAAAGTGATTTCTGCTATGGAAAGAACACATGTTGCACATACAGACTTCGATGTGTTTTTATACAACATCTAAACAGAAGTGTTCTTATATTGATTTATGTCAACCAGCTTCGGTCAGCTTAACTTAATTCTGGGAAGTCCATTTGTATGATTCAACTTTTTGAAATATTTGTTTTAATGACATATTCCCAAGTTTACATTATGATATAGTATCCTATGTGATTCAATTTTTTTTTTCAACAAATTCCTAGAAATTGTATATTCCAAATTGTTCATACAAACAAATGCAATAATACCCAGTTCAATACCATGTTTCCTATTATTTAGATGTATGTTGTTTTGAATTACTAAATTCTTTCAATCTTATTTTAAAAAGGCTTGATATTTATATATTTACAGTTCCTTAATGCAATATTTAAAGCAATATCTTTATAAAATCTTGTTTTAAGAAAATTTCTTTCAACAAAATGGGAAAATGCATTCACAAAATGAGTAGATATCATATATGCATATACACTGTGATGTATAAACAATATCTATATTGGAAATCAATATCAACATCTGTTACAACCCTCCTATAATAAGGGCGAGACTTACTCAAAGTGTAACACATGCTATTAGAACATCTTGCTATACACACTCAGCCATGTATAAAAGTATATTTGGCTAAAAAAAATATAATAATAATTTGTGATTCTTGTTTTTGTCTGAAAACAAGAAATCTGCGGAAGTGGATGTGTCGCCTGCCCACCAATCCAAAGCAAGCACTTCTGATAAAGAAGCATGATATAAAGTTTGAGGTAGATTGGCCAAAGTGTACTCAAGCATAAACAAAAAAAAAAAAATATTCAAATTTAGTGATGGTGACCTTGACCTTTGGACCTGAAAAGCAATCCCAAGTGAGCACTTTGGTAAGGAAGCACTGTATGAAGTTTGAGATTGATCAGTCAAAGTGAACTCAAGTTATCGCGAAAAAAAATCCTTGTGAGGATGGTGGCACTAACGTCAACATAGTAATACCTATATGTTGCCTTTGGCAGGCAGGCAACACAAAATTTGGGGTTGGCAGGTAGAGGTTTTGTAATTTTTTTTATTCTGTCTTAAATTCTTTTTTAAACAAGGCAATTTGGCAAATTACAGTCCTCTATCAACTGTGACACTTTAAGCTTTGATTTAAGTCAATGGTCAAATTTTTTGTAGGTCCGAGTGACCTACTTTTGATATGTGACATACCATATCCCAAGTATTATGTTAACCTGATTATTTGTGTAAAAGATAGGGTCCTGACAAACTTTTTCTTCGATGTAGATTAAAGGTGAAAATGTGATATGCGACACACCATCTCACCAAAGTGAACCGCTCTCTAGTATTAAGTTCCTGTGATTAGTTGTGTAGATGACAGAGCCCAGACAAGATAGCAGAAGGATGGAAGGACAAAAAGAAACAACACGAAACTGTATTCCCCTCCTGTTCTTCATTTAGGACTGATAATGTTTGCATGCTTTTGTTTTCTAAAGCTTTGTATATTGATCAAGGAACAGATTATACACATGAGTTGGGTAGCACAAGTTTCATGTGTATATACTACGAGATGTTTATTACGCAGAATAACACAATCTGTGTCAGAACATCTATGCTTTTTTATGTTTGAAAATGATAGTACTATCACATGCCGAGTTTCAATGAAATTCCATTCAATAGCAGAGATGGAGTTATACACTGTACTTATTAGGTATCAGTCAGATAGACATATATAGACAAGTTAATTCCTATATACCCTCCCCTTATAAATTTCATCACCAAAATCAATGTTGGCATGGCAACCATAGTATCCCCAGATATGTCAAGTGTCTAAGGAGAATTTGCCACATGGTAATGGATCACCAGCAAACTAAAATTTAGAGCAATTTTTTACCAGTACATTGGAAACAAATATACATAGACTTGGAAGTACAGAAATATGGACAGTTGGGAAACAGGAAACACAGACTTTTCCCCCCTTTTTCTTTTGGCTTTACAAACAATATGAAATCTGAAGATTATGAGTACAAAAGTATGAAAAGAACCAATCAATATATTTTGATGAACTTTGACACTAACTGAGATACAACTAGCAAACATTAAGTCAGTAATTTCTTCTGTAGATATGTAAAACATAGTATAAATAAGGAAATCTTGTATCAAATCAACAAAAATTCCTGTGAGCAGATTTTAGCTTGTGTTGCTTAATTTTTTAATTGGAATAGTACCAACGGTAATCAAAGTATCTCTGCTAATCACATGCCAGTGTGACAATATCTGATTATTACATAATTTTAACACCAACTGTTAATTGGTTAGGTTTCACAAATACTTAATTTAGTGAACTTTCCTCTTCAGACATACCGTGTATTTGCCAATACTTGTTATTGGCAGATACTGATCTAAAATTGATTTTAGATTTGCAAATGATGGGCTAATAGAAACATGGACTCTGCAAGACTTCAATACTGGTAATTGAATCTACGTCAATGCCATTCAGAGTTGTCTTTTTATTACAAATATGAGGGATTTGAATTTGTGTTTGACTCCCATATTAGCAAGAAAATAAATTCCATATGAAACATGAGATTTATGCTATAAGAGAAGTACATAAGAAGTTGTACTTCTAACATGAAAAGGTCAATTTTCTTTCTTCTGTCTGGCTTGTCTGTTCCAGCGAGACAGCATTCTTCAATTCCATTGTACAAATTTCATTATTCTTGGATGTTCTTGTGTAAATTAGAAATCAAGTTAAAACCCCTTCACCCATGGATAATGATAAGAGAGACATTGACTACACTCTGAATTTGTTGGGTATAATACAAGATTTATATTCCTAACCAAATCAAAAGAAATTACAACCGCTATTATTTTTTATATTTAATGAATGACAGATACAATAGCACCATGTAACAAAATTAATTAGCCCTCTGAACTGGAACCAGTCACTTGCTTCAATAGAGGCATATCATTCATTGAAATTTTGTATAAGAGGTGTGAAAGTTTTTATTAATTATATGTACTATCCCTCTATATAGTGTATTATATTTCTGTAAATTTAATTGGCCAGTTAAATTCATCAAAAATGAAGAAGTGAGTACAAGAAATATTTGAAATGAAATCAGATAAGCTAGCTAGAAATCTTAACAATAAAAGTCAAAACTTAATAACACGGGCATCATACAACTTTACAAATGTCAATAAAAAGGCAAGGAAGATTACATAATGACTGCCATTTTTTGGGGTTCTACTTTTCCTAAATATTTATCACTATATTAAATCATGAAAAAAAAATGATATCTTGAGAAATATGGTAATGGTGAAAACTGTTGTTTGCCTTGAGACATTCTATTTGCCTTAAACCTTAAGCATGCTACTTAGGTACGGGTCTATTAAACTGTAATGAATACTTTCAGCTAAGTTTTAAAAATATTGGACAATAGATCTCATGCTTTAGTTTTAAGAAGGATTTTGCTTGTGTTTTCATATTGCTTATGGCCCATGGACAATTAAAGTCATTTAGAATCAATTTAAAGTTGTCTCATACAGGATTGATTGACAGTGTTATATTCTATATCATAAGTGTTTTTTTAATACTTTTATTCAATCCAGTAAAAATGTGGAGGACTCGATCAAAGAAATAGAGGCAGCCTTTTTTTGTGCCATTTTCATTTTAGGACATAAAGTCATTTTCTGTCTTATGACATCATAATGGATTTCTAACTGATACTGCAGATGAAAACACTCCCAGGTACATTATACGAATGTCCTATATGCAAAAATATTACATGGGCAAATTCACTGGATGACAGGCAAATTATGTGATTAAAAATTTTCCAATGACCCAATTTCACCAAATTAAAACAGATGCATTTGATTCTGTGATCTGTGAACAAGTATCGTTGAGGCTATGAAGTCACCTGCCTGACTACAAGGGTATGTATGTTTGTTTCCTCCTATCTAATCAATATAAACCGAGCCAATAAAAGTGTCATTTTTTTCTAAAAGTGTTCCATAGTTGTAATATATAAAGCAAAATTACAGAATGTTTGCACCCCACATGTAAGGGATCAAGACAAATAAACTCTTACTCCTGTGTCCCTCCAAAAATGACAGATATCCCTTGGACAATGTACAAGTGACTTCCAATACAATATCTTCTAAAGGAACTAGACCCATGCATTTCCTTACCTAGGGGGAAATTCCAATCATCATCACTGCCAAATGATGTTAGTTGACTATCATCTGTCAAAAATACATTGAGATTAAAAGAAGAAATTGACTCTATTCCCATGCATGAATATCATAGTTCAATGAATTTTCAGTAGTTGTCAAATGTTACCTTTGACCCTTTAACCTTGACCGATGACCACCATAATATGATAAGGATGAAACGTGACAATACAAACAAATAGATATGGGTAACATTATATGGCCCCTCTCTCTTTGTATTTTGTATTGTATTGTGTAAAATTGCTCTGCTATCAGACACAGAGTATCCATTTACAAGCAAAGACATGGGTAAGACTGGTGTTGCAGGGCTTTCACATAAGCAACCTGAATAGTCTGACTCAAAATGACAACAACTCTGTCCTCAAACAGAAACTGATGATAATCTGATTTAAGGTGTCTAGAACTTATTGTACTGTTATGGAGTTCAAATTAGTGATCAAATTTAATTACCTGTAGGGAATTCGTCTTCATCTTCATCATCCCATAAGTCAAGATTACCATACATGTTTTCTTCTGCTTTCATGAAATCTGTGTAAATCAATGAATGACCTTAACCTCACATCATCAATTTATCCCATTAAAGTCTAATTAAAGTGTCATCTGGTAACAACATTTTCAAGCGACAATGCTATATTGATTACATTTAGACCTTTTACAAAATGTTACAATTTTCTTTTTTTTATCTAACTTAGGCTCATAGTGTGCTCCCCTTGGGGATCAAATCTGCTCAATCTTATGTTATGCCACTCAAAATAACTTCAGTGAATCTAAAAGGTGTCCATAATCCTATGTACAATTACAATTTATAATTTTAGATAGATATCACCTTATATAAATAAAAACTTTTATTCATTACCATCACTATCATCTGCCACTGACATGTCTGTTGTATGATCTAAATCAGATGCTGCTTTAGTAGCTGTGGATACAAACAATTTCAGAACAGGGTCAAGGCCATTGTTGATTTGGTTTGGCCTAAGGATAACTGGTCCTGGCTGTAGGTTTAGAAAAGGCTTTGGTGTAACAGGGTCAAGGCCATTGCTGATTTGGTTTGGCTTAAGGATAACTGGTCCTGGCTGTAGATTTGGAAAAGGCTTTGGTGTAACAGGGTCAAGGCCATTGCTGATTTGGTTTGGCTTAAGGATAACTGGTCCTGGCTGTAGATTTGGAAAAGGCTTTGGTGTAACAGGGTCAAGGCCATTGCTGATTTGGTTTGGCTTAAGGATAACTGGTCCTGGCTGTAGATTTGGAAAAGGCTTTGGTGTAACAGGGTCAAGGCCATTGTTGATTTGGTTTGGCTTCAGGATAACTGGTCCTGGCTGTAGATTTGGAAAAGGCTCTGGTGTAACAGGGTCAAGGGCATTGTTGATTTGGTTTGGCTTAAGGATAACTGGTCCTGGCTGTATATTTGGAAAAGGCTTTGGTGTAACTGACACTTTTCTGCTGTCTGATGCATCATTCTTATCATATTTAAATTGTTCAAGAGAAGTCATAACTTCGTTAGCAGTATCAGTCTGTAGTCCTTTTGTTACAGGATTGCTTGGAAGCTTGCTCGCCATGAATTTATCTTTATTGCTTTGATCTGTGTCAAAATTTGTCTTTTGTAGTAAGTTTTCTATCAGACTCTGATCTTTTGGAGTGATTAATGTAGGATTCTGCCTTGGTTGGACAGCTGATAGTAACTGAGAAATTGGTTCATCATGATTCTGTTGCTCAATCACTTGTAAAGTTTGCCCTGGCAATTTTGCTAGAACAGTATTTTGTTGTTGAGGCATTTGCTGTGCATCATTCTGATTTTGAGTAATTAACTCACCTGTATTCTGCAGTAGCGGAATTGACTGTGCAGTATTCTGCATTTGAGGAATTGGCTGTGCAGTATTCTGATGTTGAGCAATTGGCTGTCCAGTTTTCTGCTGTTGTGAAAATGGTTGTCCAGTATTCTGCATTTGAGGAATTGATTGTGAAGTTTTCTGCTGTTGTGGAAATGGCTGTCCATTATTCTGCATTTGAGGAATTGACTGTGAAGTTTTCTGCTGTTGTTGAAATGGCTGTCCATTATTCTGCATTTGAGGAATTGATTGTGAAGTTTTCTGCTGTTGTGGAAATGGCTGTCCATTATTCTGCATTTGAGGAATTGATTGTGAAGTTTTCTGCTGTTGTGGAAATGGCTGTCCATTATTCTGCATTTGAGGAATTGACTGTGAAGTTTTCTGCTGTTGTTGAAATGGCTGTCCATTATTCTGCATTTGAGGAATTGACTGTGAAGTTTTCTGCTGTTGTTGAAATGGCTGTCCATTATTCTGCATTTGAGGAATTGACTGTGAAGTTTTCTGCTGTTGTTGAAATGGCTGTCCATTATTCTGCATTTGAGGAATTGGCTGTGCAGTTTTCTGCTGTTGTGGAAATGGCTGTCCATTATTCTGCGTTTGAGGAATAGGCTCTGCAGTATTCTGCTGTTGTGGAATAGGCTCTGCAGTATTCTGCTGTTGTGGAATAGGTTCTGCAGTATTCTGCTGTTGTGGAATAGGCTCTGCAGTATTCTGCTGTTGTGGAATAGGTTCTGCAGTATTCTGCCGTTGTAGAATAGGTTCTGCAGTATTCTGCTGTTGTGGAATAGGCTCTGCAGTATTCTGCTGTTTTGGAACAGGCTCTGCAGTATTCTGCTGTTCTGGAATCAGCTGTCCATTATTCTGCATTTGAGGAATTGACTGTGAAGTTTTCTGCTGTTGTGGAAATGGCTGTCCATTATTCTGCATTTGAGGAATAGGCTCTGCAGTATTCTGCTGTTGTGGAATAGGTTCTGCAGTATTCTGCTGTTGTGGAATAGGTTCTGCAGTATTCTGCTGTTGTGCAATAGGCTCTGCAGTATTCTGCTGTTGTGGAATAGGCTCTGCAGTATTCTGCTGTTGTGGAATAGGCTCTGCAGTATTCTGCTGTTGGGGAATCGGCTGTCCAGTATTCTGCTGTCCAGTATTCTGCTGTTGTGGAATCGGCTGTCCAGTATTCTGCTGTTGTGGAATAGGCTGTGCAGTATTTTGCTGTTGTGGAATCGGCTCTGCAGTATTCTGCTGTTGTGGAAGTATTTTTTCTGGGCTCTTTTGCAAGTTTAGCAGTGAGGAATTCTGCTGTTCTGGATTTACTTCATTGCTAGCTTGCATTTCAGTTTTCCTTTCCAAGTCATTTTGCTTTTGTAGGTATTGCTGATCAGGGACAGGTTTCTGTGTTACAGTATCTAGTTCTGCAGCTTTGTATTCCGTATTTTGAATATCAGTACTTTCACTCTGTAACTCTGGTGACAGATTGAGCTGGTGTACTGATCCATCAGTTGTTGAAACACCTGTAAAGAAAAGGAAACATTATATTTATTCATTTTAGATCAAAGAAGACCTTTATTGCAGATAATATCTTGCTAATGGTTTTTAACATGTTTTCTTTGTGACTTTAAAAGTAGGTAAATTTTATTTACATTTAGACTTCATTGCATCCAAGCTAAAAGAACATACTCAGGCCATCTTGGATCTTCTTGAAGTGAGCAGGATTCTTAAAGATGGTATTCAATATAATATTGGACATTTGTTACTGGTTGACAGTTTGGTCAAGTCTGTAACCATGCAGAAGTTTTCTCTGAAGATTTCCCTTATATACATTCCTTTGTCTGGGATCACTCTTGACCTATGTTCTTCAGATAAAGCCATGAGATGTTCCAAACATAACTGACCAAGGCAACATTTAAAGCAGGTTATGGTTGTTTATATGAAGTAATTTATAGCACCTATCTTGGTACTTATAAGCCAAGTACATTTTCTTAGCAATTATCATTCCTGGCTTTATTTGAACATGGGGAAAGCTTAACTAGAGATAAGCAGTGATTACCTTTCACCTTTTATCATATTGCCTTCACCTATAATCAATATTTAAGAACAAGCATACTAAGTAATACATGTCTCCTACTGACCCCCACAAGCTATTATACAGCAATGATTTATAAAGATGGTGGTTTTTGAAAAAACAAAAAGTATGAAATAGGTTTGTAACTGATGGAACAATGCAAAAAATGACAAACTGAAGCTACAGTTTCATGACTTTATATGTAATGTATTATTGTCATTTGTAGGTGTGTGAGGGTTGATATAAATTATGTAAGGAATTATGCTACTAGAACGCTGATAATAATGGACGGAGAGATGTACAAATGAAGAGGAAACTATAGTCCCCCTCCAGAATTCACTGGCAAGAGACTAAAAATACGAACACATCATACAGAAGACTGAAGCTCTTCTGGTTCATGGTACCAATTAATACATAAACCTGAGTAGAGTGGTGCAACCAGGGATCAAACCTAGGAGCAACAGCTCCCTAGTTCGCCACTCTTCAGATCCAGCCAAACAAAAGTGTCCATTTTCAGTCTTGGCCCAATGCAAAACTAGCTAGATGCATCTGATGGCAAACATTTTCTATCTTACAATAACCATAATTGGTGTCATTGGTTCAGTGGTGGAATGTTACTTATATAGGTGAATGATGTAACTCTTATATTGGTTTATTATAGTAATTACTTTTCAATTGGAAAATTCGTGAAACTACAATTAGCCCAAAGGGAGGTAACTCCTGTGAAAAAATGTTGAATTTTATTTTTGCCATGTACTAACAGAGTAACCGAAATTATTGAAGTACTCTTGTTTTGCTTAAGTCACTGTAAAATACAGGTCGGGCTTTTAACCGAAGTTATCAGGATTGGACCTAACTTTTCTAATAGTAATACGCGAAGACATCGCTATCATCGGTTACGATGCGTGCACTGATGACACGTCAGCGTGTGCCATCTATACCAATACCATAGTAACATTTGCATAATGTTAGTCAATGTAACTATTACAAAGCGATGTCTTACCGTTCACTTTGACATGACATAATAGCAAAGCTGTAAGCACATACAGGGCCAATTTCAACCTGTCATTGCCCATGTTTACGTTTTTCTGTGACGTTCAACAGAGTCACATAAATGTTTGTTTCTGAAGGCAACGGAAAAGATAGCATGTACCTTCAAATTTAAGCGTCGGTGTAACAATGTCTGTAGAAAATGGCGGTTATTTCATTTGCAACAAATGTTGCAGAAAACATAACGTATTTGCTAGGATCAATGCCAGTGCACGATAAAAGAATGAAACGCATGATATAAAGGAATACTGATGAGGTTTCTTCATGTGCAATGGTAGACTATGGAATCTATACAGGTAAGTCAAAAATGTCCCTGTAAAGAGACCCATGTAAAAATTAACTAAGATAGATTGTTTACCTCTCTATAGTAAAGTACTTTGTTCTTTACAATTCAACAAATATGTTGCCTATGTTGTTTACAATTAAATAAATCCTACATTGCATAGTGCAACCCAAACTGAAAGCAACAGTAAAATCTTGCATAGGTAAGGAATATATTTTTAGAATGTACTAGTATTCGTCACCCGCATTGTTATCTATGACAGTTAGATTGTGGTGTGGTTTATTATTTTGTTTGCAATGTAACTTATGATATTGATATCTGATCCATCTGTGGAGGGAAAATACCTTTTGTCCGCAGTTATTTTACGCTTTTTTGACTTAAGCTTGTTTAATTTTGTACACTAATAAAAATGTGTCTGATCATGAATTCAGAAAAGAAAAATGTTCTCTTCTGTAATAAGAGGACATGATGGATTCCAGTACAACAAAGCAAATCCAAGGATCTTTGATTCCCAACCTGTTCACAAAGAACTGGAATATACTGGTCTTTTCACCCCATTTCATAATCTGTTTTTACAGAGACAGATACACTTTCAAAACAATTTCAAATATCTATATAAATGCAGAGACGATTGAAGGTTCAGCATGATGATTAGCAGGAATACATATCATTGACCAAGATCTTTGGTACATGACAAAAAAAACAAAAACAAAAACAACAAAAAAATAATGAAAAATAGATCTAGATAAGAAATAATAATAAACATTTTGACAGATTAATTTGGTCTTGCATGATACAGGGATGTATACATGTAAGTGGACTGTGAAAAAAGGTCTATGCCAGTGTTTATTCAGAACAGAAATTTCTTTTCCAGTGAAGTCCTTGCAGCCACTGGCCTTCTCTTTGTTGTATGTGTTGGTTATGCATATTTATTTATAGTTATATGTATAATTGTTATATATACCTTACCTTTGTATGTACCATTCAGATTTCATTTGTAGTTATATTTTAAAAGTGTCAATTTTGTCTGACAGATCTGACCAGAGCCATTTTGTTGACCAGTGGAAAGTGAAGGTCATATTCATACAAAAATAATTGGAATCACCTTGAAAAATATGTTCCTTTAAACTTATTTGAAAACATTTGCCCAAAAAATGGCATATTCAATTTTTTCACAATTTTCATGAAAAAAATTCATTACTTGATACATTGACCTTGCTTTAAATCACCACCACTCTGTCATTATCTTTAAATCAAGGGAGTTAGCATGAATTTACTTGTTATAGCATTATATAGAGAATAAGCTAGGATCAAGATAAAGGCAGTGCTAGATCCTTCCTATTACATACACCATGTCATGGATGATACTTAGATATAAACAACACTCATTGAAACTGTTCCATCATGGACTTGGTTAAAGATATACAATGATTCGATATATCTATGATAAAGATGGTTTTTTTTATTGCAGATATGTAACCATGGTCATCAAAATGAAAAAAGGACAGGTCATGGAAAATAAAGAATGAGGGGATATTGGTTGAAGATCTGGACTACCTGTTGCTTCATTATCTGAATTAATGATGGATATTGAATGTGTTGTATGTTATGATTGATATATGTTATAATAAATATGAAACAATGTTAATATATAATATCTAATTAAAATTAATTACTACCAAAAATAAACATTATGTCACTAACAATATATTTAACTGCCTCAAAGTTTTTCAGATTATGAACAGATTTAAATGATTTGCACAGGAAAATTATCTGTTAGTAAAATACATCTTGGGCTAGAAAAACATTATTATACTATACATTATAAGGATGATACATAAAACAGGTTTTTAGAAACTTCAAAGGTATGTGTAGAGACATTAGCATATACAACCTGTAGCCCTGTAAAATAACACCTGTCCTATATCTGCAATAATAGATTAAAATAATACATTGTATCAGAGATGCATATGAATTCTTATCTATTTATATATTCATACATTTGCACCATGGAATTCAATAAATACATAACACACTGCAATATTATTTATTGTTCATTTTAAGTACAAATATGTACTTAAATTGTTTATAAAGAAAGAATACCTTAACTATAAGTGATACATTTTGTTTTATGTACACAAGGTTCTGGGTAAGTGAGTAATTTGGAGATATTTGATGTGCTAATTGTCTATATAACATGAGTCAATATACCAGATATTGTTTTGCTTTACAGGTACTTTACACTCATCAAAAACTAAAGAAAGCAAAAACATGGCATGATGGAGTATTGAAGATTTTGACCCCAGGTACTCGAGTAAGTACTGCGAGAATTAACACTTAGATTTTCATACATGGTATTTCATTGTCCACCCATTTGGCCTTTGTAAAATTCAACATGACATGAGGTTATGGTTTCCTGAACTCCACTATGTAATGCAACCAAGCCATGTACTCATAGTTTAAATTTAGCCCAAATAGGACAACTTTGTTAAGGAAGTAATACATTGACATTGTATATATACATTGAGCTAAATAAGTAAAGTAAATAATAAGCGAGTTTATGCATGAAATTATAAAACATATTTTTGTCCTGAGCATAGACAATTTCAATTGTCTGAATATCCAGAGTCCCTTTTGCACAGTGTGATTGATTAGGGTCAGAGTTGATGATGAATTCTTGTATTATATTGGGATGTGAATTAATGCTTTGAAGCAGTTTGTTAAGAGTGTACAGGAGTACTTTGATTATCACTCCAATTTATATACTAGTAGTCTAATCCTTAAAATGAAATTTTTAATAGTTTTTCTCTATGATATGGATTTTGAAGCTTACCAATTAGAAGCTGTCTTTCATTATAAAAAAAGGATAATAGATTTTCAGTTTTAATCAACCAACCAAATCATAGGGGCCCGCATCGAGATGCAGGTACCCTATAGTAATAACTTTGTACATCAGTTCGTCTGTTTATTGGTCTGTTTTAGCTTGTTTATTTGTACTCAGATTCTTGTCAAATTTGGTATGTAGGTTTACATTCATGAGACCTCACATGGGTTTGATAGCCAGTGAAATTTGTCCTTATTTATGGAACTTTGAATGACAAAAATTGTCCATTCTAAAACTTTTTGCACAATAAATTGCATATTTATAGCTGAATGTTCTCAAAATTTTGTATGTGGGTTCATATCAATTAGACCTCATGATCACATGAGTTTGGTAACTAGTGTCATCCATAAATATTTGCAAGAGTTATGGAACTTTGCTAAAATATACCATTTCATTACTTTCCACACACTGCCTATTTGCAGTCAGATCTTAACCAAATTTGGTATGTGGGTTTATGTACACAAGACATTGCGTGGATTTAATAACCATTGAAATCTGTTGATTTCTGTGAGAGTTGTAGGACTTTGAACACCAAAAATATACTAGTTTATTACTTGCTACACACTGCGTATTTGCACTTGGATTGTCACCAAATTTGGTATGTGGGTTTATGTACACAAGACATCACATGGATTTAATAACCATTTGAATTTTTTCATATCTACAAGAGTTTAAGGCCATTGAATGCTGGTACAAATGATCATCATCATATCACTCACAAGTGTTGTTCATTTTTGGTATGGAAAATCTAAATGGGCCAATGCAGATTCTGATTAACAGCTGGTGCCAATGACTTCTAACTAGGTACAAAGGATTTCTACAGAGTCCCAAATAAGTATTGTTCTTTCTGGTGCAAATTGAAAAATCTAAAATAGCCACACTGTCTTCTGATTGGCTTAGACATTTTGAAATTTTTCTCAAGTATGGATGGTATAATGGATTCCTAACTTGGTTCAAAACTATCCTTATTAGGTCAGGGTCATGCAGTGCTACTTTTCATGCTGTGCTGGCATTTGAAATCTTCTGTGCAATAGTTTATATTAGGGCCCTTCCTCGTGATTGGTCTAGTTTTCTTTGTCATTGAACATTGGCATCGTTACCATACACATAACCTTATTGTAAATATGTACATGTAAAAACTGTGTTATTTTGAGTTTGTCAACAGTCTGAATTAAAGGTAGAAATAGTACATATTATTACCTCCCATTTTAAGGTTTTTGATTGTGTAATGGATTGCTTACACACAATGTACATACATTTATCTTTTTTTTGTACAATTAATTCAGGCGATCTTGTATGATGACAAGAAGACTAAGATCGACACAGTACATATCAAACCTGATGCCATTGTGTCTGGAGAACAGCTGGAGAGTGACCGTCATCTCATTCTTATCGAAGAAATAAAAACTGGTGTTGACAATGTTAAGGTCCAATTGCCCAGTGGTCAGAATGGTGTCAGAGAACATGTTGTCCAGACTCGTTCGATTGCACCTACGAATAATTCTTCAGTTGGAACAGGACGTCTATCCATACGGGCGGGCATCAAAAGGCGAAAAACGGTATTATATTTATCAACTCTATGTACATAGTTGCAATTAAGAAAATACGGTCAGATTGATGATTGTAAATTTTTTCAATATGAAGCCAGTACACATCCATAAAATTTGGAGAGGGTCCTTTCTCATGTTTTTAGCTTCAATTTACCAGATACATTTGTATATGACTTCTTTTATTGACTGGTGACATCTTGTTTTACAAGATGTTTTATCTCACTGAAGTCAAACCTATATGGTGATATTGAAAAATGACTGCTGTATCAAAATGTTTGAAATTTTTTTATCTTCAGGGGTTTGTTCCACCAAGGATGATTAAGCAGCCTAGACTGGATGTGGATGAGAGCCGGACAGATTCCTTTGAGAGTGGTAACAACAATTCCATGGTTGGATCTAATTCGTCCTTCTTTACAAATAAGGAAAGTACTCCTGATACAGTCAGTATCCTCAATCTATACTCCAGGATAGGTGCTAAAAAAGATGCTGGGAATGTACCAGTGTCATGTAAACAGAGTGTTAGTCCTATGTACACATCTTCATCAAGTTTACAGTCAAACACAGACCCATTGGTTGCCAGCACATCTGATCAGAGGCCAGACTCAAACAATCGTTCTCTGTTGTTAGACCGGTTTACATGTGATGACTCTCCTGGTAGATCACCACAACGGTCTTCCCCGTGGACAAGTTTTGGTGCTGGCAGACTCAAGGGAAACAGTAATTCTGCAAGGAATGAAGAATGGAGAGCTAATGAACTTCATGGAGCTAAACTGAATCATAAAAATGTTGAAAGTCATTCAAATATCTACAACGAAACTTCAAAATTTTGTGAGAGTGACAAGCTTTTGTGTGAAAAAGACCAGGAAATTTGTGACAAAAAGGCTTCTGTCGTTGCTAATTCTGTATGTACAAATTTTGATGACTCACAACAAGTATCTACTAAGATCAGTATCCCTGCGAGTTCAGCACTCAATCCAGCAAGGAAAAGAAGTGCTTCACAAATCATGGCTCTTCTTGGGAAATCAAGAAATAAAGAACCAGCACCAGTTAGTGATGGAGGCCAAAGTGAAAGTCAGTATACAGTTATACCACAGGAAAGTTCTGTCATACCCATATGTTCACCTTCACCATTGGAATGTCATACAGAAAACACTTTAAATAACAGACCTAATGAACACTCACCTTCTTCACTGGAGTGTCATGAAAACATTGCTTGTTATCCTAGGCCTAATGATCTAAGTGGTAAAGGTGTAACTACTTCTGGAAAAGAATGTTTTGTTCTTAACAATCCTTCATTCATAGATTATAATGAAGTAATTCAGGATGACACTAGTGTTAAAACTTTGTATAATAGAGAAATGCATGACTTCTCCACTGATTTAAACACATCCCTGTCATCAGGTCATTCTGAGGTTCAGAACAAGCTTAAACAACCAGAGTATAAAGGGCAACAAAAGGAGTTCAAAGTGCATGCTGAGCATTGTCATAATGAGGGAGATATTTGGGAGAAAGATAGGAATTCAGGGAAAGATACAGATGCTGAAAAAAAATCCCAGGAGTGTGTTGTTACTGTAAAAGAAAACTTAATCGACAAAGCTACATTTGAACATTTTCCTGAGACTGATTTACTTGCACCAGAAAAAACTGAGGAGAGAAATGTTTCAGAACACACAATAGAACAGTATAACTGTGAAAGTGCACCCCCAGATACTCCAAATGAGGAAACAGGAATTAAGACTACTTATAAAAAGCTGGCAGCAGTGTATGATTGCAAGGAAAAAGACCAACTGGACAGCTGTTTATCACAGGAGGATTTTGAGGATGATAATGTTGATGAAGTACAGCCAGGAAGTTTTCTTATAAGTTTTTCTCCTTTGTCACAAGTGTCCAACAGTGATGATGAAGTGGATGTACAATATCCTTCCACCACTGATGTACATCTAAAACAAAAAACAGAAGAGGATGAAGAGTTTCTGATAAAGCAAGACCAAGTAGTGGACAACAGTCAGATACAGCATGACCAAGTTGTGGACAACACTCAGATACAGCATGACCAAGTAGTGGACAACAGTCAGATACAGCAAGACCAAGTAGTGGACAACAGTCAGATACAGCATGACCAAGTAGTGGACAACAGTCAGATACAGCAAGACCAAGTAGTAGACAACAGTCAGATAAAGCAAGACCAAGTAGTGGACAACAGTCAGATACAGCATGACCAAGTAGTGGACAACAGTCAGATACAGCATGACCAAGTAGTGGACAACAGTCAGATACAGCATGACCAAGTAGTGGACAACAGTCAGATACAGCATGACCAAGTAGTGGACAACAGTCAGATACAGCATGACCAAGTAGTGGACAACAGTCAGATACAGCAACACCAGGTAGTGGACAACAGTCAGATACAGCATGACCAAGTAGTGGACAACAGTCAGATACAGCAACACCAAGTAGTGGACAACAGTCAGATACAGCAAGACCAAGTAGTGGACAACAGTCAGATACAGCATGACCAGGTAGTGGACCCTTGTCAGATACAGCATGACCAAGTAGTGGACATTTGTCAGATACAGCAGTGTCCTGTCACTCGTGAACCAGTTAATAGCTTAAATGACCTTAACTTCAGTCCAGATGTGGTTTCATTTTCCTCATTATCATCTGCTGAGGACATAAAGGAGAGCAACTTAAATGTGAACTCATGGAAAACTGCACAGAAGGTTCCTGGCAATGTTATAGTAACAGACAATCCAAGGTTATCCATATCGAGCTGTAACTTGACCAATCAGAAGTTCTGTAAGATAACTGTACCAGGTCAACAATCTATGAGCAAAAACAATTTGCTGCAATCCACTGTAATGAGAGACATAACTAATATATCTCCAGAAACAACTGTTGGAAATTCACTTGAATGGGATGATAAATTAAAACCATTTATGGTTAAAGCTACTTCTCATGACTTCATACCAAGTGCTGCCTCTGAGCTGAAATCAGAAGGTAAACCTAATTTGTTACTATCCAGAGGAGCTATCTCTTCACCTAGTCGAAAACTGTCCATGCTGCAGAGAAGTGAAGACCAAATGAGTCAAACCGAGTGTGGAGGAAAAACACATGTAGAAGAGTCCGTTAGTGATGGTGTAGACAACATAAGTCCTGATCTCCTTTATCCCCTCTCAGAAAACTCCTACAGTAGGATACAATCAGACAGTGGGATGCCATACAACTGTGACACCATCAGAACTATAAAAGAGCAATGGTCCTTGGCAGGTCAGTTTTATGATAAACTTTTCACATGAATTCTGTATCATTTAAGTCTTAAGTAAAGAAAATGTGATACATCTTGATCTGATTTGCATGCTGAAGTATTAGGAAGACTGTTTTTACTGTTTGCAGAAATGTTCATACTGTCTTTTTTCATTGTTAACAGGACCTGTGAGATCTACCCACTATAAAAAACCATCAGCTATTACTGAAAACTGTAACATGACTGAGGAGCTTTTACCACACCCATCCCAGCTTCTAAGACGACCCAGTGTGACATTACAAACATCTACCATCACACACGTAGATCAAGAAAACCCTTTCGAAGGCAGGTTAGACCCAGGAGCGATAAATAATGTGAGTTGAAGAATGATACAAGTATTATCAATATTACTGAAAGGTGTGATACAAGTATATAACCACTGCCTATGATGATGACAATAAAAATCCTGCCCTGACAGTCTCTGATGGTCTTGTTGTATAGTTATCCAGCCAGTGAATGTGGTGTGTCTCCCTTGACATTTTAATGTAGGGTGTTTGGTTTTCTTTTACAAAATTTACGCTGTGGTGTTACAAAATATTTGAAATATAAAGAAGTTCTAGCCATCTATGGAATATAATAGAATATATATATTGCTTGCCAAACTCTGAAAAATAACACTACAGTAAAAATAAGAATATTTAGTACCCAGTTATCTTTAGATATTTGTTTTACAGGCAGTTCTGAGATTTCAGCAGTACAAAGTGAGAGGAAGTGTCAGTGGTAGTGTGGCCAGGAGAACCTCTAAGTCAGGACTAGACTACCATCACAGATCACCCTCACTATCAGTCACAGAAGACCAAATAGCTAGACAACATTTGCTCAGCTCCATGTCTCCTTGTCAGACTCCAGAAAATACCAGTAAGTCTATTGGACAAACCAAAATAAATTTGGTTCAAAGACAAATACCTGTTTCTTCAGTGGAACATTATATTCAATCTTTGATAGGACACATATGCCTATTCCAACAGCTGAAAAAATATTATAGATAGTATACATACCAATATGTAAGATGTTCAATTTATATCTGACTTCAGAGATTTACTACATCCTGTCTACTCTGACCACTGTGTCTAACCTGCTACATCATGTCTTATCTTACACTAGATTACTCTAACATCCTGTCTACTCTGACCACTGTGTCTAACCTGCTACATCATGTCTTATCTTACACTGGATTACTCTAACATCCTGTCTACTCTGACCACTGTGTCTAACCTGCTACATCATGTCTTATCTTACACTGGATTACTCTAACATCCTGTCTACTCTGACCTGTGAAGATTCAATCATTCTGTCTACTCTGACCACTGTGTCTAACCTGCTACATCATGTCTTATCTTACACTAGATTACTCTAACATCCTGTCTACTCTGACGACTGTGTCTAACCTACTACATCCTGTCTTATCTTACACTGGATTACTCTAACATCCTGTGTAGTCAGACCTCTGATAATTCAATTATCCTGTCAAATCTGACCTCTTGTGTCTAACCCTCTAAATTCTGTCTGCCCGGTAGTCTGACCTACAAAGCCTGTAAAGAAAGGCTACAGTCTTACGGCTGTAAAGAAAAGCTAGATTGTGTAAAAGATACCAGCATTGACTCCATTCATTTATGTTTGAAATTCTTAACTTTTAAAAGCACCATAATAACTGTTGAAATGATCTTTTGGGGTGATACCACTAAGCAGTGGCTAAGTAACATGGTTTTTTTTTATTTTCTTGTCCATAGGTCTTCTACCAGACCAGGATGACCACAGTCTGTTCATAGACTGCAATGTAGGCAAACCCCAACTTGTTGACATGGCAACCTTGTGTAATACACAAGATATCAAGGTCAGAGACAAAGCAGCTTGCCACTTACCTGTAATTTGACACGTTAGAATTGAGATAAATCTGATCTTACTTCATTGGTTCTTATTCATATTTAGAGCAAAAATGAAAAATTGGTTCAAAAACTTAAATACATGTACAAAGTCTTCAGTTTCACTATGAATGTACATGTAGTATCTTTACTTGGTTTTAGATACCTGATTCACCATATCAACATGTCCCTACAGCCAGAGAGCCAGAGAGTTACGAAGGGGACAGTGATATAACTTATGTTCCAGGTAAAGTTTCTTGTGTCAGATGAAGGAAGTTACCAATTGTACTGTGTAATTTATAGTAGGTATAAATTCATTTATTGTTTTTATCCTTTATTATTCTCTAAAAGGTTAAATTCTGTCATCACCAAAGTCATTTCACACCATGGTTTGGTTTTTTTTCTTTCAAATTTTAATTTGCCTCATTTTTTAACAAATATATTTCAGACATAAACTTTGGTAGGAGTAAACATACTGACAGTAAAAGGTATACTTCAACTAGGAACCTCTCATCAAGTCAGTGTTTTAGTGATGACCCAGTCTCAGATGTGTCCACCCCAGACTGTGACATGCAGAATGTTCCTTCAGAATCAGTCAGTCTTCTGTGTGAGGCTGAGAGTCCTACCTATGGCAATATGTTCAAGAAGAGGGACATGATCGGCTATGATCCTGATAATAAAATGAACAAAGATTGTAATAATTTGGATAATATGATTGTTGAAAAAACTTGTAAAGAAAAAATATCCCTGAAGTGTAAACCTTTTGGAGATTCATTTACTCATACCAGCTACACATCCAGGTATTTTTCACCTCCTAGTGTGAAGTTCAAAGGTCAAAAGGACTCTCCAGTTGATGTTGACTCTGTAAGTCACATGGAAACCTCTACCATTTTGGAAACAAAAATTGAATATGAATTGCCAGCTAATGTGAACTTTGAAGGTCAAACAGACACTGCAAAACATGTTGAACACTGTTATTATAATGATTCACAGCTGGACTATTTGGATAGGGAAACTAATGATAAAAACGTTACCAGAGAACAGTCGGTGAGGGATGAATGTTCCCTTGATAAAGGAGGTGATTTACATCTTAGCCTTAGTTCTGTAGGTAGCAGTGACCTTGAGTTATCCTTTACACTCGCTGATTATCACCAGAGTCGGCCTAAACCCCTCGTTGAACTTCCTTGGGAAACTCGACTGTGTAACCATAGTAATACAGAGACTGGTGATCTCAAATCACAGGGCAATGATGAGTTCATACCAACAAAGACCTATGAGGACAATGTTCAACCTGATTCTAATGGATGCAAAAGTTCAAAATGGGGTAAATTTGTAACAGAGGATGATGAAGATGATGATTTGCTATTCGATGATTCCTTTAATGAAGAATATGATGCAAAGAAGCTTGGAAATAGAATTAACATTGAAAATATTTCACCACAGGTTACATCTGTAACTGAACCATTTAAAATGATTCCGAAGGAGAATTCCAGTGAGCTACAGCGGTGTAATGATGTTGACAAAATGTCAGTTTCAAACCAAAGTAGCTCAGAAAAACTTTCACAATCAGGTCAGAAGCCTTCTGTTGGCATAGGTCATTTTCCATTCACAGAAATGGGAAGCAGTATCTCCCAGGAGTTGTTAGATGATTTTGACCTGCAGAACACAGAAGACATTTATGTGCATTCAAGGTTTTCAAAACAAAACACTAAATCTGATATATACATAGCTCCCTCGTCCAGTACTTCTCTGACACATGTGACCAATCTCAATGTTTTATATTCTGGGTCAAGAACTGCAATCCCAGAGAATACCTCAACAGATGTATCAAAGTTTGTCTTTCATTCTGGTCAAAGTTCAATGAAGAATTTCCAAAGTCACACCTTTACACCTGTAACTGAGAAGGATGTTTCACCTCCCAGACAGAACTCTATGAAGAAGTTTAAATGTCCTGTGCCAAGTGCAGGTCTTGTAACTCATGTCTTGAAAGGGTCCAAGGTAAGATTATTTCTCTGTCTGTTTGATGGACGATTTGTCAGGAGCATAATACTCTAAATTCATGACGTATAATTCATATCAAGTGTAACAATGATTGGCACTGTTTTAATAAGACGGGTACAATTTTGTATAGTGCATTCAAATCTGTGTCACAATGGAGTAGAGAAAAATGACTTATAGGCTGGTGACCTTTATATAAAGATTTAATTACATGAAGTATGTTACATCAATGGCCTTTATAGACTGGTAATTACTACATACAAACTGTGTAAGAAGTTGCCTTACATCAGATTTGACTGACAGCTTGTTATTTTTTAGAGGAACATCAGTGGAGAATTACAGTTTGCCTGTAAGGAGGAGGTTGACAGCAATCCTGTTCCCCTACGTGAGCTCAGCATTGCTGTGAAATTCCCAACGATAGCAACATATAAACAGGTTCTCACAGCTGTTCTCAAAGGTACCAACTACAACTAGTTATATTTGATTAAAGGATCTAATTTGAGTTTCTATTCATGTGAAATTGGTGAAACAAGTCTTAGAATTTTTCACTTTTCTGAGCCTCTGGCAAAGCAAAAGAAAACAGTTGTGATGAATTTCACAAATCTCATATGAAATGGAAAGGGTGAAAGTTGTTGTTTTTCATATAAATTTGATACTTTTGCATTCTTAAATGTGGTAGTTTATTAGACTGAATCTTAATTTACATTATTTTCATTCTCTATATTCTTCTTAGGTGATGTAACAATGTTGTAAATGTGAACCTACAGCCATTCACAGCTCCACTTTGTCATTTTTACTCATGTGTCATAACAATGGTTTTAACACTGATAGCAGGGTGGCTATATAATAGATATTGATATTAATTTTATTTATTCTATAGCATTTTGAAACAAGTTATAGATATTAATCACTCTTGTTGGCAGGGTTATGAGGGGTTTTACTGTTGAATGTTTACAGAGAGCTTAGGGAAAACCCATATGCCGTATTGGTGGGGAGGAAACCCAATACCTTTTCACATTCAACCGTAAAATCAAACCCTGGTCGCCTAAGCAGAAGGCAATAGCAGTACCAGATCACTGTACCACCTAGCCAGCCTGACAAATAGTCAAAATAGTTTTTCGAGGGAGGCAAACACTTCCTCATGGCTAATCTCAAGTGTATTCAGTTAATGATGTCTGTTTTTGTTTGAGATTATAAATAAAATGTCTCCTCTTTTTGTAATGTTTACCAGATATGTAACTGAGTTTATACACCTGTTGCAAGAAAATGTCATTAGGTTGAAATTTGAAGGGAGTTGTACTACTTCCTCTCTCATCTAGTTTTAATTTCTCAAGATATTGGAGAATTACATAACACCCTAAGCTTTGTTGGGTTTTTATTTTTGCTATTGGAAGGTTCAAGAATACAGAGCCATGTGTTATAAATTAACAAGGGTACTTCGCAACTGTATATCTTACTAGGTGATTCCAAAATTTTCTTGATTGTTCCATACAGTCGTGTTTCTGAAGTAAACACCGAAACATATTTGTTCTTGATTTGTATTTCAAAATAGTATTAAAGTTTCTTTGTATTTCAGAACACTTGAACATAATTCTGTTTGGCCTAGCCCAGCAGTATCATCACACTTTGAGAATGGCAGATATCTCCAGCTATGTTCCTGCTCAGCATCCAGGTGAAGTGATGTGAATTTTATATAGATGAGGATTTTTTGTGGGTTTTTAAATTTTTTTTACTTCGTTAGATTCTCATAACTATATTTAAAATGGGAAATTGAAGTGAAAATATTTGGAAAAGTTTTACCAAGAGTGAAAAGAAACAAGGGACAATTAATATTAACTGTAGATGGAGGTAGGAAATAAGGAATTTAAGGGCAGAACTCTATTAAAGCCAACCATGTAATTAGACAACACTACTAACTCAGAGAACTTTTGGATGTGAGTCAATAGAAGGGATTGTCTTCAGTATATTTTTACTGTGTGATTAGGTCCTCTGATGAATAAGTCAGTCTCCTAGGAACCAGGCCAGCTCAAACCCAAACTGTCAGTGTGGTGCACCCGCAAAGATGATTCAAGTGAAGAAGCCAGGAAACAACAAGGGGCGTTTCTTCTATACTTGTAACTCTGCTCGAAACAAACAATGTAAGGTAGGAACAATGCAATACTTTACAAAATTGATGTTTCAGGTCAAAATGTGAAATATTGAAATATTTCTTTATGTGATGTTGATCACAGCATTATAAAAATGTTTATGTATTGTTTCAATGAAACTGGGTTTATATTGATATGAGAAAAGTTAAAAAGCATTTTATTTTATCTCTGACAATAAATATAACAAGGATTTGAAACTTTTCATTCTTCAGATTAGTTGAACCATGGAAAAAAATTAGTCATTTGATTGGGATGTTTCATTAAGACTGAAAACAAAAGTAGTAGACAGTATTGGAAATGTTTGCATTGTCTTGATTTCTTGAATGCAAAATAATATGGTTTTAAAAATGCATCACAAGACCAACATTTCTTTCAAAGTTTCTAATTTGACAACAATTCCAATGCCCACAATACCTACTTGTAATTATGGAGATTGTGGATTTAAAGTACTTCCAGTGGGTTGATCAGGCAGGGCAGGGAAAGAACTCTACCTCTGGAAGTAATAAACTCAAGTTATGTGAGGCCAGCAGTATCAACACTTACATGAGAGGCAACCACCTGATGTTCTATTGCGAGTGTGAGCTACTCAAAAAAATGGACTTCACGTCTCACTTCAAAAAAGAAGTACCGGTATGTACTTATTTCATGAAAGATTATATATCACTTCACTTGTCCAAAGGACCAATGAGCTCATTCCATGGTGCAGCATCCACTGACTGCTTGCTGTTATCCATTAATTTTTTCTGAAAATTCTGAAATTTTTAAACAACATAGCCAATTTTCACCAACTTTGGTCTTGATCATCCTTGGTGAAGGGGGGACTCAGTTTGCTTCAAACAAGGATTCATGAATCTGATATGCAGGGGGCATTGAAGGGAAATAGATAAATCATTTTAAAATATTTTGGTTGCAGGAGTGGATTATACATTTGTATTATTGAAATAAAATAAGGTCTAATGTATCCTTGGATGATAGGACTCATTTTTGTTTAAATACTCCAATCCCCATGGGGTAGATGTAAACCTTGAAAAGTCTTCTCCTTTAGTTTGGATAAAACAATTTTGGCTAAAGCAAACCAGGTAAGCAATAAGGTCCTATTGGCTTCTTGTTTCATTGTGTAATATTAATTTGGAGATTAACATTCATTTTATAAATTGTTCATTCATATGGACCAGGAGCAGCCTTAAGTATAACGGTAGTATATTTTTGGTTTTCGAACTTCCTTGTATTCTCTCTTTATATCTAATTAATAGGCAAGCTATGTTGTTCTTCTATGACTTTCGTTCCAAGAAGAAGAGAATAGAACAAATGAATGAATTTTATAATGCTCAATCTGTGCTTTGATAGAACTGGGTAAAGATGAAATATGGACAAACAAATCCGGACAAGAAGAAATTGTACATTAAGCTGTCCAAAAAGGATGCCTCATCCATGTATTCCAAAGGTTTGTTTACCCAGTTGTAACGCCACAAAACAAAATTATCACAAAAGACATACAAGATATGTAATTTCTTTGATGTTAAGAAACTGATTAGCTCACATCATGCAAACTGAATACCTTAATTTCATTATATTTGAAGATTATATTTGAAGCCAAACAACAACGTTTCATTTACTGTCATAATGCATTCATCATAATAAACTGTACAAAAATATGCTAATTTTTACTTAGAAATCAAAACAAAAACCAGAATTGCACGGACATGTGTTTTCTCAGGTTAAAAACTTTCTCCCCTTTATTTCCTCACTTACATATTATGTTTAATTGTGATTGGACCTAACAAATATAATTGAAATTGCTCTGATATATATAAATCATGTTTAAAGCAAATTTCCCTGAATCCACGTTTAAACATACATGAACAATGAACATTTCAGATGACTTTTGGATCATATCTTTGACCTTGAATTTCCACCCTACTCAAACCTTTCTTGCAAAGAGTGTCTACTTTGGACCTAATTCAGCAAATGAATTAGAAATAGAACCATTGGCTGGATTTTCACCCTCAAACTGGCCAAACAATGGTAGGTTTAACCTTTCATGACCTTTCAGGGTTTGATGGATGTGGAAAGAAATGGCATATTTCTTATAAACAGTCTGATTATAACTAGATGTATCAAAATTTGCAAAAGATACTGTATATGTCCATATTTTAATGGTTATCCTATTCTGGTGTTTTTTACATTAAATGTATTGCACTTAAATATGATTGCACTAATTGTTGTGACTGGATATTATTTATGTATGACAATTGTTACTGATACATAAATTATCTACTGCACTAAGTCAAAATATGATAATTGGGGTAAATTTACCAAAATTGATTCCACTTAAGTATGTTACAGTACTTTTTATTTCTGAAAATCTTATAAGTCTGATTATTTCTTGCTTTAAAATCAGATTAGTTTTGATTTACTTATTGGCAGGCTCAGCAACAGAAATACAAACAACAGTAATTAATTTTCTTGTACTGGTACAGATTATTTTCAGTTTGAATAAATCTGTAATATCATTCAGTCAATTACTGAGTAGGAACATTGATAACGGATACAGATCAAATAGATCTCTACATAACCAGTGTTAAATAAAGATTCAAATCTCATCAAGAACTAGAGGTACTGTATACATGCATATTTTAACGGTTATTTCTCTTTTTTTTTTTGCTTTTTTTGTGTTGTAATTATTGTGTTGAAATATGATATATTGTATGTTATTTGCATAACAATTATTACTTATTTTTCAAAAGGTAATGTTTCACTCAAATTTGACTGTGCCATATTGAGCATGTCAACGGTAACTTACAGTAACAGTAATTGTTTATCTTGATTTGATTTGACTGACAGTATTCAGGAGGATTGTTGCTGAACAGTCACTTGTAGATTTCTTTAATATTGTACTGTTTTTGTGTAAAGTTACAATGAAGTGCTAAAAAAATTTTTTACAGCATTTTGCCACGCTTTACTGGCTGGGAACATTGCGTCCGAGTTGTGTTACCTTGGTAACATTGAGGAAAACCTGAGTCCGATGTCCCTACCTATATTACCGTGGATACTGGACAGGTACATTTTCATCAGATCTGAACTGCTAGCATTAGATACACATATATTTTTTACTGTCGTTAGGATAAATATAAGATGCAAAACTATGCTATGATACTTCCACTCTGCAAATGTTTACTTCCAAGTAAGTGTATTGATCACAATTTCAATAAAGTGAAAGAGTGGGCAATGTATAAATATCTTGTCTTAGAAAAATAGATTAGTGGCAGGTCATGCACACACAAAATTGTATGTTAAATTAATTTAATTCAACAATATTTCAATTTTTTTTCAGAAGTCCAAACCCATGTCATAGAGAATCAACACAGCAGAGTGGATTCAAGGCTCCAGTTAGGACAGCCGTCTCAAAAACTAACATATTTGCTACAAAAACATCTACGGTATGTCAGTTTATACCACATAACTATACATACCAGTACACATTTAATTTCATCTGTATAATGTATTTCTATATAGCTTGATCAATGATCATTGCAAATGATTATTAGACAGTATTTATTTGTTGTACCGCCATATTCATAAAACATTTATTTGAAAGTTTGCATGTTACAAAACAAAAAATAAAAAAGTGGGTGAAAAATTAGCTGTGACTGTAATGTTTATCCTGTTTGTAGGTGTGTTTGGAGCAGGGAAGAGTTTCCTGTTGTCTGTGACTGTAATGTTTATCCTGTTTGTAGGTGTGTTTGGAGCAGGGAAGCTCCCTATTGTCTGTGACTGTAATGTTTATCATGTTTGTAGGTGTGTTTGGAGCAGGGAAGCTCCCTGTTGTCTGTGACTGTAATGTTTATCATGTTTGTAGGTGTGTTTGGAGCAGGGAAGTGTTTCCTGTTGTCTGTGACTGTAATGTTTATCTTGTTTGTAGGTGTGTTTGGAGCAGGGAAGTGTTTCCTGTTGTCTGTGACTGTAATGTTTATCATGTTTGTAGGTGTGTTTGGAGCAGGGAAGTGTTTCCTGTTGTCTGTGACTGTAATGTTTATCATGTTTGTAGGTGTGTTTGGAGCAGGGAAGTGTTTCCTGTTGTCTGTGATCATTCTGTTTATCATGTTTGTAGGTGTGTTTGGAGCAGGGAAGTGTTTCCTGTTGTCTGTGACTGTAATGTTTATCCTGTTTGTAGGTGTGTTTGGAGCAGGGAAGAGTTTCCTGTTGTCTGTAACTATAATGTCTATTGTGTTTGTAGGTGTGTTCGGAGCAGGGAAGTGTTTCCTGTTGTCTGTGACTGTAATGTTTATCATGTTTGTAGGTGTGTTTGGAGCAGGGAAGTGTTTCCTGTTGTCTGTTATCATTCTGTTTATCATGTTTGTAGGTGTGTTTGGAGCAGGGAAGAGTTTCCTGTTGTCTGTGACTGTAATGTTTATCATGTTTGTAGGTGTGTTTGGAGCAGGGAAGCTCCCTGTTGTCTGTGACTGTAATGTTTATCATGTTTGTAGGTGTGTTTGGAGCAGGGAAGTGTTTCCTGTTGTCTGTGATCATTCTGTTTATCATGTTTGTAGGTGTGTTTGGAGCAGGGAAGATTTCTCTGTTGTCTGTGATCATTCTGTTTATCATGTTTGTAGGTGTGTTTGGAGCAGGGAAGTGTTTCCTGTTGTCTGTGACTGTAATGTTTATCATGTTTGTAGGTGTGTTTGGAGCAGGGAAGTGTTTCCTGTTGTCTGTGATCATTCTGTTTATCCTGTTTGTAGGTGTGTTCGGAGCAGGGAAGTGTTTCCTGTTGTCTGTGACTGTAATGTTTATCATGTTTGTAGGTGTGTTTGGAGCAGGGAAGCTCCCTGTTGTCTGTGATGTGTATAATGTTTATCATGTTTGTAGGTGTGTTTGGAGCAGGGAAGTGTTTCCTGTTGTCTGTTATCATTGTGTTTATCATGTTTGTAGGTGTGTTTGGAGCAGGGAAGCTCCCTGTTGTCTGTGACTGTAATGTTTATCCTGTTTGTAGGTGTGTTTGGAGCAGGGAAGAGTTTCCTGTTGTCTGTGATTGTACTTTTCCTGGTTAAGCTATTTGAAGGTGTGTTGTGGTGTGTGTATCAAGCATGGGAAGGTTTGACAGTTAACCTGTATGAGCAGAGACTCCTCGCATTGAACTTTCATGGTATCACCCATCTTATCCGAAGGTATTTAATGATAGATTGTTTACACAGAAACAGGTGTCCCAACGCCATTTGACTACGCCGAGAGACTGGAGCCAGAATATACTAGTCAAAATATAGAACTCTGACATTGTACCAACCTCAAATTATCATTAAAAAAGTTAATACACCCATCAGCAAATTGGTAAGGTATACAGAAACTAGGTCATTCCATCCTTAAAGATTAAGATTTTTATCATTTACACCAAGTTATTTTCTACTATTGTTACACAGATTAAACCTTTAGTGGTGTAGTGATGATTATTAACTTACATTTATTGCACATGTCAAATTTCCCCAACATTTCATGAATCAGTGGTAAGGTGTAAACATCAGTTAGAATACAATTTTTAGTTGTGTTTCATTATTACATTGTACCTGGCGGCCACTGATTGAAATAGTAGGATTGATGAAGATAAATTGTTATATGGAATGATGTTTTCTAAATGTAGATTGTATTATCCTTAATTTGAATTATCTCCTTTGTCCAACAACATGATTATCTTATCTTGACTTGCTGAATGAGAGATATCTATGGTAGCTTTTTCTCTTTTTTTATGGAAGCCTATCAATCTAGCCTGAAAACATTGTTTCATTCTATTTTGTTCTGGGAGTTTTAATTTTCCTTGTTGATATTAATTCAATTTTAACTTTTCCAGCTTGTTGGATATTGGGTTTAAAGACTTTGTCCGTGTTGGAAGTATGAAGAAGATATCTAAACCTGTGTTACCCTTCAGGTGAGGCTACCAGGCAAACATTAGGCATCTTTAGGCTGCATTTGACCTAATACATGTTTTTTTACTCATTATAAGCAACTTTTAATGATTAATGTCTTCATTGACCACATTTTAAAGCATCCAGGGTACCAAGTTAATAAATATGGTATGTCTGCATAGTCATGTACTATTGTAACAAAAATACACTGAACATTTTACAGTTTTTGTTGTATATCCATGGTTTTCTATTTGTTTATAGCATGCTTAAAAACTGCAGGTAATACATGTAGGTATAAAAAAAAAAAGAAACGCTATCTTCTTGATGATATTGTTTTAAACAAGAGGGCGGGGAGGGGAAATATTTTCGATGATGTTAATAGTTCAACATGTTTTTTTTTCTAAGTGTCCACGCTACTGGCTCAGAAAATCAAGAACTGAAAGATCTACAGGAGATGCTGAGAAGTGGAGAATTAACACCTTCTGAAAAACAGTTTAGACTTTTAAAATAATTATAAAGAATACATTTAATTTATGTTTACTAAATGAGTATCTTCAAAATATTAAGAGTATTTTTCTCTGCCAATAACTTTCAGTTTTTCAGTGTAAACATTCACATTAACATTACTTTTAAGGATGATTTTAAAATCATTCTGAATATGTTCCAATGCTATATTACTGGGGATAGTAAATTTGAGTATTGTCAAAGGATGAGTCAATTTGATTGTCTGTCTGTAAAATTATTATTTCTGTAGGCATACAATTTACCATTCATTTGTTTAATGTAGATGAATTTTAGCTTATTTTTCATTAGGAAAGAGTATCTACTTATCAGGACATTTTTTCTGAGACCCTTGGGCTGTTTAAGTACAGGAAGAAAATGTCAATAAGCCCAATACCAGACATGGGCTTATTGTTGGATATTGGTTTTTCTAAATATCAAATACTCTCTTTTTCTCGAAATACAGTGCATGTCCAAGAAAAAACATAGGCTTAGTTTTTCATTTTTAGGAAATAGTTCTGAAATTGAAACCATTTGTTTTTGTTGTTGTAGTAATGTCCGCCAGAGTATAGAAAAGCACAGACTCGGAGAAAATAAAAAGGTGAGGTGATCACATTATAAACCTAGGTAGTCAAGGTGGGTTTTTTGGAGGTTTTTTGGGTGTTTTTTTTTCTAATTAGTTGAGGGAGATGACATGACGATAGTCGTGTATAAATGATTTAATGGATGTTTTACTGTGTGTTTCTCTACAGAGACTGAGTAAAGTTCGGGTGGTCGGAGTGACATGTGCCTCCTGTACAGCCTCCAGCTTGGACCGCTTGACATTTCCAGTAAGTTTAGCATAAGAAAACCTTGAAAGACTAAAAATTAAGTGTGTCCTCAATATTGATGGTTTGGTTTCTAGTTTAAGGTGTCATTATCTTTCCTGCCAGAAAATCACTTTCACTTCTCTAAAACACCTCCTTCTAGTCCAATTCTGCTGCCATCATACCCAAAAATGCTTAAGTGGTGCAAATAGTGATAGTTTCTTGAAGGAAAAGTGCACTAGTGATAGTTTTTTGAAGGAAAGGCGCACAATATTTTCTCTAGTAAATGTTTTTTAAGTTTCACTTTAAAGCTGTTGGTTGAATGGTTGTGAATTGAGAATGTGTTATGAGTAAAATTCAAAATTCATTTTATCTCCAACGATTCATGAATACAAATGTAGCCTTAACCTCCTGTCAATTGATTAAATAAATCTATTCTTGTGATATGAATTTCAGGTAGTGTTACTTGATGAGTCTAGTCAGATGACAGAGCCAGCATCCATGTTACCCATAGCAAAGTTTGGATGTGAGAAACTCCTATTGGTGGGAGATCCAAAGGTAGTTCTATAAGTAATCACATAACAATGTGATAAATCTAATGGCACAAATGTAACACTATTGATGTAAATGTTGTCACAAAATTTTTTCAGCAGAAAGAAATTAACAAAGTTTTGCAAGAAATTCATTTGAGGATATTTATTTACTTTCCTTTTGATTATGGGTGATGTAACTAAGAATCTTTAATAAGCATCCATGTAATATTACAAATGATATGGACACTCATGAAAAATCCTCTGTGAATTTAAAATAAACATACTAATACTTAACCACTGTTTGCTTTATTAAACAGCAACTAGACCCAACTATTCAGGGATCAGAAGCAGCCCATACCAATGGCTTGGAACAGACCTTGTTTGACAGGCTTATTAAAGTGGTATGGTATGATCATCTGTCAAGACAAAAACCAATTCAGATTTTTCCACACCAATCAAAAATGTTTCTGGGACCTTCCTGAAACATAACCATAACATAAAATTATGCATTTTAAGTATCAATTTGATGTAATCATTCTTGAAAGAGATGGGTGTCCAAGAGTTGGTTTGCCCATTCTTGGAATGATTCCTTTCAATCACTATGAATTGAAGTTGTGTATTCTTGAATTGCAGTTGTATTAATAATTTTTTCAGGAGTTATTGCCCTTTGTTTTTGTTTTTGGGTTTTTTCAGTATTTTAATCATTACCAGAGATTTGGTATCCTTTATCATCAAAACACATAGCACTGTTTCCCCTTGTTTCCTTTTGATTCAACAAGGTTTTTCAAGAATTATTGCCCTTTGTTCTTCAAATCTTTTTGATCAGGCCTGTAGATCCTATCTCTCTGTTTTCAGCCAGTTTTGTTCCAACTTATGGGACTTCTCATAACAGGACTGTCATACCCCATTTGGGGACTGGGGCCCGGGGCCCTTAGAATTGGGAAAAATAATGGTGTTTTCCTTAGAATTGGGAAAACTTTGGGTCTAAATTGGGAAAAAAGATACTATTTTGCATTGGGAATCGGCACCAAATCTAGCAGATCGAGAGCCCTGCATAATGTTATGAAACTGTACTTTCTGGCTGATATTTTTATTCTGTATTTGAAATTGTAATTTTATAATGCATTTCTCGTTGGTATGGGATGGATGTATATTTTTCTGTAGCATGTTGCTCTTGTTTTTATAATGCCATGATCTTCTGGTTTTTAATGACATTTTAACTAGACAGTTATTGTTGTATTGCCACTTTTGTATACATTTAGATAAAATACTGTATATGATTTTTTCTTGACTTGCAGTCACAAGTTCTCTTGTTAAAAATTAATGGTCATTTTTCAATTGCAAAACATAAAAAGTGCTATTTTCTGATGTTGTTTGATTATATCTGTATACGAGACTAACATTGTGATGTCATTGGTGGATTTGTTTCATGGCTGAATTAGCTGTGTAAAGATCTTTGGTTCAGAAAGAGAAATAAGAACATGTAATTAAAAGCAATGAATAACGTTGGTAATAGCATCACGTTCCTATGAATACTGATGTTTCCATTTGGTGACTAACATGTAGTATCAAGCTTAATCAATTTTATCAGGAATATGTGTATATCATATGGTCATCACACTTTTTATTAAGATTACACTAATAAACTGCAAAGCTAATTCCTTGGATTTTTGTTCAAAATAAATAATTTTTAAATTTAATTTTCTGAAAAAATTGTATTTTCAGATAATTCATATGTGAATTGCGTATGTTTTAGGGTCATGTGCCGACGGTACTGCACACACAATACCGATGTCACCCTGTCATAAGTAACATCGCCAATACTCTGTTTTATGATGGACAACTCATTGATGGTGTCACTTCATCAGATAGGCAGCCATTAGTGGTAAGAATTTTTTATTTTCCTGTACTTTGCTAATTGATTGAGTAAATTAACTGTATTTATCTGGCAAAAGGCCCAGGGGTGAAGAGGAGGGATAGATTACTTGTGTGTTTGGTAGGGGCTTATTTCAAGACAATACATTTGTTGGCATTTCTTCTGAATCTAAAATAGATGTGGATGGGCTTATTTCTAGATATCTAAATCTTTGGCCTGGTTACAACATTTACATAAATGTACTGACACAGAAACACTTCTGGTATCAACAAATTATGATAAATTATTAACAACATAAGATGATAGACTACAATGACTATAGGAAATGCTCTATTTTTATCCCATTTCATCGCAAATCTGTTCAAGATTTGAGATAAAAACAAATGTAATACTGTAAATGCACTTAATTTAGAGCTATCAAATTTTAGCGTAAATTTTGGTAAATTAACACAATGATTATATAAGTAATATTGAGAACCTGCAGTTAGCACAATATTTATAGCGCGAAAAATGCTGTAACAAAATTACCATGAAAATATGTATGTTTTAAATATCAAACAGAAAAACAATTAACCAAGACCAAGTTAGTAACAATTACTGTAGAAGTTGACTTAAGGGTTAGATTTCAAAATTTTGTAATTTTAACAAAACTTCAAACCATAATGGATGTATCTTTTATGGAAAATATGAAAGGGTCTTTGGTTCTTCTCTATTTATTTTATTTTCAAGGTAACTACTTTTGGCTATTTAATTCCTACTCAAAAATATTAGTAGATGAAATCTCACAAAACTAATATCTTTACAGTAAAAACATCTGCCATTTACATTGCCGTTACAAAACATCTTAACAGGGGAAGTGTTAACTTCAAACCAAATGAAGTGTTTTGTATTCCTTTACATTTCAAATATAAGCAAGAATAATTCAAGAAAGACATCCTAATTACTATTACAAACAAACCATTAAACACCATTCTGATGTAATAGGTATATGACTAATACAATCAATGTTAAAAAAGATTTTTTCAAATCCTCATCAGTCATAAAGAACCATTGCTTATAGACAGCTTTCTGAATTAATCTATTTAAAGATGTACTCTTCTATTGGAAGTAAAACATAATTTAATATGAAATTAATATCTTGGGACTGTTGTCTTTTAATATACTTTGTCATCGATATCTGTACTATAAGTTGAAAATGAGTGATTTATATGATGTTTTTAAGAAATTTCACCCATGGACTACATTTTTTGGTGGCATAGGTAACGGTGTGATTCAGTTGATAGCGTCAGTTTCATCATTTTCTGGTTGCTAAGGTATGTCTCTTGAGTATAACTCTGGGAAGATTTCAACTAAATTTTACAGGAATTATCACCACAAATCAACGTTATGAAATTCATGAATTGCGACTTGGTGATAACTTTCCCGGATTTTTAGGACCAGAATATAGAAATTTTAGGTGGTTTCTTTATCTTTGAAATACTAGCTATTTTAAGTGAAAATTGCAAAAAATAAAGCATGGAGTCCAGTAAGCAGTTTAAAGCTCTTTAAATCTAATGAAAATTGAACATTTTTGTATGATTTTTTTTCTTAGTTTTCTTTGTTTACTTTGTAACTGTATTGTGAAAATTTATTCGAAGAAAGATTGCCGCCAAAATAACAGAGAATGCCTGTTATTCAGGAAAAAAATAAGAAGGATAAATGGAAATATATTACTTCCTGTACAGAAAAAGGAGTGCAGTAACATATTTATTTTTTGCTTTTAATCTACTTTCTAAAATCAAACCTTTCAAAAAATTCATCATCAAAAAAGTTGAATACAGGATTGGTTTAATTCTTAGAGGAGTACTTCCTAAAGAGAAGTTTCATAGTAACATTGTAGTTTCATAAAGAATTTGAAACATGCCTCGTTAGGACTAATGTATACTATAAAATTTCATGGTTCTTCCATACAGTCAGAAGTCCCCACCCTGTGTTTCTATGATGTGAGTGGAGGCCAGGAACAGACTGATGATGGAGGTAGTTTCTACAATGAGAAGGAGGCAGTTTTTGTGACATCTCTTATCCAGGCACTCCTGAAGCGAGGAGTGGATCCTGCTAGTATTGGCGTCATTACCCTGTACAAGTCTCAAATGCACAAAATCAAAACTAGTCTCCTAACCAATATTCAGTATGTACAACATCACCAAGTGTATCCCAGACCAAAACCGCTCACTACTAAAGGCATATGGTTAGAAAAAATATAATTTGATATTTGTATTTAATTTATATCAAATTTATTTTATTTTAATCATATTAAATAAACTGAAATGTCGTACAGTATATAAGAATATTATTACTCTAAGATATACTATTGTAGTCTTTCAACGAGGTTCATACATGATTTTATGAAAGTAGGAAATAGCATCTACCAAAAACAAAAAACTGAGTGAAAACAGCTAAATTATGATAAATTAACTTTTCACTAGATGAAACTATGATTGAAATCATATTTATCAACTGTTTATTTGGTCTTTATGATGAGTCTACACATGATTTCAAGCTGTTTATCTTCCACATGGAACTCAACTCTATAATTTCGTTTTTCATTGTGATGTTGTTATGTAATCTTGTCCTGACATCACAATATGCTGTATTACATAAGGCAATATACAAAATAACACATGGGCATATCAACTGAAAAAAAAATGTGATTAAGTTTGTTTTTTTCCATCAAAACAGGGGCATGATGTGTGATTACCTACAGTCCTTGTACCCCTATTGTTCTCTATATAAATACATATCAACAATAGCTATAAACCCTATGTCTACTTCATTTTGATTTATAAAAAAAACAAAATAATGTGTCAGTACATGTATTGTTTAAACGTATCCAAGTCGTTTGTGTGATATATATTCTGATATATATTCCTCTTAAATTCATGCTAAAGTATATTAGAACTTGTAGAATGAATATTATTTACAGATTTACAGACAATTAGGTAATGCATTAGAGATATTGATATCTTTTAGGTTAAATAAACAGAACTAGTTCTTGTCATTTTGTAGAACATACATACTTATTTGTGTTCTAGAAGTGATAGCAACAAGGAGATCAAAGCCACACGGGTGTCTACTGTTGATGCCTTCCAGGGAGGCGAGCATGATGTCATTATCCTCTCATGTGTCCGTACAAATGGAGTTGGCTTCATTGACAACCAAAAGTAAGTCATCTCTCATAGCCTTGTGAAAGATGAGCTCACATTTTTGTCTTTCCCAGGAGTGAGAATAGGGCTGTTTTTGTTTATCAGTTGGACCAGTATATAAAGTAAGGAAGGACCTGTTGATTGTATTTTGCTTTCTGATTTATGATCCGAATGATACATTGAAGATTGTAGTTGATTTGGTGTTACCTTATAAACATACAAGTCATGATTTTTTACTTTGCATTGTTCCTGAAATTTGTAGTCATGTTTGAGATATGTAAGTATAGCAGTTTGGTTATGAAAAATTCATCCTATATATATATATGTATGTATTTATATTTTCAATTACATAAAATTTATGTAAATTAAAAATTTCCTCTGATTTCTGATATGTGATTGCCATGGTTACCAACTCAAAAATTACCAAAATTGCAAAAAAAAACCCTGCTAATTCCAACCTAACAATATAACTTAATAGAAGAAATGTATTTCTGAACACCTGTCTTAAAATCAATACCACTGTCATGGTAATAAGTTACTTACATTTTTAGCAAATTCCATCTCGGAACTCCTTCACATGACCAACTGTAAAAACTATAAAAATTTCACTTCCTGTAAAGCTAGTTTTTGATGTGTAGACACAGATTGTAGACTGCCCAAATAGTAATTTCCAACACATTGCAAAAATATGAAATCCCACATTGTCCACTTCAACATGACAGGACCAATTTTAGTGAGGATTTATTTTTTAAATCTTCATTAAAACTTTTAAAATAAGGTAATATAATAAACAAAAGTATCACCCATGGCCACACTAAGAAACTGTGTACTTCTTCCTGAAGACATTGGATGTAAGATTGAATCAGATTCAGAAGATGCGGTCGAACCATATTTTCTATATCTTCACGTAGAAACTCCTTGAAAACAGTTACTACTTCACAAGGATTTTAATTAAACACATTCTAAAATGTTTGTTTAGGAGAACCAATGTGGCCCTCACAAGAGCTCGTCATCACTTACTGATCGTTGGGGAAAAAAGCAATTTGTCCCGAAACCAGTTATGGAGTCAGGTTCTTAGACTTTGTGGAGGTAGGTATCCCCAATCCTAGAACCTTTAATATAACACGGAAATTTAAGGTAAATACACAATATATATATAGTTTCCAAGAAATAGATGTATGAATGTACATTGACTGTGTAAATGATCCCCATTTGTATGGTTTACTCACTGAAATCTTGAAATTAACCCACTACAGAAATGATCATGTGAACAGCATTACCTGCAGTAGTAAGACTAAGAAAGACATAAGAATTTGTACAACAATAATTTTATTAAATAACAAGTACATGACAATTAATTCAGCCTTTAAAACACAAGCATGATGTCTAGAAAAGCTGGGATGAAATGCAAAATGCTTAATGTGAAATGTTTTGATCATTAAATAAGATTAACTTGGAATAATAGAACTTGAAGGTATACACAAAGTATCTGTGGTTGGCTGTAGGCCTAGAGCAGCTGTAGAACATTCAGCTTCTCAAATTACTAGGGCTCATTTCCTAAACGGTACTACTTATGTATATGATATATGCATAAGTGCAGTTTATGAACTTGAGCAAGTCTAGCATCCTATGCAAATGAGCTAAAGCAAGTAAATATGTAGATGAAAAAATGCTACGTCAAGTGGAAGACACAATTGGTCAGTTAATCACATGAGTGCTTAATTATACAGCGAGCAATCCGATAATGATTGGTCACTGTAGTCATGTGATCAGTCAGTTTTCAGTAGCTGCTACATGTAACATCTCAGTAGTTTGTTGTGCAAATGTGTTATCCACCACCACCCCACCACACGACCATTGCAGGTGAGGCCTGAAGCTACAACAGCTGTAATTCAAAATCATTTATAAGGCAGTTTAAGTGAGTAAACACTTGCCAGCTGTTTCCGAGCATGGATAAATTGTACCTTCCCCCTTCCTGATAAAGGGAGCTAGGGTTTAGGAATCTGGCTCTGCAGCAATTCTGTGTACATTTCTACAAGGGCATATTACTTCATTATGTAATTCGTAAGTCCCCCAAGAATTCTATTTGGCAGTAAATAGTTAGGTTGCCTCTCTTCAGGTACATAGCTCGGCCAGCAGCTTCAATATCTTGACGTCTATTTAAGCATTTACTTGTTGGCCAGGTAATACTGAAGCACTACAGCTGTTATAGCCCCTTAGCCCATATTGTTATAATGTAATAAACTGTAATGATTCCTCTCAATGTGCCTCTACGTAATTTGTTAATAAATCACATTATGGTAAGTATTTCACACAAAGCATTTTGCATCACACATTTTGCATAACACGTTTTGCATAAAGCATTTAGCAACTGTAAGTATACAGTTATGAAGAATGTCCCAAAACATTCTAAAAACATGGCAACAACTCTTAACAGTTATTTGTTGATAGGACACCCTGAAAAAGAAAAAGAAATATTTTCTTATGACTTACAGTCAACTTGAAAGTAAAGATATTGTTAAATGAATGAAAGATAAAACATCTCACATTTGGCATGAAGCATGCTGCACTGGTTTTCCATATCAATAATTGTTTTTCTTGTAATTTCTCTATAAAGAATGGCACCATTTCTGTAACAATAGTATTTAATTTCTTTTTAAAAACATGGTTCAAATAAAATTCTAGTGTTTTGAATATTGTGATAACTAAAGTATTGCTTAAAATCTTGAATATATTCAGCTCAGCCTGAAGGTATATGTGAGGCGGACACCTTCCTTCGACAGCTGAAGGACACAGATCGGGACCCATCACAGAAAAGAATGGGAAGCACACCCTGCAGTCCTCCTATGTCACTATCTAGTCAAGGTAAATGTTTCGTAAATCATTATCATCGTCATACTAAAAGTTTCCAAATTCCTTGCAACCTGACCATGTATCCCAATCTTGTCTGAAATAAATCTGATCAACTATTTATAATCATTTGAAATGTGATATAATATACAAAATTCATTAGTATGAATTCAACAGGTTTTCAGTTAACTTGACTAATTCTTAAATCTTTAAGGTTTTGATAGTTGCTTTTCTAGTAAGATAAACAAAGTCTAAGTATGGTGAGTGCTGGAGAAAATATAATTGTTTTACTAAGTAATATGATACTCTTTGATTAATCCAATTCTATCAGTGGTTCCTCTTTCACAAACCTAGACCCCAGTTGGGTAGATATTTTACTGAAATTGCTTCAACATTTTGAGACTGATATTGACTTTTAAATCTAGAAATTACATATCCCATGAAAAGAAATGTTTAGCAAGAAAGTTTCCTAGTTTTATCAACCAATGAAGAGCCTTGGTCGTTTTGAGGCTAGGGTCTCTGGATCTTTGTATTGTCTGGTTGTCACCTCACTGAACAACATATGGGAGGCCCATGGTATGCCATCCATGAGCTATTAGGGTAAAGTGTCATGCCAAAGGACACAATGATGTGAACAGACTAGTCTGTTTCTCAGCTTCCTGCAAAGAACAAACCACTAAGGGATGGGAGTGTTGGACTACACCCCTCTGACCCTTGTCCGAGGTTATGTAGATCACTCTCTGATTGACCGAGCTACCACTGCCCCATTTTAACGAGAGATATATAAAAGTAACAATACATAATAACACAAGACTTCTGACAAAACAGACTGATTCAGGTCACCCTCTTATGTAATTTACTTGCATAACAAACTGGTTGACCTTTCTGGTGTCTAATGCACAGTCCGCAGACCACCTCTGACAACACACAATAGACAGGTTATTTTGTTCAAATAAAGATAGAGTAGAGAGATCAGTTCTAACAATCTTGAATTTGAAATTGATAATATTAAGCTTCTTAAGCAGTTTACTCACATAACAGCATAACAAACTGGTTGACTTCTGGTTGACAATACACATATCAATGTTATTTGTTTATGTATGAAGAGGGTATTAATCACAACATACTCACGCGTTACCAATAAGAGAGTGTTGACTTTATTCGTCGACTAGTTTCGCCTCTGTCGCAGAGGCTTCTTCAGGACAAATATTATACAAATTTTATCCCTGAAGTACCTTCAGGGAGGAAAACTTTTATCTGTGACGTAATGGACAATTAACCGTTATCTTGCATATCTGTAAGTTTAGCACAGTTCATATATAGAATAGTAAGTATAACTTTTGAATAAATGAATTTAAAGATTTCTAACAGTGTTCGTTATTGTTATTTCTGTCACCTTCCTTTAGATTTCTTCTGGTCTTTCATCAAGACAAATAGTATGATTAGATTCTGATACATAGTCTAGATCCCTGTAGTTGATTTTTTCTGATATAGAACTGTTTGAATCTGTGGTGTCGCTGAGGTAAAGGTCTTCTTTAAGCAATTCTACTGCCTCTTCCATCACTGGTCTGAATTTGCTGGCGGGTCCAGCGGTAGTTATCCCTAAGGCAGGTTTTACCTGGAATTTAGCGGCTGCTAGTTGGGTCTTAGTCAGACTTTCGAATGGTCTGCGCAGCTTTTCTGGAGTCTTTGCTTCATTTCTGGTTTTGTCTTAAAAGATTTCAGGTTCAATTTTATAGTATGGGTGCATTTTGGCTAAGTGTTTATCATAATTGTCCTTACGGCCAAAGGCCGTTTTGCAGATTTTGCACCTGTACCATGTAGATTTGTTTCCATGTACGTTATTTACGTGTCTTCTTAGGTTCTATATCAGAAAAAATCAACTACAGGGATCTAGCCTATGTATCAGAATCTAATCATACTATTTGTCTTGATGAAAGACCAGAAGAAATCTAAAGGAAGGTGACAGAAATAACAATAATGAACACTGTTAGAAATCTTTAAATTCATTTATTCAAAAGTTATACTTACTATTCTATATATGAACTGTGCTAAACTTACAGATATGCAAGATAACGGTTAATTGTCCATTACGTCACAGATAAAAGTTTTCCTCCCTGAAGGTACTTCAGGGATAAAATTTGTATAATATTTGTCCTGAAGAAGCCTCTGCCACAGAGGCGAAACTAGTCGACGAATAAAGTCAACACTCTCTTATTGGTAACGCGTGAGTATGTTGTGATTAATACCCTCTTCATACATACTTCTTAGTTTTTGTTTAATCGCCCTGCATACCCTCTGGTATCCATACTCACAGCGAAGTACCCACCTAATACCCACTTACTCATACCTGACGTTGGCTCCTTCTCTTTGATGTTATTTGTTTAATTACAAATAAAGTAGAGATCAGTTCTTACAATCTTGTGCATATAATTGGTTATTGCAGGCTGTCAACCAAGTCGTCTTCAAAATATAGGAGGAATATAGGAATATTTTTTCAACAAATATCAGACTTTTTTACTAGTTTTGAGGCAAAATATAGGAGTTTTCCAAACGTATATCGTTTCATTCAAAGGCATTTATACTAAGAATTCTTACCATCACTTACTGTTTCTATATTAATCAATGATTAAAAACTACCTTAAAGTAACCATTCACTTCAACAGCATCACAATCCAGGCAGAGAGCTGCTGCATAGCTCATCATCGTCATCCAAATGGGCACCTAAAAGGCCAATATCATGTACTGCCTTGCAAGGTGCACATACAGGTGATAAAGAGATGCACTGAATCATTTTCTGGTGGCTGGTGATGCTGTTAAAGAAGCCAAAAGCAGTATAAAAAAAAATATTTACAATCTCTACATTTCTCGGTGACAAATTTCCTGAAAGATATAGGAATATTTTTCAAAAAATAGGAAAATATAGGAAAGAAAGGTGGTCTTTCCAAAATATTGGTTTTTGAACCAAAATATAGGAAAATATAGGAATCGGTTGACAGTCTGTTATTGGTAGGGTGGTGATATTGGCCAGACTTCAAAATTTCATTATACATTCTAAAATTGATTTAAACATTCTAGAGTTTATAGCATCAATGGTTACTGAGTAATTTTGAAAATTCTAAAATTCTCATGACCCATCTTGTTGCAGAGACAGGCACTGTTTCATGTTCTTCAGACCCTGATAATGAGGATGATGTTATGGGACCAGAGCTATCTCCCACTAATCCAAGGGTGTTAGTAAGGAAGAAATGTCGCTTGATCAGTGCGGACCTCCTGGAGAGTTCTGAGACCAGTGACTCGGAGGAGGAGCTTCCAAGATTTTGACCAATGGACTGCGAAGTTGATGACATGGTTGTACCAAAACTTCATATTTGAACATTGAGGTTTGGATTCAAGTTGCGGAGATGAGGCGGAGGTCGAACATCCAGTTTAACCTGCTGAATACGTAAACGTGCCAAACTGCACTCTGTGATATCACGACATTCTCGTACTTGTAGCACTTTCAAAGTCCGACTGTACTCTGCAAGGTCTCTGAATAAATGAGTAAAATATGGATTTCAGATGTCTGGGCACTGTTTGTATTACAAAATCAACCATGGCTGAGGTAAAAAAGAAAATCTTTTTCAAATTGTTAAAAAAAAACATATGTCTACACTTCCATTACAAGAGTGACCAACAGGAAGAATACATCATGGCTTTCAAGGCAAAGTTTCAAGTCACATCATTTAAACGAAATATTTGAATATAACGTTCTTTATTTTTGCACATATAAAACGAGAGTGTAAACAGCTAGTCTGACTGACCTGATTGAGTCATCCGATAGTCTCCAACATCCCTGTACATTAAGGTGTGCCAATGACTTGCTGGATTTGGCTAATGAACTGATAGCATGATCAGTCAAACCATAGATCTTGGCAACAGACAGGTACTTCAACCTGAATAAGAAACAAGAGGCCCAGAGGGTCTGTATCGCTCACCTGGATCTTTATGACCAACTATACAATATCTGTGCATATGTTCCACAGTAGATGCTTAAAGCAATATGACAAATTACTCCATATGGGTTCTGTCCCTTAGTAGTCCAAAATAAGTCATTTGTATATAAGCCTTTAATGGCCAAATGATGGGTTTTTGTTTAATCAGAAGAAGTTGATTAACTATTTTACCAAATCTAACCTCGATGACCTTAAATATCATTATGGGTCAAGCTATTTTTTCACACACTATGTGGGCCCCATTAAGGGAACCTTTTGGACAAATATTATGATCCTAAGCCTTTAGCTAATCAGGAGTTGTTCAAAGGTTTAACAAATTTGACTGTTGTGACCTTGAATATAGGTCAAGGTCATTTCTAGAACCTATTTTTGAATAATATCACTATCCCAGATGTTTTGGATCATCAGAAAATGTAATTTCAAGTTTTAACACATTTGACCCCTTTGACCTTGACTATGGGGCAAGGTCATTTCTTTTTGCAAACTTTCTTGGACTTCATAAGAGGAACATAGTAGCCTAATATAATGATTCTAGGCCTTGCAGTATTTGGGGAGAAGTTGTTTAAAGGTTTTAACACATTTGACCTCTGTGACCTTGAATATGGGTCAAGGTCATTCCATTTTGCAAACTTTGTTGGGATTCATAAAAGGTACCTTCCAGCCAAATATAATGATTCTAGGCCTTCCGGTATTTTGAAAGAAGTCGTATAAAGATTTTAACACATTTGACCTCTGTGACCTTTAATATGGGTCAAGGTCATTTCTTTTCGCAAACTTTGTTGGGCTTCATTAGAGGAACCTTCCAGCCAAATATGATAACTCTACACCTTTCGGTATTTCAGAAGAAGTTGTTTATATGAAAAGTTGACGGACAATGGACAGACCGACGGACGACGCGCTATGGCATTAGCTCACTTGGCGCTTTGGGCCAGGTGAGCTAACAATTACAATAGTTATACTGTAAAATTGTATGTTGCAAGGGTAAAATTTCATGGTTTTCTAAATTCATATATCTTCATTGACAGTGGATTTCATTGATAAAGCTTGATCACAGAATTCATTAGTACATGTACTATAATCAATGTCAACTTTTAACAAATTTGTGGATTCTGAGTGAAAAAGAATTAATATAAATCAACCACGAACATTCCTGATTTTACATTAACTTTACACATAACTATTTAAAACCAGACTTTGCTGTTCTGCTGTATATGTAGAATTATGATCGCAGTATGTTAGATATCTGACCTGATTGTAAGTCTCTAGGCTGTATACTTTTTAATTTTCATATTATTGTATATAAAGGTCGTTATGGTTGCTATGAAACAATATAAAAATGTATACTGTAAACAAGGCAATAATCCCCTAGAGTTATTTTCGCCCTCCCATGAAATATATTTGTCTTTTCAGTCTTAAATTTACCCTGAATCACTATACAAATGTACATATTTCAGTTTTCACTTCAAACTTTCACTGCCGTTTAAGAATGACTTTATCAACAAAATGGCAAAAAATGGGAGAAATTCAAACTGCAGCCGAAGTTAAATATGATAAAAAATATAAATTTTATTTAGAATATTTTACATCAATTGCAAAAACAAATTTTAAGCTTATATTAATCATTCTTGTTAGTCCCATTGAAGTGTGAGGGGTCTTACTGTGGAAGGAAACAGGAGTACCCATAAAAACTGTCATGGTTGGGCAGGTGACCCCTTACCTTTTCACACCCACATCCGGAATCAAATCATAGATGCCTTTATCAAAGGGAAATGTGTTACCAGCGCCCCACCCTACTACTTTCCCTGTGTACAATATTTCTCCTGTTTTTACAATAATTCAAAGTTTTGTTTGCTCTATGTGGAGTACCAAGTAATAACGAGATCCCAGAGGGACCTTGATGCCCACCATTGTTTGATCTTTATTTGCTCTTTGAAAGTTGGATCTTTTCCCTTCTTTTCTGTTCTCTGTTTTTGCTCATAATGATAAGACATTTGAATGTTCCTTTGCAGAGAAAGCAATGATAATCTTTACCTGCCAAATCCAAAATGGCCATCTGGAAGCCATTTTGTTTCTTCTGATCAGATCCAAAATCAAATGGGCACAAGGAAAGGCAAAGGGAAACATACATATGGAATTTGAGAGATATCCATTCAGTACTTCTTAAGAAATAGAGATAACAATCTTTACCAGATGAAATCCAAGATGGTTGCCTGTTGGCCATTTTGTTTTTCTGATCAGTCCCAAATTCAAACAGCCACAGCTAGGGACAAAAGGAACCTATACATGAAATTTTAGAAAGATCTTTACAGTACTCAAGAAATAGCGATAAACTTTCGAAGTCAAAATCTAAGATGGCTGTCTGTTGGCCATTTTGTTTTTCTGATCAATTCCAAAATCAAACAGGAACAACTAGGGATCAAGGGACATACATAAATGAAAATTGAGGAAGATCCATCCAATACTTCTCAAGAAATAGTGATAACAAACTTTCAAAGTCAAAATCCAAGATCGTCATTTGTCAGCTATTTTGTTTTCCTGATCAGACCCAAAATCAAATGGGCACAACTAGGGATAATGAGGAACCTACATATGAAATTTAGGAAAGATCCATCCCCAGCACTTCTTGAGAAAAGGTGTTAACAAATATTGTTTACGGACAGACGGACCATGGACATCTGTATGGTGGGCTAAAAACTAATGGACTGTTCATTCTTAATAAAATCTATTGTTAATTGAATATTGTTTTGTCTAAAATGTAGACAAGACGAGAAGATCATTGTTTGAAAATTAGAAACAATTTTATTTTTAAACAAGTTTTAGAAAAACAAGGAATATTTTCAATCCTTACAGTAAAATATAACAATATGTAACATCTACTTGTTATACTGAAAAAAGTTTTCACAGGTTTTTCACTGCTTTTGAGATGTTCTATTTTTCACTATTTGTATGGGGTACTCTATTTTCACTATATGCTCAGAAAAGATTTCACTATTTATGAGGGTTTCTATTTTTCACTATTTGCCAAGGATTCTATTTTCCACTATTTGTAAGGGGTTCTTTTTTTCTCTGTTTTTGAGAGGTTCTCTTTTTCACTATTTATGATGTGTTCTATTTTTTACTATTTACCAAGACTTCTATTTTTGGTTATTTACTAGGGCTTTATTTACCACTGTATAGAGGAGCTCTACATGTATCTTTTTCATTATTTTCCAAGGTTTCTCTACTATTTACTCCATATTACAGTGTATATTACCCCCACACACAGTACTTACTTATTATAAGGATGCAAGTGAGAACTTACTTTTGCGAATAGATTGCTATAACAACCAAAGCGTTGTCGTTGACTTCCCAGCAACCGGTCAGGTCAAGTTTCTCAAGGTTTTTACAGTTGAGGGACACTGCCTTGACGCCCTCCACACTAACCCAGTGGCAGTCCCGTAGGTACAACTCCTTCAGGTTCTTACAGGTACCCGAAAGGGCCTCAACAAAAGCAGGCAGTTGTTAAATTTATACATTCATTGAATATGTGATATTAGCTCTGTGTTTTAATGTCATAAGCCTATAACCCAAGAACCAATGGGTGATGAATGGTCTAAAAATTTATTACAGTAGAAAATTTAATATTTGGGCTAATGAAAAATTGTTTACTATGAAAATAAGGTCAGGTCAGTGTAAAATATATTCAAAAATCTGCTTTTACATTGTATTACAGGTAGAATTGTGAAATTACAGGTAAATTCCCTAGTATTAAGCAGAATATCATAGCAGTCAGAAAATGAAGACACAATGACTCAGAAAGCTCTGCTTCATAACAGGCAGATAATCTAACTAGCACAATCATCTGAGAATGTTGATAATGGAAGGAGGAGTAAAAAGCACTTCTGTTTCAGATAAATATATGGATTTCATTGAATTTTCTTCTAACATTAATATTTTGATCACTTATGGTCTAGAATACTCAAACCAAATATTTTTAAAATCCAGGGTTCTGGTTATCAACCTTCAACAACTGCCTTTATTCAAGGTGGTGAGAAAAGCCATTTTGGCATATAACCTCCTGGGAAACCTGACAGCAATAGACTTTTAGTTTGCCGCCCTACTTTGTAACAAATGAAGTGATTAAACAAAGCTAGGACCTTTCATTCACCCATGTACCAGAATATGTCATATGTACTGTAATATGTCATACATGTGTACCGAAGTATGTCATACATATGTACCATAATATGTCATACATATGTACTGTAGTATGTCATACATGTGTACCGTAGTATGTCATACATATGTACCATAATATGTCATACATTTGTACCATAGTTTGTCATACATGTGTACCATTATATGTCATACATATGTACTGTAGTATGTCATACATATGTACTGTAGTATGTCATACATGTGTACTATAGTTTGTCATACATGTATACCATTATATGTCATACATGAGTATCATATTATGTCATATGTACTGTTATATGTCATATGTACCGTAGTATGTCATACATGTGTACTGTAATATGTCACATCAGGTATATGTATGTTTTCTCAGCCCTGTAACAAAACATTTCTCACCTGTAAACACACATTGTTTACCGTCTGACAGTTTGTTAGGTCCACCTTGATAAGTCTCTGAGAATTGTTGATGAGAGGCAGGAAAAGTTCGTTGGAGAGCCAGTCCTTTGCATTCCTCATTACAATCATTTCCAGGCTAAAATTGTTGTCTGTCATTATGTGGAATGCACTTGAGGTCATACGAAAAGCAACTTGGCACAGGTTTAGGGACTTTGTCTGTGAGAAATAATTTGTGATGAGTTCCTTTGCAGTCTTGCAAACAGTTCTGAATTTGAAGAGTGTAGGAAGGGGAAGAAATGGCAACACGTTTCTGAAGAGTACATCCTCCCACGGCAAATCAAACAAACTCAGGGCAACATCAGCTCTGGAGAAAAAAATAATAACATTGCACAACTTCATAAATATTTGACAAGATAATGTACATCTAGAATATATATTTTAAAAAATGTTTAGTTGTTTTTCAGTACAGTGGACAGATCATCAGTAATGCATTAAATATCATAAATGTGATAATATTTGAATTGTGGTTGATGCTAGCAAGATCAATGCCCTGAGGGCCTCCATACATTGCAGATATTGTAAATTATCATGAAATTATATTTTCATTAACATTTTTGATAAATATTAAAGAAGTTTCTTTCACATTCAATTTTTAGGATGAGAAATTAAATACAAGTTTAGTATTTTTTTCCAAGTGAACTAACAGAACCAAATGGTGCATCCATTTATTCTATAACTAAGAAAACAATTGTGTTTAGCAGTGAGGGCATGGTTTGCCCTTCTCCAAGGATGTTGCCACAACATTGCATAAGTCCTTTAACAAAGTGAATTAAAGTAGACTACATTTTTATCACTTACTCATCATCCTTATTGTCTGAACATGTGATGGTATCCTCCATCTCTTTACTGGTCTTTCTCCAGTAATTTCACTAGACTGCTGGCATCATATCTAGACCTACAAAAACAATTTCAAATAATCTATAAGGTTGTATTCAGTGTTATTCCTAAATATTTGAACTAGGTAATACTTAACAATGTAAACAACATACTTGCTACAGTTACTAACAACAAAAAACAATAACAACAAGAAAACACCCACATGTCAACATAATCATAATCCAAACTCAAATTCAATAAAACAAGGGCAAAATATGAAAACAAGAAAGATTTACATGAAGACTCCTTCAAAGTACAAAGAGAATAAGACCAGGTGTTCCGGAAGAATAAGCATCTTCAGCTTCATTGAAGACACCTGCCATATAAATTTTGATCAATCAAAATAAATAATGTCACATTCTAAAATAAGAACAAGGTATACAATAACGGAACCAATTGGCAAACTAACCAGCATCAAACAAGTCCTGTTTCATATTGCACAACCATATGTCCAGCTTCATATCGCACAATCTTATAACCATATATGGCAATGTTGGGGATCAAGAGATAAACATAATCACGATGTAAGAATTGGCCCTGAGGTCTGGCCCAAATCTTAGGGGCTCATTGTCTTGGTACTAACTTTAAAACAGTTGAGATCCCAACCCTATAACCATATATCTAGAATTGCTTGGCATCAAAAGACAAACACAATTGTTATGTAAGGATTGACTCTTAGCTGTTGCACATTCTTCTTGGGTCATACTTTTGACATAGTTGAGATACCAACCAGATAACTATATAAACTCCTACTGGGCATCAAAAGAGAAAGACATAAATGACATAAGAATTTACCCATTGACTATGCTTTAATTCAGAAATATTTGAAATACCCAACCTAAATACCACTGCTTGACTTTTAAGATCCAGGTGAGCCATACAGGCCCTATAGGCCTAATATACGTAAAAATCACTATGAAAAAACAAACTTTACCTTATTTTCCCCGTAATATATGTAACAAAACAAATACTTTCCTTTAATTAAAGAAAATAAAACTGACTGTTTTCAATTTAAATAAAAATTGAAAAAATCGGAAAATAAACAATGTGGGACCCACAATAATTCATACATTACCGCTCGTAGCGATGACATTGCGCATTCGCATATTCCGCGAGTGTAAACATGGCAGACACAGTACAGACGTTCACCAATCGCTTCCTTTTTTCCCAATCATACATCAGGCCAGTTCTGAATTCTTACATTATAATTGTGCATCGCATCGTTTCTAAACTAATTATTCCTTCTAATTATTTCCCAAAAACTGAATGTTTATCACAGGAATACCTTAAGTCTACGACAAGACTTCGCAAACCTCAACTCTCGCGAGATCAGGTCATGAACTTTCCGACGTGGTTCGGCAACAATCGTAATTTCGATGGCGGCGTGTTTAAAATGGGGGTGTGTTTACAAATAGTGAGTTTCAACTGCTCATATATCAATACTTTAAGCACAAAGTCATTATAACTATTGTTTGAATAACTTAATTTTAACTACATCTTAGAGAATATCTCAATAATTATGTGTGATTCTACACTAAATTTTTGGTGAATGTTACGTATATTGGGGCTTTAACAGGAACAAAGGCATTATTTCAATTGCTGAAGTCTTGTAATTGTGACTAACAATGAAGAACAATGCATTTTGTAGTCATGTTACAGTGACTAACAATGTATGATGTCATGCAGTGATTAACAATGCAGAGCAGTCCATGTTTTAGTCATGTTACAATGAATAACGATGAAGAACAATGTTTGTTGTGGTGACTAACAATGTATGTTGTAGTTATATTACAGTGACTGACAATGTATGTTGTAGTTATATTACAGTGACTGACAATGTATGTTGTAGTTATATTACAGTGACTGACAATGTATGTTGTAGTTATATTACAGTGACTGACAATGTATGTTGTAGTGACTAACAGTTACAGTGACTGACAATGCATGTTGTAGTTATATTACAATGACTGACAATGTATGTTGTAGTTATATTACAGTGACTGACAATGTATGTTGTAGTTATATTACAGTGACTGACAATGTATGTTGTAGTTATATTACAGTGACTGACAATGTATGTTGTAGTTATATTACAGTGACGGACAATGTATGTTGTAGTTATATTACAGTGACTGACAATGTATGTTGTAGTTATATTACAGTGACGGACAATGTATGTTGTAGTTATATTACAGTGACTGACAATGTATGTTGTAGTTATATTACAGTGACTGACAATGTATGTTGTAGTTATATTACAGTGACTGACAATGTATGTTGTAGTTATATTACAGTGACTGACAATGTATGTTGTAGTTATATTACAGTGACTGACAATGTATGTTGTAGTTATATTACAGTGACTGACATTGTATGTTGTAGTTATATTACAGTGACTGACAATGTATGTTGTAGTTATATTACAGTGACTGACAATGTATGTTGTAGTTATATTACAGTGACTGACAATGTATGTTGTAGTTATATTACAGTGACTGACAATGTATGTTGTAGTTATATTACAGTGACTGACAATGTATGTTGTAGTTATATTACAGTGACTGACAATGTATGTTGTAGTTATATTACAGTGACTGACAATGTATGTTGTAGTTATATTACAGTGACTGACAATGTATGTTGTAGTTATATTACAGTGACTGACAATGTATGTTGTAGTTATATTACAGTGACTGACAATGTATGTTGTAGTTATATTACAGTGACTGACAATGTATGTTGTAGTTATATTACAGTGACTGACAATGTATGTTGTAGTTATATTACAGTGACTGACAATGTATGTTGTAGTTATATTACAGTGACTGACAATGTATGTTGTAGTCATGATACAGAGAATAACAATATAGAACAATGTATGTTCTAGTCACTTTCCAATGACTAATGCTGAAGAAAATGAATGTTGTAGTCATGTTATGATGACTAACAATGTAGAACAATTTATCATGCAACTGGTAGTGCCATTGTAGGAATACACCTGCCACATATATTTTTGCTGTATTCAGCAGTGACGGAAAACAGCTGTATTTTAAGCATGTGCGTGAATTCAATGGAATTAATTTCTAAATTTACTTAATTATTATGTTTAACAATATAAGAACTGTTGAAATAAGTGACTTTTTATGCTGTGATGAACGAGAATTCACAAAGTTGTTGCCATATCCATCCTTTTTTCCTTTTAACCCTCACCAAAATAAAGCTTATATTTTAAGACACTGACCATGTATTCTCTATGTATGTTGTCATCATGTTACAGTGACAGTAGGACAATACATCATGTGATCAAAATTATTTGGCGAGAAAAAAGTCTTTGCTCAGTTGTAAGCTAACATATGTATAATTGTTGTTCAGTGGAATTACCAGAAAATGCTATGTGTCCTGTATACTTAGCCATGAAGGCCTGACTTGATGACTGAAAGTGGTATGTACAATCTAGGTTATTTCTATAGTTAACGTCAACATACATTTTGTTTTGAATAAATCAAAAAATCAAAAAAGGAAATTGTTGGTCAGAAAACTTGGCATGTTCAATTTTCAAATGATATTTTTCATTTTGATAAGATAGAGGTATATATGTACACAGACTTGGACATATCTTTAAAATCAATGTTTTGTACATTAAAGCTGTACAAAAAAATAGAGATGATGGCAGACTCTTATCCCCAAATTACTATAATATGTCCCTGTTGCTTCCTATTGTAACTCAAATGAAAATACAAAAGCTCTCATAAATTTTGTAATGCTTATGAAACTGACCATCTACTCTAAAAGGTTATTTCTAATAATGACAATTTGTTGTTAGTTTGGATCAAATGCTTGCTGTCATAAATTGATATAAGTATCATTGAGATATCAGTTCCAGATGTAATGTATTTCCGAACGGCCAATTTGTCGAACTGTATCACTTAAACTATTGACCTCCTTCATCTCGCACCTGAATAATTTTGGTTGCTACATCATGTTAGGCTTCAAGCAAGAATGAAAATTTGCGATTAAAACACCATCCATCATGATTTTTTTTTTAAATAATTTTTCTTAGTAAACCTGTGAATTTTTTCTTAGTATACATTTTTACATATCAAACATCCTCCCACATATGATGAAATAACCAATGAATCCATTCTCCAATGCCTGTCCAGTGAATGAAAATCGATCAGGAATAATAGGTGATACCTTCTTGCAATTTTTTGGGTACGTAAGTCCAAACAAGGACATCTTATATAGAAAAAGTAGTGATCATTAATTAAGTTATCACTTTAGATGACTCATTTCTGGTTTTAATTAACAAATGAATTGTAGATCAACTGATGAAAATTAACTTCATTTTAATAGTTTGTGTTATTAAAAAAGAAGTTTGCCAGGAAAAAAGATTCATTTGAGAAAAATCAACCAAAAGATAAAAATTTGAATGTAATCCTTTAAAAAAAGGTGTACACATCAACACTGATATGCACCATGTTCTCACCATTATTTCATTTTGATTTTGTCTGTCTTCAGAATGTCATTCTCGTTCAAATGATGGTTTTATGTAATACATTTGTACTTCTGGCTCACTGTAATCAGAGACATATATAACACATATATATGTCTCTGCTGTAACCGATCTTAAACATGTCTGATTTAGTGATGTCATCAGAAACCCAATTGCATTCACATGTCCGATACACATGTCGATCATTTCAGGTGAGCAAAATAGAGGTCGGACCTGCGGATAATTATTTAGAAAAACACTGGTATTACACTCATCAGTTATTAAATAAATCTTAAAATATGAGCACAATTCATCAACAAAGCGTAGCCATTTAAAATTATTCTAATGGGGTCCGAAACTAATGCGCCAATGATACAGGCATGACTAAACGTCAAGTAATCAACTACGGTGCTGTCTTTAGATTCGTGTCATTATGGCCTGTGTGAGGCTGCATTAACTTCGATTCCTGAACAACCCTCTACTGGTATATTGTGAAAAAATATACGATATTGCTGTGTTTAGCCACTTACTGTTTGCTTACCTCCTTTCGTCAATGTGACGTCAATAACGGGATTCCCCGAGAAATTATTTTCTATTTTTAGAAGGCGGTAGTTTAAATGAGTAATCTACCAGATCAAAGATGGCGGACACGAACAGGCAGCGGCTTCTGAACCTGCTGACAACAATACCAGGAAATAACATGTGCGCTGAATGTGGAGAATCAGGTAAAGTTTTATTTAATAATCTGCTTGTATTTGTAAACTGAGGAATGATTTCGTCCTTGGTCATGACTCTGTGATTGATACTTCGTTGATGTCGACGAACTCATGACTGACTGATGGTAAAGATGTCAGTCCCGGTGTCACAAGCAATATTCCTAAGGTCTATGACGTACACTATATCGTGAGGCCAGATTGCCAAACAGACATCTTTATGACAAACTGATTTATGAAAATATCATTTATTATTATCTGTTTCTGATGGAACCTTTAAAGTTTTGAAAATTTGAACAATTTATAAGAAGACCATGTCTGAATTGGTGACCACAGTCCTTATCTGTATAGACCGTATATCTTTATATACTGCTTACTTGTTTGATATTCATTAAGTTGAAAGGTACCTTGGTACCACAGCCTGTCAACAGAATCTTAACCCATACTCAAAATTGATGAAATGTATGAACAACAGAAAGATCTACATGCATGCTATGGAAAAGTACAAGACCAGATGTTATGAAACGATGAGCATCTTATGTTTTATAGCTAATATTCATCATGTAAGTCTTAATTGTTTATTCCAAATGAGTAATATCATGGTGCAAAGAAGCACAATTTAAACAATAAAACCACCAGGCATGCTAATTAGCATCAAACAAATCCAACTTCATATTACATATTCAAATAGAATATTGTCCAATGGAGGGTAATTAAGGATTAGTAACTGATGTGGTGACTTTGATAACCCTCGTTAGAATCCTGGTAGCAGCATATGTAGATCCTCCTTGGCCCCTTTTGTGCCTGTTTGATTTTGGGACTGATCACATAAACAAAATGGCTGAGAGGTGACTGTCTTGAATTTGGTATTTTCAAATTTTGTGTCATTAAGACAATCCCTCTGGGATCTCTTGTGTAGTGCAAACAGCTAATATTCTAATATGCCTTTTTTCATTCAGTCATCTAAGCTTGATGACAAGTTGATATATTTGAGACATATACATGGTGAAAAATGTTGTATGGTCTGTGCTGGGAACAATAAGGTTTTACATGTACACGAGGAGATATCCTGAAACAGTTACCATCCCCACACCCTCTAGCCCCCTCTGCAGTATGTGTGGTTCTTCTTAATGATATCATCATTTCATTTCATACATATTTAGTTTTGTACCACTTCTATATGTTTATTTGTTAAACGTTAAACTACCCCAAATCCTTCACCATTACAGACAGACAAATGCCATTGTCCCCCCACCCACCCCCCAGAAAAAAAAAATCTTATATGATAATCAGAAGAACCTTTCTTCCTTAGAGTTCATGGTCACTCAAAAAGATTTTTTTAAAAATCTCTATCGGAGAAGTGGAAACTTTAAATAAATAACTGTGGAAGCTGAACCAGGAAGTATTTTCTAATGTACTTTTATTTATGAAATTGCTGTTTCATGTATTGTGTACATATATACAAATCTACAGATACTGGTATATCATGTGTGTTCTAATAATATACAACAGGTTTTCAATCTCATGTAAACATTCCTTCCCATACATTAAACAGGTTATTTAGTAGTGATATGAGATAAAATTAAAAACGCCTATCAGGTGGTATTTTTGTGTTTTATTTTGTGATATGGGGTTAGGAAATATTTAGAGAATGCCATTGGTGACATGGAACCAAAACCAACTATTTAATTTGAATGGAGATGTGTCAAGAAGGATGTAGTTTTTTCCATATAAATTTTTTAAATCTCTCATTTCTTAAGGACTCAATTTTAACGTTTCTAGATATTGAAGATTCTTAAGGATTCTTTCAAAGAGTCGTCTCAATATAAGGCATAATGAAGGTATTAAAGTGACATAAAAGATACATATGATATTTCGTTTTAAAATCAATTCTTTATCTTTAAATTTTTAAAAAATTTTCTTGTAACTTTTTGATAATTCCCCAATATCTGTTTGTCTGTCTCAGATTTATATTATTGAAGTGCCCTTTGGTGTGTTTATTACAGGTAAGCTCTTAAATTCCGTTGTTATTGATCATACAATTGCAGACTTCCCATTGAGGTGAGTCTGGACAGTATGATTGATGACCACAGCCCAGAGGGTGAAAGGCTGACAATATGGCCCACTAGTGTGTATACACTCGGACATGGTGATGTCATAAAAAGTGAAACATACTAATGGTGTGGTTGTTTAAACCAGTCTTTAAATTCAAGTACTGATCAATCCTAACACATATTTCTGAAGTTTTCTTGTCATCAGTCAAAAACATCAAGCATTTGTTTCAAGGTTTATAATGGCATGTATGTCACTGATACTTATCTGTAGATTTATTTGAACCAGATTATCATCCTGTAATGACTAAGAGTGGTTCTCATTCCATAGTGACACATGGAAGTACTTGATAAACCATACTGATAGCCCCCTTTACATATGTTTGTGAAGATGGTCAGGACCATGTTAAGAGTCTACAATGACTGTATAAAAAAGCGTAGTTGTTTCAAAACATCAATTGTTTTTATAGCTTCAGACAAACCAAGAAAATAAAATGCAACACATAAAACTTCTGATGAAAGAATTATTTGTATCCATAAACATTACACAGTGAAAATAAACCAAAAAAAGAGAAAATGCCCATTGTGATTTTATTTTTATGAATATACAACCATCCAGAGGAAACTTCAGTATGAAGCATATGACTTCTGTTGTGAGGAACTTAACGAGGTTGAAAGCACCAGCACTTGACCTTGTGTATAGACAACGTCTTTTCCTTGAGCTTATGTAGTACTAACATATCATATATAGATATAAGCAGATTAGACCCAAGTTCAAAGTGCTGACCTTATTAAGATGTACTCTGGTTTTATGTCTACTCTGGATTCATCTTACTTTTGCAGTGTGCATATACAAATTTCTTCTCAGTAATGTATTATCCCTTATGTTAACTTACTCTTTATGATTATGATCCCAGTGCAATTTGTAAACAAGTTGGGTTTTGAATCATAGTATGTTTTAAATTGTAATGAACAATGTAATCTACATATGAAAGCATACTTTGAGAACATCCTAAAGTTTTAAAGAGACCGATATTCCTATAAATGATTGCCTTGCATATCTGTCTATCTGTATATGCAGATTCATTTTTGTTGACAGTTGAAAGTTGACAGACGAACGACAGACACAGTAGTATGCCAAGAGCTCACTTGGCCCTTCACTAAGATATTTTGATATATGTGTTATTAATACTTTTTTCATCACATTTGGACTGCACTTCCATTGATTGCTTAACGATTAGGAAACATATTTTTGAAAGTTAATATTTTCTTAGACATTTTTTTTTCTGATAGATACTATATGATTTATTTCTATGGCTAGTTTCATATCTCCTCACAACAAAGGTTAGTTCTTCTATTCTACATCTGTAGTGTTTGTGTTCGCATCATTCAGTATCCTGTTATGAAGATTGACATTGGTTAAGTATGAAAGTACTTACAGGTGGTACTGTTATGTTCCAGAGGTTGGATCTCACCCACATTTTATGCTTGATTGACCCAATGTTCAAATTCATGTTGCAATCACTCAAGGACTTGAGGGGCAGGGCCAATAAGGGTCAAATTGACATGGATTTCAAAAAATGTTTCTTTTCAAGACCCAGATATTGTAGAATCAAATAGTCTTAATGAACAGAAGTACCTTAAAGTGCTTTAGCAAATTTGTGAATTTCATGGCCCCAGGGTATCACATTTCACCCTGGGGAGGGGGTAAAGGGGATAAAGTCAGGTTATACAAGATAAATATATTGTTTTTATACAAGATAAATATAGACCCTGTTATACAAGATAGATATATTGTTTCATAGACCCTGTTATACAAGATAGATATATTGTTTAATAGACCCTGTTATACAAGATAATATATTGACCCTGTTATACAAGATAGATATATTGTTATACAAGTTATATATATAGACCCTGTTATACAAGATAAATATATTGTTTTTATAGACCCTGTTATACAAGATATATATATTGTTTTGTTATACAAGATAAATATATTGTTTTATAGACCCTGTTATACAAGATAGATATATTTTTTCATAGACCCTGTTATACAAGATAAATATATTGTTTTAACCCTGTTATACAAGATATATATATATACTTTTATAGACCCTGTTATACAAGATAAATATATTGTTTCATTGACCCTGTTATACAAGATAAATGTATTGTTTCATTGACCCTGTTATACAAGATAGATATATTGTTTCATAGACCCTGTTATACAAGATAAATATATTGTTTAATAGACCCTGCAATACAAGATAGATATATTGTTTCATAGACCCTGTTATACAAGATAGATATATTGTTTAATAGACCCTGTTATACAAGATAAATATATTATTTTATAGACCCTGTTATACAAGATAGATATATTGTTTCATAGACCCTGCAATACAAGATAGATATATTGTTTAATAGACCCTGCAATACAAGATAAATATATTATTTTATAGACCCTGTTATACAAGATAGATATATTGTTTCATAGACCCTGTTATACAAGATAAATATATTATTTTATAGACCCTGTTATACAAGATAGATATATTGTTTAATAGACCCTGCAATACAAGATAAGAATAGACCTGTATTAAACACAGGGCTTCCTGTACTCTTGGAGTCTTCTTGTGTGAACGATGTGCTGGCCTCCACAGGGGTTTAGCTATTAGTGTTAAGTGAAAACTCCTATTCCTAACAAATACTATTTTATAGTCCTAGAATAAGTCTACTTGCTGCTTGGAATCAAAATTTATTAGAATTGTTTACTTATTTTGAGAAATGGAGAAACTTTGGATAGGCCTTGGTCAGAATTCAAAAGAGAGAAAGAGAAAAAATATATACATGATCATTTTAGGAATAAAATATAACAATGTTTAGGTTACATAGATATATCTTTTTCATGATTGCATGATTTGAAAATACGTTCATTGAAAATATATTAATTAACTCTAATTTTGGAAAAAAAATCTACATGTTTTCAGTTTATTTTCTTGACAGGAAATTTGTTAATATTTATAGGGGAAATATACCAGTTAGGAAATACTACACTTTTCAGTTAGTAACATTTGTCAAGGTTAGTTCCTTGTTATTGTAACACAATGCCATACATATCATACAATGTCAGCCATACATACCTTACTCATTCATATATGTTGAAAGGCGAAGATAATCCTCAGTACATGTTGGATTGTACTATAGACTATGACTTACAATTTTAATCTTTTGTGATAATGTAACCATTCAAAAATTTTAGCATTTTAGTTTGTTTGATGTTATTTCCTATTTGGATTGCTGTGTGTTTTTGATGGCCCTAATGACCTTTTATGTGTTGACGGGCCATTAAGAATGTCATAATAATAATAATGATGATAATAGACAGGTAAGGTCAAGGTTAGAAAAATAGGTTAGAAAAATAGGTTAGAGAAATAATTATATGTAAGAGGTCAAAAAATTAGTAAGGTTCTTTCTCAATTTGTATTTATTTATTTATTGTACAAAGAAATAGGATCAGGTAGATTTAAAACAAGATAATGATGAGACATTCTATGTAAAATCTTCCTGTTTCCATCTAACTTGAAAAACTTTCCTGTTTACCTAACTATTAAAAAGTCATTCTTCACATGTGCGATGGTTGATTGAATTTGAGGTAATGTATTGAAATAATATTTGTTTATTGTTTAATTCTCAATATTTCTTGTAGACAATGGAAGTTATAGGTAATGAGAAAGCAAATGCTTTACATGAAAAGCACAGACCTGCCTTCTATAGAAAGCCAACTAAGAACGATCCCCAGTAAGTATGTTGGTTGTGTATATTTATTAATATTACTGATCAAGTCCAAGCATTAAGATAAATGAGATGAAATAAATTGAAGCACCAGCATGACTAACCACACTCATTTACTTGCAGAATTTTACACAAAGAATGGGTTAATGCCAAGTACATTAGAAAAGAATTTGATAATGTCGACAAACAGCTGGCCTACACCTCTCCAACTAAAGAAGGCATTTTGTTGAAGAGGGGAAAAGATGACAACAAATACAACCGTAGGAAATTTGTTCTTTCCCGAACGGAAAATAAGATCGTTTATTACCAGAAGGACACAACTGTAAGTCTTATTTGTTATTAAAAATTAAAAGAAAAACTGTAACATTATCTAGTCAGTAGAATTTAATCACACTTTTGCCTTGCTTAAAGATTTAAACTTATATTATCAAAGATTTACCCTTCAATTTTCAATGCTACAAGGAAATTGTGAAATTTTCTATTCTCAGTTGTAGCTGTTTTCATTAGGTAGTTTGAATTTTCATTTACAGTTTACAAAGTTGTTGCCTTTGTGTTTACACTCTCTGTCACTTAGCTCATGTACATGTATACCATGTCTAGTACCTAATATACATATATACCATGTCTAGTACCTAATATACATGTATACCATGTCTAGTACCTAATATACTTGTATACCATGTCTAGTACCTAATGTACATGTATACCATGTCTAGTACCACATACATATATACCATGTCTAGTACCTAATATACATGTATACCATGTCTAGTACCTAATATACATGTACACCATGTCTGGTACCAAATAAACATCTATACCAGGTCTAATACAAAATATACATGTATACCATGTCTAGTATCTAATATACATGTATACCATGTCTAGTACCTAATATACATGTATACCATGTCTAGTACCTAATATACTTGTATACCATGTCTAGTACCTAATATACTTGTATACCATGTCTAGTACCACATACATATATACCATGTCTAGTACCTAATATACATGTATACCATGTCTAGTACCTAATATACATGTATACCATGTCTAGTACCACATACATATATACCATGTCTAGTACCATGTCTAGTACCTAATATACATGTATACCATGTCTGGTACCAAATAAACATCTATACCAGGTCTAATACAAAATATACATGTATACCATGTCTAGTACCTAATATACATGTATACCATGTCTAGTACCTAATATACATGTATACCATGTCTAGTACCTAATATACATGTATACCATGTCTAGTACCTAATATACATGTACACCATGTCTGGTACCAAATAAACATCTATACCAGGTCTAATACAAAATATACATGTATACCATGTCTAGTATCTAATATACATGTATACCATGTCTAGTACCTAATATACATGTACACCATGTCTAGTACCTAATATACATGTATACCATGTCTAGTACCTAATATACATATATACCATGTCTAGTACCTTATATACATGTACACCATGTCTAGTACCTAATATACATGTACACCATACCTAATATACATATATACCATGTCTAGTACCTAATATACTTGTATACCATGTCTAGTACCTAATATACTTGTATACCATGTCTAGTACCACATACATATATACCATGTCTAGTACCTAATATACATGTATACCATGTCTAGTACCTAATATACATGTACACCATGTCTGGTACCAAATAAACATCTATACCAGGTCTAATACAAAATATACATGTATACCATGTCTAGTATCTAATATACATGTATACCATGTCTAGTACCTAATATACATGTATACCATGTCTAGTACCTAATATACTTGTATACCATGTCTAGTACCTAATATACTTGTATACCATGTCTAGTACCACATACATATATACCATGTCTAGTACCTAATATACATGTATACCATGTCTAGTACCTAATATACATGTATACCATGTCTAGTACCACATACATATATACCATGTCTAGTACCTAATGTATACCATGTCTAGTACCTAATATACATGTATACCATGTCTGGTACCAAATAAACATCTATACCAGGTCTAATACAAAATATACATGTATACCATGTCTAGTATCTAATATACATGTATACCATGTCTAGTACCTAATATACATGTATACCATGTCTAGTACCTAATATACATGTATACCATGTCTAGTACCTAATATACATGTACACCATGTCTGGTACCAAATAAACATCTATACCATGTCTAATACCTAATATACATGTATACCATGTCTAGTACCTAATATACATGTACACCATGTCTAGTACCTAATATACATGTATACCATGTCTAGTACCTAATATACATGTATACCATATACATGTATACCATGTCTAGTACCTAATATACATATATACCATGTCTAGTACCTTATATACATGTACACCATGTCTAGTACCTAATATACATGTACACCATACCTAATATACATATATACCATGTCTAGTACCTAATATACATGTACACCATGTCTAGTACCTAATATACATATATACCATGTCTAGTACCTAATATACATGTACACCATGTCTAGTACCTAATATACATGTATACCATGTCTAGTACCTAATATACATGTACACCATGTCTAGTACCTAATATACATGTACACCATGTCTGGTACCAAATAAACATCTATACCAGGTCTAATTCAAAATATACATGTATACCATGTCTAGTACCTAATATACATGTATACCATGTCTAGTACCTAATATACATGTACACCATGTCTAGTACCTTATATACTTGTATACCTTGTCTAGTACCTAATATACATGTACACCATGTCTAGTACCTAATATACATGTATACCATGTCTAGTACCTAATATACATGTACACCATGTCTAGTACCTAATATACTTGTATACCATGTCTAGGACCTAATATACATGTATACCATGTCTAGTATCTAATATACATGTATACCATGTCTAGTACCTAATATACATGTACACCATGTCTGGTACCAAATAAACATCTATACCAGGTCTAATTCAAAATATACATGTACACCATGTCTAGTACCTAATATACATGTATACCATGTCTAGTGCCTAATATACATGTACACCATGTCTAGTACCTAATATACATGTATACCATGTCTAGGACCTAATATACATGTATACCATGTCTAGTACCTAATATACATGTATACCATGTCTAGTACCTAATATACATGTATACCATGTCTAGTACCTAATATACATGTACACCATGTCTAGTACCTAATATACATGTATACCATGTCTAGTACCTAATATACATGTACACCATACCTAATATACATATATACCATGTCTAGGACCTAATATACATGTATACCATGTCTAGTACCTAATATACATGTATACCATGTCTAGTACCTAATATACATGTATACCATGTCTAATACCTAATATACATGTACACCATGTCTAGTACCTAATATACATGTATACCATGTCTAGTACCTAATATACATGTATACCATGTCTAGGACCTAATATACATGTATACCATGTCTAGTGCCTAATATACATGTATACTATTTCTAGTACTGAGTTCATCAATATTTATTACTATTCAGTAATAATTTGAAAATTTTCTTTAAGTCCAATCCATACTTTGAGTCAGAATTTGTATGTTGACTAACTGGGCTCCTTGTCCTGTAGTATGCCTACCTTCCAGACATTGAGTCAGAATTTGTATGTTGGCCCACTTGGCTCCTTGTCCCGTAATAGATCTACCCCCTGTCTATGAGATAGAATTTTTATGATTGCCCCCTAAATTTATTTTCAGGATAGATAAGGTATGCTCTGTTAATTGTTGCCTTGTTGGCTATTATAATAGTGATTTGACAGCTAGTCTTATCTTTGCATTCAGCTTCATTTCCATGAGAAGTATAGTTATATTGTTATGAATCCTCTGGTATTTTATAGATTTCTCCATACTCTCATGATCATTACTTACATCATATCAATTCCTATTCATTAATAGTCTATGAATACAGTTTGTATTGACACAAGTTAAGCTCTTTTAGACACTAATTTGATTTTGTTTTTCAGACTAACAAACCTAAAGCAGAGATCTGTTTAGATGATATTAATTTAGTGTTTGTACCAGACAAAATGCAACGCGCCCATGGAATGCAGATCACATACTTATTGAAGGGCTCAACCAGGAACATATTTGTGGACAGTGATGATTCCAAGGTATTTATAGTACCTCAACCAGGAAACTTACATATGTACATGAATAGGTTCACAATGAGGAAATGGTTATTGTGTACATACATAAACAGCCAAATGTATACATTCAACATATACTTTAAATGGAGATAATTGTTGTATCTGAGAACTATTGACATTTCAAATTTCTCTAAAAGCATCGAACCAACTTTGATGTAACTTTTCAAGGTCAAATATTAAACAAAACTGTTGATTTTACCATGTTTGTGCCTCAGTAGCCTGAGATATGGCCAAAAAAGGGTCAAGTTGACTGAAATATCAATAATCTTGTCCTTGAGACTCAGAAATGAAAGGATCAAATACTCTTGTTGGATGGAAGGATCTTATGGTGCTTTTTATAAATTGTGAATTTCATGATCTCATATTTCCATTTCCCCATTGAAGAATTGGGGTGTTGGGTAGGGGGGAGGATGGGAGTTCAAGTTTACTATAGTTTATACTAGAAAATTACATTTCTGAGCATAATTTGTTAGATTTCATTGGAAATAAACAAAACTATGTATATATTGAACCTAGCTGATCCCCAGGAACCATATGGTGAGAACAAAAAGAGGGACAGTTGACTGAGATTTCTTCTCAATACCCATATACAGAAGAATCAAATACACAGATAAAAGAGACATGAGATGCTTAATGAAAATCGATGATTTCTTGATTCCTGGGTCTCGTATTTAATAATTGGGAGTGATAAAGTTTGATAATTATTATACAGGAAAATGAAACTTTTAAAGAAAATGAGTCTAGTTTCAAGTGTAAACAATTCAAGCTTAGTTAGAATTATAAGTTGGGGATGGTAGGTACATGCTGTTTCTGACCTTGAAGGACATAGAATCTAATTAAAATCCTTTGGTGTTACCAATGCACCACCCAACCTACCTGATTATGGCTCAACATAAAGTAGTAATCACAGTGTCTGTCAGCACTTTCATTTCCACATAGTTTCTCAAAAGCTGTTGTTCAGATCTGTTCAAACTATGTGGTGTACCAAATTCAGGGCCTACAACACCTTAATTACAGAGTTATTGCCCTTTGTTTAGATTTTGTGTCAAAACAAAATTTGAAATTGCTTGCATTTAAAATAAGATAATGAAACTTGGCAGATACATTAACCATTTTAAGACAATGTGCAGTGTACCAAATTCCAGACTCACAACTCCTCAATTAAAAAGTTATTGTCCTTAAATATATCTTGTCCAGAGCATAACTTCGATTGCATTTACAGTAGGATAATGAAACTAAGTGTATATATTGATCATACCAAGACAATAGGCTGGGTATCAAAGTCAAGGCCCTCGACCTCTCAATTACAGAGTTATTGCCCTTTATTAAACATATTGTGTCTGTAACATAACTTTGTCAACAGTTAAGCAAGGATTACATAGCTTGGTGTGTACCTTGGTCATATGAAGACAATGAGCATTGTACCAATGTTAGGGCCTACAACCCCTTAATTACATTCATTGCCCTTTGTGTCTGGAGCATTACTTTGCCTGCATTTCAACTAGGAGCATGAAACACCAAATTCAGGGCCTGCAACCCCTTAATTACAGAATTTTTGTCCATTGAAATAATTTGTGTCCAATAAAGTCATTTTTTGGTGAACATTCATCAGTTCACTGATACTCCTATAGACCTGATTTTGTAATCTGTAATCATGACAGCACATTAGTGAGCAAATTTAAAGATGATCATATTTTGATATTAGTTGCATGCTCTACATGTAGTTAATTTAAAAAAAAAGAAGACAAAGAAAAAGCCCATAAAGTTTTAAAGATAAAAAAAACCACATATCATGTTAGCTTGATTTCTTTCTTTACTCATACTTTTGACTTGGCAGGACATAGTTGATTGGTATCTAGCTATCCGGGCAGCCAAACTGGAGCGACGGAAAATAGCCTTCCCAGATAGAGATGAAAAAGATGTGAGTAACTTACAAAATTTCGATTTAAACAAGTTTAGATATCTATTTCTGTCTAAGTCAACCAGAACAGCATGAAATATTTGAATATATATATATATATATATTTCACAATGAATATTTGAAAAAGATTTTCATTTTGTTGTGACATAAGATAACTGATAAATGGCATTTTAATAACTTGGATTAATGAGTTCTCCTGGCCTGAAGGGCCAAGTGAGTTATTGCCATTCCACAGCATCTGTTGTCCGTGTGTCAACTTTTTCTACAAATTGCTACTAGTCATGAACAATGAAGCATATTTTGTGTTGTGTGCTTTGATAGTTAGAATTTCTTTTCCTTTAGATTAAATGAAGCAATTTCAGCCGAGCTAATCTAGGTGAAAGATACAGGCACTTTAGGCCTCTTATTTTTTTAATATAGAATGCTGTTCATCATAATTCAGAGAGAAATGTATGGCTTAAACTTAAATGTATTTCAAATGCTGACATCAGTATTTATCTCTACTTATCTAATCAGATTTTCATGTGGGTTTTATTTAGTTTAATTTGTTGTTACTCTAATCTGCAAATTTGTTTGTCAGCAAAATGATTAACAGATAAAAGGTGACAGGGATTAAAATCCTATTGGATTTCATTAACAAAATTAAATAAAGTATACATTTTTGGAAAAGAACTTAAGCCCCAGGACTTTTCAGTAAATATTGTTTACTGCCATTTGTATATTCATTGATTCTGATTGTAACAAATTTTATATAGTCCCACTGATCTTCTGTTTCAGTTAGCAGAAGATTTGACACAGGATTTTCTAATGGAAGGCTACTTAAGCAAGATGGGGCCAAAACATGAACCTTTCAGGAAGCGATGGTTTTCTCTGGATAAGAGGAAGCTGATGTATTATGAAGATAAGTTGGTATGTTTTACATCCAGGTACCATGGTTATTCAGACACTTGCTGTCACATTTTTTATGGTTTCTCAGGGTTTGTCTTCATACTAAATACAGGTTTTCTCTGGATGAGAGAAAGTTTATATGGTCAGGAAGAAAGCTCTGTTGAAGATAAAGGTATCTTTACACAATTTAACATTGAGTCCTCAATTTTAGAAATTTGTTCAGAAAGTTACCTGTATATGAAGTGAGGTAGTTATCATTTATCAAAACAACCTTGAAGTATAATATAAAGTATAGCAATTTCATTGCGTCAAACAGATTTTCAGCAGAAATGATACTGTCTTGTAGTCAAGCATGATTTAATATTATAAGAAGTATGAGATTGTGTCAGCACTTTTGACACAGAAACGTCTTTTTTATGCTCCCCTTAATTTTTCGAGGGAACATATAGTCACCGCCATGTCCGTCCATCCATCTTTCTGTCTATCAGCCTTTTCATCTGGTGTTTTATGTCTGGAGCATAACTTTGCCCATGATTAAGCAAGGATCATGAAACTTGGTGTATACAATGGTCATACTAAGGCTATATGCAGTGTACCAAATTCAGGGCCCTTGACTCCTGAAGTAGAGAGTTCCTGCTCTTTGTTAAAATATTGTGTCAAGAGCACATCAAATTGCTTGCATTTAAACAAGCATAATGAAACTTAGTGAATACATTGATCATACTTATGCAGTGTGCAGTGAACCGAATTCAGGGCCCTGATCAATACCATTATAAAGTTATTGTCCTTTGTTTAAAATTTCGTGTCTGTAACATAATCGTGTCTAGAGTTTCCGGTTGAATACATTAATATTTTACTCAAGCTCTTGAATACCGCATTGGATGTTGGTTTAAAAAATCTATATACTTGTTTAAACACTTGCTGTATTGCAGAATCCATACCCAAGGGGTGAACGCTTTATAGGACACCGAGATGGAGGGTTTTCTGTTAGCATGACAGCAACACATGTCAAGGTGACTCATGGATACCCATTCACACTACATATGCCTGGTCGTGATTTCATCCTGTGTGCAGAGACAAAGGAGGACATGGAGAAGTGGATATATGCCCTGCAGAAAGTCATAGAGACTCCTCTCACACCACAAGACACCAAAGGTAAATAGAAGGCAACTTCACCAAATCGATCCTTTTCAAAGCCAATCGCCTCTTTCAACAGAATAAAATGGTGGTTTATATGATGATGTTCGCTTTCGCAAATGTATTGTACAAAACAGAATATTATAGATTAGTCATTGAATTAAATATATGTTAGTTATTATTTCCAAGAACTGGAATATTTTTCTTCCTTTCAAAACTTTAATCAGCGTCCTCCACTTGCACAAAAATGTGAGTGCCCTCAATTTTATCTGTGTGTCAGCACTTACATTTAATATCTCTTTGAGAGAGGATGCATGCCAGAAGATGGCAACATAAACAGTATGATCTTATATTTTCATTATCTAATTATCATGGTTTTTCAAACAATAAATATTGAATTTGCAGAAAAGTATAATAAATCTACTTACACTAGTTTTAAAATTTCATGGATCTTTGAAGTGGGGGATCTAGAGTATTCTCAAAATCAACAATCCCCCACAAAATTTGATGAATCTACAGTACCCGCAAGTTTATTTCTAATCTTGTTTCCCTCATTTTGTTCATAGTGGCATCTCAGCTGGTACATAAAAGAAATGACTCCTTTATTAGTATGAAGAAGTAACTTAATTGATGGAATGTAGATATATCAAGAAAGGTATCTCCAGGGCTAGGAAAATGGCAGGAAAATCTGACTCCTCATAGCACGTCTGGACATAGGCAACACCAGGGGTGGTGTGTACATACTTCTCACACTCCTTCAGAACTGTGGCAACAAAGGGGACAGTGTGTCATACAGACTTCTCACATTCCTACAGAACTGTGGCAACAGAGGGGATGGTGTGTCATAGGACTTCTCACATTCCTACAGAACTGTGGCAACAGAGGGGATGGTGTGCCATACAGACTTCTCACTTTCCTACAGAACTGTGGCATCAGAGGGGATGGTGTGCCATACAGACTTCTCACATTCCTACAGAACTGTGGCAACAGAGGGGATGTTGTGTCATGATTTCTAACATTCCTACATAACCTGTGACAACAGAGGGGATGGTGTGTCATACACACTTCTCACATTCTTACAGAACTGTGGCAACAGAGGGAATGGGGTGCCATACAGACCTCTCCCATTCCTACAGAACTGTGGCAACAGAGGGGATGGTGTGTCATAGGACTTCTCACATTCCTACAGAACTGTGGCAACAGAGGGGATGGTGTGCCATACAGACTTCTCACATTCCTACAGAACAGTGGCAACAGAGGGGATGGTGTGTTATACAGACTTCTCACATTCCTACATAATTGTGGCAACAGAGGGGATGGTGTGCCATACAGACTTCTCACATTCCTACAGAACTGTGGCAACAGAGGGGATGGTGTGTTATACAGACTTCTCACATTCCTACAGAACTGTGGCAACTGAGGGGATGGTGTGTCATGCAAGCTCCTCACATTCCTTCAAGATCAAGGCAACAGAGAGATTATATCATCCACTGACTTCACCTGGATTAACCAGCAACAATATCTAGAGTTGTGATACTACTTGCACAAATGATGACAGTATGAAAAATGTGATCATTATGACATTGACAATGTTTTACATATTGTAATGCAAAAAGATAACCCACCTCATTTGTGGGCATATGCTGATTTACCTTTTTACAGCACACTGTTGATACATATATGTTATATCATCAAATGTTGCATTTCTACATGATATTATCATTGCAGTGGTACTGTAAAATCATAAATTTTTGTGGAACTCAATTTTCGTGGTTTTTCAAAACATGCCATTTCTTGGACACTTGATTTCATGGATTAATTTAGCACAATAATTCTGTTTAAAACTTGTTTCATGACTTCATGGACATAAGAGATTTTGGATGAAGAGTGCCCACAAAATCAATGAAAATAAATAAAACACAAAAATTGATGATTTTACAGTAGGTGGTTTGTAATGGCTACAAAGAACAAAAATTAGAAGTTATCCTGTGATTTCCATAAGATGCTACAGATATGTCTGGTATGGAAGTTGTATTGGTGTTACAGGACAGTCTCTCAAATGGGACATAATTACGACTGAAATATTTAGCTTATTTGTACTGGGTCTATTTTATGATGATTGTTAATATCTACTCGATATAGAATTTATTGTCAAATGATATTTAAATCTTGAGGTCACAGTTTTCTTTCAGAAAGCCAATCATGGTAAGAGGGAGATGAAAAATTATTATGATTAATCTTATGAGCAAGACGGGGGAAAAGGCACATCTCTGCACTAGATTTCAACATAGACATACATTTGATGACAGTTGTAGGAAGGGTTTGTAGTAGGTGGCCAGTAAACAATTTTGTCTTTTGTTTCATTTCGTAGAAAAACAAAATTACAATAAACGTCATTCCTACCTCTACTATGGCAAAATCTGTTAATTCATATTAACGTTAATAATCATCTCCAGAAGAAACTTTTTTTATCAGACTCTTGAAAGCCTCGCACCACAAATCTCTTGTCAGACATGGAGTTTCACATCACACCACCTCTTGTCAGACATGAAGCCTCACACTGTGTACCTTCTTCCAGACATGGAGCTTGCTTCAGACAGAGCCCACATCTTATATAACTCTTACCAGACAAGGAGTCCCTCACCGCACACTTTTTGTCTGACAAGCCATACACTGAACACCTTTTGTCTGACAAGCAATTCTTCACATTTTACACACCTCTTGTCCGACTAGGAGCCTCACATCATATACTTGTCAGACAGAGAGAATCGCATGGCACAGCAGCATAGAGCAGGATATTGTGACAAATGTAGTTGAATTCTTATCATACATGTTTCAAGAACTTGGATCAGTCTGGAGAGAAAATGATCTTTAACACAAAGCGTACAGCATTGCTAAACCAGGTTCAACTTAGTGCAATGATAATGCATTGTTCTTGCCAAATGTTCTACCCATGATAAAATCACATGATGTCTCTAGCCGAAAAAAATTCTGCAAGCTCTGGAGGGGATACATTGTTATAATGTACATATTTAATCAAAGTTTAGCATATTATTTCTCTTTTTTTATTAGTGCAATGATGAATTTGTGCATCCACAACAACTGCTACATCAACAACATGTATAAGCTGTAATTAACGCAGTCATATTTTAGTAGAATAAATTTAGCAGAGAAAGCACTCAAATAAGATTGTTGCTAAAATATGTATATTTACCACATAGTAATAAATACTGTTTGTCCATCACTTGGACCTGTGTAATACACTTGGTTAAATTACAGATGTTAGTGTGCAATACTTTTGGTGCATCTGTATTTTAATTAAACTGGATTAAGAATTACTGTTGAAATACTTTACTGGAGTGTTTTACTATATGATGTATATTAGTTTGTTTTAATTACTGTAGAATCATACATTTTCGTGGGTTAGAATTTTCATGTTTTTTTTTTTTAATGCTGTTTCATGGATGTAGATTACATGGATAATTATAGCTCAATAAATCTACTCATAGTAATTTCAACAGTTTGTTGATAGGACATGAATCATGGATTAAGAGTACACATGGAATCAATGAAAATAAAACTCCCACCAAGATTAATGTTTCTACAGTATTTACATGACTGTTGTTAGTTGTTGCAAACATATGGTATAATACATGTTGGGATTCATGCATTATATGATTGTGGTATACCTTCCAGAAAACAATACTCACATTTTCTTTATCAAGAGTTACTTCGTCTTTGATGACCTTGTTTATTATTTCAGAAAAGTTTAATATATTGTACTTGATTTGATGGGATAGAATATTATCCAGTGACAAAAAAATAGGAAATTATTGAATACAGAACCTGTCATAGAGATAGAATTTATCAGATGTTATACATTGTGGTGATTTATAGAATAATCACAGTGGCACACATTTATCAAATATGTAGTAATGGTATATATCTATATACAAATGTATGGTATGCACAGGGGTTTGAAGTTGAATAATTAGGAGCTTTAAACCTTGTGAGAGTTATATATTGTTGATATTAAATTTTACATGTTAGACATTTCTGTCATTATGTTAACATAAATGACGCATAGTAAAGATTGTGATACTCTATGTGTTCATCTGCCATATTTATCTGGCAATAAGCTCATGCTTGGTAATAAACCCATCCATATTTATTGCTGTTAACTAGCTTTACTAACAAATACTGTTATTCTAATCAGCCCACACCGTGAGAATTTGAGTTATGTGATGTGTATTGCCCCCTGGGATTCATGATGAATACAGAAATTGTCAGTTGTTTTCAGATATGTGTAGATTTGTGCACGTTTGTCTTTTTACAGTTGTTTGGGAAGGGCTTTTTCTCTAACATTTGTATTTTAGAGAGGTGTACAAGTATATTCTCTTGCAGTGAAAGAAGAGGTGTACATATATTCCCTCTTTGATTACTTGAAATTTAAGGAGAGGTGAACATTAATTCCATGTTTAAATGCTTGAAGGAGAAGGAGACTTAAATATTTCATTTTTGAGTGCTTGAAGTTCAAAAAAAGGTGTACATATAACCTTTTTGAATGCTTGATTAGGAGGGAGAGGTGTATCTTCTCTTCCATTAGTAGTAAGGAAGGTAATTGCATTTCTGATTTGAATCCTTGAAACAGAGCTAGAGACACATTTTCTCCTTTGTCTTCCTTCTTAAAACTGATTTTAACATATTTACTCTCAAGTTTTCCGTCACTGATTTCTCCACTTTAACACCAAGAATCTGTGATTTTAATGTTTTAGCAATCTGTAAAAATGGTGTTTTATTGATGAATGCATTACAAAAAACCAAACATTTCCCTTTCTTGCCAGTAATAATGGCTTTGTGTACATATTTTGCTTGTCAAATGTCAAAGGTTTTTGTCTAGACATGATTTTTATTTTTTTAAGGATTATGTATTGATGGTTGCAGAGATGATTTACTTAATAAATGGAATCGTGTGTTAATTTCCACTTACGAGATGAATGAAACAAATCTTCGTTATTTCACTGATGTAATCAAAACTGGAAATTTGGTGGCAAGTTTCATACAAAAATGATTGGAATATTTGTGAAACTGCATTTTGTCTGGTTGAAATGATGGCTGAAAGAGGGAACTTCTAACTATAATTCTGGTCCTGTTGTTATTTTATGATGCATGTCGTGCTGTGATGATGATATGACCACACATTTGAACCTATGAAAACCTACACCAATCACATCGCAGCTAGGTGTTGTCAATGACTGTGTGTTCATGATATAATTAACTGAATGGGCGTTACATCACTGAAAAACAGAGGTGATAAATAATATTTAATAATGTTATAAGATTTGTGAAAAAATTTTAATATCAAACAACTTCATCAATTTGTTTGTGTTATCATGCATGCTTAAACTTAAATATCTTGACGTAACATAGTCTCAGATTTTGTACAGGGTTTGCTATGAATATGTCACACTGTTGACATTTACCATTGAAAGTTTAATATTCATTATTTAATTTATATTTATACATGTATTCAGGATATTGATCATGTTTAACTTTACATATGTACAAGTTGTCACAAAATGACGTTAGAAAATATTACCAGTATAGACAGATTGTTTTTTGTCTCTTATTGACAGGTTTCTGTCAAAAGTTGTTGGAATTAAAGATTTATTTAGATTTATGTTGTGTTGGTGCCTGATATTAACATAATACACAAAAAGCGCAATTCCTAAGAAATATTTTGCAATATTTCAAAACCATGGTATTATTTGAAATGAATTTTACAACATCTTATTTAACCGGTAGGTCATTCTACAATCAGCAGTTTGGTGTATGTATTAAATACAGGAACAACGTTCAGTACAATTGTCTGGATGATTTGTCTTGATATTGTCAGAGAGAATGATAATTTTAAAGTTGTGTGATTTTTTGTGATGCATTATTTCACTTGTACTTTTTGGATTTTTCTCCCTTTTCAGTAAATACATAATGTCTTTTTATCTGCTAAAATTTGTAGATGAATCTAAATAGTTCAAAATTTGTTTTTAATGATTGAAAGATTGACAGTTATTCTGAAATGATAAACTGAAAAAATAATGTTACATTTACATAAGATTTTTTTTTTTCACAATGATTTTTATACGCAAAACATCAAAAACAGGCTAAAATGTGATTTTCATATACCTAGTATGTGCTTCTGGTTACCGTGCAATTATCATATGCCATGCATTTGTGTCTTGCAAAAATCAATTGTACAGGCTTGGGAGTTAAATTCTCAATATGGGGATGGAAGAAAAATAATATTAATCTTTTCATTGAGTGTTAAATAAAGAAATCTCAGCTTTCACATTAACTGGTGTGATACAGACAAGAATTATACCTCTGGAGTTCAGATTTCATATTACACAGGTGAAGACTCCACTGATAGGCACTCTGGTTGTGACATTGTGAACATGAATTATGTTTGTATGTTGTAAGTGATGGTATGAATGTTGATATTTGATACGTTGGTTTGAAAAACAAATTGTTAGTCCTCCACATTGAATAGGTAATAATGAAACATTGTTAATCTAGACAAATAGACTCCTGGATAGTGATTGTCCGTATGCTATTGTTTAGGAGGATGAATATACTAGTAGTCGTGTGACTTCTTCAATCTAGTGTCCGATCTGGAGATGAGATTTTACTATATTTATGTATGTTGACTATTTCATGTTTTTATTGTATGAAACAATTTAGGATAAATATGTTAATGAACAAATTTAATTACTGAACATTTTAACAAGGTAATTGTGTATACAATGGAAATTAATAGTTACTATTTTGGGTTTGTTTTGTTTTTTATCGACTAAAATAGGATTTTTTTCTGTCTTTTTCTCTGATATAAGCAGTGAAACTACCATCTGCCATTTCACCGGTGTTGATCAAAAAACTTTGCAGCACCAAATTTAACATCCCATTCTACTCAATATATACACTGTTCCTTTAGCTTTTTATAGAAAATTTAGTACAGTGTATAGGATGCGATTGCTTTTTGTGAGATGTTTTATGGGAGACAGTTGCTTACCTCCCTTGATTCAATCATTCCGTTTTTTTTGGGGTTTTTTTCACAGCTGTCCTATTGTTGGTACAAATAACTGGTATAGTACAAAATAAAAAGCTGTAGTGAAAATAAATTTTTCAATATTTTTTTTATATTAGCATATGTGTGCGATTGAATTGAAAGTATGCTATTCATTTCGCTATGTCAGCTTCACATCAGTCTTAGATACATGCACAAAGGTGGTAAGGTAAAAATTACTGAATGAGGAAATTTATTAACACTATCAATCAATAAAGATGTATTAGCAGAGAGGTAATAATGTCAGCATATAATTGTGTAATTATTGCTTCTTTTCTGTTACCCATGTAAATCTATTATGTTGAGTAAAATGTTATATCTCCATAAAGCTTGACAATATATTTGAGATAGTTAAATACATTTTGTAAATCTTTTAAGATGAAAAGAATTTGTAACAAATATGTTTATAGTAAACATTATTGACAGAAAATGGAGTATTATATCAAGGTTTTACAATGTAATATTTTAGAATTGAACTTTTAGGTCATCTGACAAGCAGGGTCAAAATGACCTATATAGCCATCGTGCACCTTCCGCTGTGTGTAAACTTTTTCTTTAAAACCCTTTTCCTCTTTCATACCTTGGTGGATTTAAACCAAATTTGGTCTGAAGCATCATTGGGTGAGGGTTATCATGTGATAAATTCAGAATTTTAATTTGACCCCTTGACCCCTAGAGTTCTGGGGAGATGCTGAAATTAGCTTTAAAACCTTACTCTTCCTTTCTGTCTGGGTGAATTTCAACAAGCTTTGGCCTGATTCATCACTTAGGGTAGGCTATTATTTCTCTAATTCAGAAAGTTAATTTTACCCATAGGAACTTAGAACAGGGCTCCAAAAGGAAGGGGTAGTCATTAATTTGCTGTAACATGCTATTCTATCTGAATACCCGAGTAGATTTCAATCAAATTTGATCTGAAACATTGCTGCTGGGATTCAACTCCTAGGCACTTGGGGATGGGACCAAAAATGGGAAAGTCGGTTGATATTTTGCTTGAAATATCATTGTGGGAATTCATCAGATTTGTCAGACTATGATCTGCAAATTCTGTGGTTTGTCCATCCATTCATTGATTATCAGATGACCGTTAAGTGCCATGGCACTCTTGTTTTATGACAATGGCAAAACAAGTTATTCCTACTTATATGAGTCACTCTTGTTGGCTGGTATTGTAGCGCATAAGGGGTCTGTAGGACAAAACTGGGGTATCCTGGGAAAATCTACATGGTGGTCCCATACCTTCTACATTCATTCAGGGAATCAAACCTTGGTTGGTTCTTTGCCATATGACAAAACTACAGCAAGAAAAGAATAAATTCCTTGGTTAGAAACTTTAAAGTGGATACAACATTGAAATGGAGAAAATTTGTGTGATGACTTGTATTTGTTTACATTGCTGAAGAATATTATTACTGTATGTGGTATGATGTCCATCTAATCTTGTTTTTAAAGTTATATATCTGCTTGTATTTGTTGATCAAATGCAATAAAATGTGATTAAAGTGTTAAATGATTTCTTTTTTTTGGTATATGTACAAAATTGAAATTCCTGTCGGTATGAGCATATGTTTGGTATCATATTTAGATATATAGGCCTCATACTTAAACATTACGTACAGGAGGTATATCAGGAATCACATTGTCCATACATACATGCATAGTAAAAATTCAATGTACAAGATATCTTTCCACAATACATCTTATGAACCTTACAGAAGATTTACTTCATATTCATATTATGGTTTTGTAACCATGATTTCTACACTCGATTAGATTATGAAGATGATTGGTCAAGTTTGCAGTGTCAAAGATTACACTTAACCACTTCAAATATTCAAAAGATTTTTTTAAGTGCAACAATGACGTTCTATCATACACCCTTTTCTGGTGGTTTGGGAACATATCTTTGAGCACCTGCTCATTGGATTGAAAACAGGTAAAATTACATATAATGGTGTGAAACATTGATTAAGAAAGATCAATAAAAGTACATCAATCAAATACATATGATATAGTATCTAAAAGTGTTCAGCCTTATCAGAAAATTTCAAGGGTACACATACATCTTCAGAAGATGGTGTGATGTAGGGACTTGTCATCTAAACCTTGACCTTATAAAACGTTTCTGAGGTTTGCTTTATTGTCGCTTTACGTCCTATTAACTGCCAAGGTCATTAAAGGATGTGCCAGGTTTGGATGGTGGAGGAAAGCCAGAGTTCCCATAAAAAAACTACTGACCTGCAGCCAGTACCTGTTTCTGAGGCATTCTCACATACTCTGTTTTAGTAAAGGGACACAGGAGAACGGGGAGGGGCTGAAAAGGATGATTTTAATCAATTCGGTCTATACCAGATAGACAAATTTGACAAAATTCTCCCTTAATGAAATACTGATAGCTTTGGACTTTTCAATTGCAACTAAAGACATTATTAAGGACATAAACATTAAACATGGCAATATCAGTCTTTCTTTTTTCTCTGATGAATTTGTCATACATGTACACAACAACACAAACTTTTGTTATTTTTATTTGACCAGCAAGTTGACTTAGTCTAGCAGTAAATATGAAAACAGTTACATCTCAATGTAAATTTGGTCCCTTTGAGTAGCAGTATCTAAGTAAGACTTATTATGCATATAATATCAAAATTAAGAGTGTATGAAATAAAATTGCACAATGTTATTTTTTTGAAGTATTAATGTACCAGTCTAATGTAAAACAGAGCAGTCACAATACCCTACAAATTGCACAAAACCAGTCATGTTAGCATAAAATACTAATATACAATATTAGATAAACTTGAAGTGATAACCAGAAAATATGTTGTTATCAATATATGAGCAAACAAAATGTAGAAATATACAACAAAATTGAAAATACAGCTCAAATGCATTTTAACACACAAAGCAATATTTCTTCTGTATATAACAATACATGGTTCTGACATGGATGTATAGTTAAATATTTAGATGTAAGAAATCTTCCACAAGATTTATAGAATAATTCTTATACATTTTCCAGTGTATCTTATATGCTCAAAACATGGTGGTTGTCGGACGAAAAAATCCTGAGTGAATACATTATAACAAGCCCAATGTCATGGTATTGCTGCCTGTTGTTTGGACATAAACATTAATAGGTCAAATTTCAGATATAAATAGATTTCCCTGTACCCTCAATATGTTCACGTCTTATCACAGACAAGCTACAGCTCTACACTTGGGCATGCTGACAGTGGAAGGGCAAACCCTAGTTTAAGGACAGGCTGTACAATCACTGCAGCTGGATGAGTTGTGTCCCCTTGATCAGTTGTAGCAGACTTGGAGTTGGCTATCACATAAGTTGAACAATTGCTATGTCCTAAAAGCTGATGACCTTCCTTCATGCTGTATAGGTTGAAGTACTTTACTGCTGATATGTTGGAGCATTTCCACATTAGTGTCTTGGTCACACCATCTTCATCACTTTTCAAAACACATAGGTCAGTGACTGTGATATCAGTGTCCAAAAAACACTCGGGTATGATCTATGAATGGAGAGAACACATATACTATTACTTCCTAGCAGTGCTATAAATGTACCTAGTCATATTTGTCTATATCTCCATACAGCTAGATATTTATATATATGATGACCTCACAGACTTATAACACCTATATCATCAAGTGATGTACAATTAAGTATTTAATTTTACTTATGACTTTACCTGAATCTGACCCAGCTGTACAGACTGGGCTTCTGTTTGTTATAAGTGTTAGTTTACCTGAATCTGACCCAGCTGTACAGACTGGGCTTCTGTTTGTTATAAGTGTTAGTTTACCTGAATCTGACCCAGCTGTACAGACTGGGCTTCTGTTTGTTATAAGTATTTGTTTACCTGAATCTGACCCAGCTGTACAGACTGGGCTTCTGTTTGTTATAAGTGTTAGTTTACCTGAATCTGACCCTGCTGTATAGACTGGACTTTCAACTGTTGTAATCGTTTGTTTACCTGAATCTGACCCAGCTGTACAGACTGGGCTTTGGTCTGTTGTAATTGTTTGTTTACCTGAATCTAACCCCAGGTGTACAGACTGGGCGTTCATCTGCTGCAAGTAATAGTTTACCTAAATCTGACCCCAGGTGTACAGACTGGGTGTTCGTCTGCTGCAAGTGTTAGTTTACCTAAATCTGACCTTTGGTCTGTTGTAATTGTTTGTTTACCTAAATCTGACCCCAGGCGTACAGACTGGGCGTTCGTCTGCTGCAAGTGTTAGTTTACCTGAATCTGACTCCAGGTGTACAGACTGGGCGTTTGTCTGCTGTAAGTGTTAGTTTACCTAAATCTGACCCAGGTGTACAGACTGGGCTTCTGTTTGTTATAAGTGTTAGTTTACCTGAATCTGACCCAGCTGTACAGACTGGGCTTCTGTTTGTTATAAGTGTTAGTTTACCTGAATCTGACCCAGCTGTACAGACTGGGCTTCTGTTTGTTATAAGTATTTGTTTACCTGAATCTGACCCAGGTGTACAGACTGGGCTTCTGTTTGTTATAAGTATTTGTTTACCTGAATCTGACCCAGCTGTAAAGACTGGGCTTCTGTTTGTTATAAGTGTTTGCTTACCTGAATCTGACCCCAGGCGTACAGACTGGGCGTTCTTCTGCTGTAAGTTAGTTTATCTGAATCTGACTCCAGGTTTACCGACTGGACTTTGTTCTATCTTAAGTGTTAGTTTACCTGAATCTGACTCCAGGTGTACAGACTGGACTTTGGTCTATCATTAGTGTCTGTTTACCTGAATCTGACTCCAGGTGTACAGACTGGACTTTGGTCTATCATTAGTGTTTGTTTACCTGAATCTGACTCCAGGTGTACAGACTGGGTGTTCGTCTGCTGCAATTGTTAGTTTACCTAAATCTGACTCCAGGTGTACAGACTGACCTTTGGTCTGTTGTAAGTGTTTGTTTACCTGAATCTGACTCCAGGTGTACAGACTGGGCATTTGTCTGCTATAAGTGTTAGTTAACCTGAATCTGACCCTGCTGTATAGACTGGACTTTCAACTGTTGAAAGTGTTTGTTTACCTGAATCTGACCCAGCTGTACAGACTGGGCTTTGGTCTGTTGTAATTGTTTGTTTACCTGAATCTGACCCCAGGTGTACAGACTGGGCGTTCATCTGCTGCAAGTAATAGTTTACCTAAATCTGACCCCAGGTGTACAGACTGGGTGTTCGTCTGCTGCAAGTGTTAGTTTACCTAAATCTGACCTTTGGTCTGTTGTAATTGTTTGTTTACCTAAATCTGACCCCAGGCGTACAGACTGGGCGTTCGTCTGCTGCAAGTGTTAGTTTACCTGAATCTGACTCCAGGTGTACAGACTGGGTGTTCATCTGCTGCAAGTGTTAGTTTACCTAAATCTGACCCCAGGTGTACAGACTGGGCGTTTGTCTGCTGTAAGTGTTAGTTTACCTAAATCTGACCCAGGTGTACAGACTGGGTGTTCGTCTGCTGCAAGTGTTAGTTTACCTAAATCTGACCCCAGGTGCACAGACTGGGCGTTTGTCTGCTGTAAGTGTTAGTTTACCTAAATCTGACCCCAGGTGTACAGACTGGGCGTTTGTCTGCTGTAAGTGTTAGTTTACCTAAATCTGACCCCAGGCGTACAGACTGGGCGTTCGTCTGCTGTAAGTGTTAGTTTACCTGAATCTGACCCCAGGTGTATAGACTGGGTGTTCGTCTGCTGTAAGTGTTAGTTTACCTGAATCTGACCCCAGGTGTACAGACTGGGCGTTTGTCTGCTGTAAGTGTTAGTTTACCTAAATCTGACCCCAGGCGTACAGACTGGGTGTTCGTCTGCTGCAAGTGTTTGTTTACCTGAATCTAACTCCAGGTGTACAGACTGGGCGTTCATCTGCTGCAAGTAATAGTTTACCTAAATCTGACCCAGGTGTACAGACTGGGTGTTCGTCTGCTGCAAGTGTTAGTTTACCTAAATCTGACCCCAGGTGTACAGATTGGGCGTTTGTCTGCTGCAAGTGTTAGTTTACCTAAATCTGACCCCAGGTGTGCAGACTGACGTTTGGTCTGTTATAATTGTTAGTTTACCTGAATCTGACCCCAGGTGTACAGACTGGGCTTTGGTCTGTTATAAGTGGTAGTTTACCTGAATCTGACCCCAGGCGTACAGACTGGACTTTGGTCTGTTGTAAGTGTTAGTTTACCTGAATCTGACCCCAGGTGTACAGACTGGGCTTTGGTCTGTTGTAATTGTTTGTTTACCTAAATCTGACCCCAGGTGTACAGACTGACCTTTCGTCTGTTGTCGGTATTTGTTTACCTGAATCTGACCCAGCTGTACAGTCTGGGCTTCTGGTTGTTGATCTGGTGGTGTTGGATAGAACAAACCGGCATTAACAGATGTCAGAGTGAATTCTCCTAGGTCACTTGGGTTCACCCTATAATACCTGGTTAAAAGAGTGAAACAATAAAACAAGTTTTCATTTGTTATCTAAATCTGAACAAATCTTTGAAAAATCAAATTGCAGGGAATATTTATTTTACCTTTCTGAAAATTATGAACAATGCATAATTTCATCTGAGGGGAATCTTCCACATTGATATGTTTTATTCCTTTATTCCTGCCCAAATAAAGGATCTTTTTCCTCCCATGAGGACAAGACAAAGAAATTTCTTCCCCTGAATGGGATGTTTGATTGTCTGGACATTTGAAATATTTGTTGAAAAAGAATGAGAGAAAAATACTTAAAATATTAATACATATGCTTTTCCTTTTCCAAACATATATGGTCATTTTCATGACTTACTTAAGCTCTACAAAACTACCAACACTTTAATTAGCACATGTATTTGTGCCAGATAAATCTAATAATTTCTATAGCTTACATCAGAACAAAGTAGGTTTTCCTGATAAATACAGACCTTGTTGTCCACTGGTCACTTGCTGTGCTGACCACTGCCTTCTTTAGCAAGGGATAACTGGTTACAAAGTTGGTGGCTGATGTTGAATTAAACACAACTGTTGAACTATCAGTATCTGGTGTCTTGTCAGAGTTGTCCCCCTTGAAAAACAATTTCTTGGTTTGGTTGCCACACGAGACCTCACACTGTAAGAAGATGTCAAGTCCAACTTCTTCATTCTTAAAGGAGTAGGATATCACCACTGGTTCTTTTATCTCAAACTCCACACAGAATAACCTGTAAAGGTAATCTTAAACTAAACAGAAAGTTATTCTGTATACATGTTATATATTCATAGAGGGTATCATAAGACACCATATAGGATGCTCTTTCCCAATAACATTCTCAACTTAAAACTACATATAGAAGAATCTGTCTTGATCTGCTCTGAAGACTCACAAAACATACGTTTTCTGGTGAATCAGTAGATTTAATTGCTTTTTATCTGTTTGTTCACAGATAAGTGGTTCAGTAACTCACTAGGTGTGTGTATTCTGGTCACTGATTAGGTTTGTGTGTGATCCGTTTGTTCACAAAATATGTGTGGTTTGGTGACTCACTAGTTGTGTGTATTCTGGTCACTGATTAGGTTTGTGTGTGATCTGTTGGTTCACAAAATATGTGTGGTTTGGTGACTCACTAGTTGTGTGTATTCTGGTCACTGATTAGGTTTGTGTGTGATCTGTTTGTTCACAAAATATGTGTGGTTTGGTGACTCACTAGTTGTGTGTATTCTGGTCACTGATTAGATTTGTGTGTGATCTGTTTGTTCACAAAATATGTGTGGTTTGGTGACTCACTAGTTGTGTGTATTCTGGTCACTGATTAGGTTTGTGTGTGATCCGTTTGTTCACAAAATATGTGTGGTTTGGTGACTCACTAGTTGTGTGTATTCTGGTCACTGATTAGATGTGTGGGTGATCCGTTTGTTCACAAAATATGTGTGGTTTGGTGACTCACTAGTTGTGTGTATTCTGGTCACTGATTAGATTTGTGTGTGATCTGTTTGTTCACAAGATACAAACAAGAGCCGTCAGAGACGGGTAATGCTCCCCGTTTGGGAAAAATTTAAGTATGAAAAATAACAATAAGAGATATGATTCTTGTGCACTGCCCTCCTTCTCATTGAGACTTATCTGGTGACTCAATAAGGTGTGTGTACCTTTATGACACAAAAGATGTGTGTATCTGGCAACTATGATAGATGTGTATACATCATTTTTGTGCATGGCCAGGTGACTCAACAGATGTGTGTACCCTGGTGACTTGATTAATGTGTTTGTACTCTGCTGAAAGAGTAGATCTTTATACTCCTCAATAGATCTGTGTGGGGTCAGGTGACTCAATAGACATGTGTATGTTGGTGAATCGATACATTTGTGTGGGGTCTGGTGACTCAATAGACATGTGTATGTTGGTGAATCGATTCATTTGTGTGGGGTCAGGTAACTCATTAGATGTGTGTACCCTTGTGACACAGCATATGTGTGTGTACCCAGGTCACTCAACAGATTTTTTTGTGTGTTACAACTTACTTGGTGAGTATGATATAGTCTAAGAATGAATGATTTGGTTGGGAACTGATGTATTCTAAGGACCTGCCCAGTGATTTGATCCGAACAGAAGGATCTGAACAGCTGATTTGACCTGATCAGAGGGATCTAAAAAGATGATTTGACCTGATCAGAAAGATCTGAACAGACATTTGTCCTTACTTGTAAATAACAGGTGACCCGTCCTTTGGTAGAGGGTTGGCTCGGAGCTGGAGAGAGCTGCCTCCTAGTAATGCTGCACCTGTAACCAGATCCATACTGCAGGTTGATGGAGTCACCCCTTCAAACTGAGCATTAGTGAGCGAGGGCTGAGGTTCCTGTAGGCCCAAGTTGTGCCAGGGAGCAGCACTGACCTCCTGACAGATACCAAATAGAATTTTAATGTCAATGTCCATTTGGGTAGCTCATTAACTTAGATATTCAGTGTGTTTTAAAAATCAAATGTTTTTACTAATACATTATCTAACTGAACATCTATGACACCTACAATAGGCAAAGTGTCTGAATGTCAAAGTCATTTTCTCAGACTGATAAAAACAACATAGTCTCTCTGCAAACTAATGCATCTTTACTCTTGATCTCTCCAAAATGTAAGCTTACGTACACACACATATATTTCTATTCATCTATACAACATATTGGTCATAAAATCATTCTTCAATTTCCAAAAGCTTTTAATTACTATTGATATGAAAATATTTTAATGCCTTACCAGTCCCTGAGAGTAGTACTTTTGACCAAAGCCCTGACAGAAGGAGGTGGAGAAGGGAAGATGACTGGAGGCCAGCGCCCTCACAGGAAGCAAGTGGTGCAGAAGTCGCCAGAACCTTTAAATATACATAGTGATATTTTATACCCATTGTGTAAGTGATATTTTATCTATAATATTTTAGTCAATCTCATTGTCTGTTAAATCCTGTCCTCTAGCTTATAATAACATAGAATCTTTCTCATCAACAGTATCAGAGATACTTTGCTGAGAGAAGACCTTTTTCTTATTAGCATGAAATTTACCAGACAAAACATAAGCGAAAAGTACTGACCCAATATCATTCATTACAAAACATGTGTTTTAGTTTAAATGATCTGAAAAGAAAAGCTTAAATAATGAAATATTAAAAAATCAGTTTGATCTAAATTCATAGTGAAGAATCAAATGTTATACCTGTTTTCATTCTGTAGGAAGTTTGCCTCTCCTTGAGTTTCATATACCCATCCCATGGCAAAGATAGCAGCTGACATGTTATGTTGTCTTATCGCAGTCAATGCCTGTGTATGTAAAGTAACACTGTATATAGCCACTATTAAAAGTCAAATCAAACTGTTTTGAAAACAAATGTTCAAATTTCAATATTTTTAATCACAACATTTCTGATGTAAAGTTTTGAAACTATTGAAAAATATGATTAACAAGAGAGTAAGGGACTTAAAGACATTTATTAAACCCTGAAGAAACTATACTCAACAAAAAAGAAATGCACAAAGTTCCCCCTGCAGTACACCTTAGCTATCAGGAAATAATGGAATATTTGGTCAGATATTATATCAAGAATGATCTACCCTAAAATCAGCCAAGAGTGACGATGTCATAGTCTGACTTTGGAAGCTTCTTTACTCCAAATCATGTAGCATGATCAAACAAGTCCAGATTTTTTCAAACAAATAATTTCAATGAATGCTCTAAGTTCAGCCCATTAATTTTCCATTTTGATTTCAGGTATCCCACTTTGAGTAACTGCTGACAACACTAGTGATGTCACATAAACTTTTCTTCTACAGTATTGTAAAGAGTAGACTATAAAATTTTGTACCAATTTCCCAAAATATCATAGGCTGATTCATAATTTTATAGTGCATTTCTTTTCTTGTTGAGTATATAAATATCTTGTATCTAAAATCACATTCATTCAAACTTGGATGCAAGTGAATCACTTAAATTCAGATAGAATTCAATCACTCATTTCAGATACAAGTCAATCACTCAAACTCAAAAATAAGTCAATCACTCAACTCAGATATAATTCAATCACTCAACTCAGATATTTGTCAATCATATCAAATCACATAATATAGACTCACTTCATTTCAGAATATCATGAAACTATAAATAGGATCAATGGGACAAAAGAGTAAATACCTCAACAGTGTTGAATCCTCCCCCTCCGAGACAGCCTCGTCCGAACACATCTACTCCCACATATACATCCATCGCCCTACCTTTAGAATTTGCCAGCTCTTTAGAGCATCTCAGACTCTTATCTTTCCAGTTATAGTTCAAGAAAATCCCATCACATACATCAAAAAACATGCTGAAAAATAAACATAAATGTTATTCTTAATTGAAATTGAAAGCTTATCTGATTTGGGTTTTTTTTTTATCATTGAGATGAGTCAAATAATAATGTCCTGCATTAATTCAATTTTCACCATAAAAAATCAAGGATGACCTACTTTTTGACATGTTGTTTGACTTTTCTCGTTTATTGTTGTCTCATACAAAAGGAAAGACATTAAAATCCTGGAAGGGATCTGATTATCTGCATAATATACTTCTGTTTGGATATTGATGACAATAAGAATTCCTCGCTCTTTGTAAACATGAAATTCTGACAACCTGTCAGGGCTCTGGCAATCAGCAATACCTTACATCTTATATCTTATCAAATTCAGTATGGTATGACAAACAGAATAAATAATACATGTGTTCTTGAAATATACACCTTATTTAGCTTTTTTAATGATATCCTATAGCACTGCCAAGTTCAGACCCATGTTTTCTCTGTATACTAAGACAATAGTGCAAATGTGTGTGTGCTAATTCTGATTAACAGAATGGCATTAAGTCATCACAAACTGCCTCTAATACACAATTAATAAATGTTTATATGATGTATAAGTACTTTGATGGAAACCGGAGAAACATTCAAATCTAGTAAACTTCCACATGTCACTGAAGGTTAATATTATAAAATACTGATCACATAGATTATTAGACTTGTATATGTAAAGAGCATTAAATAATGGGCCTACAAAAAATTTGTCAATAAACAAAATGATTTATGTATATTTGTAACGAAACATACCAATTTTTTTCGTTTAGTTCGTCCTGCCATCTAAGTCCTCCTGTATTTATTACACTGTCATACCAAATCACCTGCGACCCAGGAATCGCCTCATGGAGAGACTTTGTGAGGTACGCCACAAAGTCACACAGTCGCTGCACTTTGTCAGGCTTTCAGACAAAAAAATCATTAACAATTTTAATCAAAGGCTCTGATATTGATATTGGTGATTAAATTCAGCCATGTTACCCTTAAAAATCATGATTATTTTCTTTAACTGAACAATTTTGGTCATCTGTCTTTTCATGGTAAATGGTTATACAAATAGATTAGATATGTGTACACTATACAGAATATAGTAATTAACATATTTGTTCTATATTATATCATGATATGTACACCATTTTTAGTATTTTACCTCCACCACATTTTCAATGTTAACCAGCCAGCCATCCATGCCATAGTGCTGTGTGATTGCCACTAGTTTGTCTGCAAATGCCTTGTAGCTGTCATCAGATTCAATGATTTGATGACAGCGCTTTTTCCCATCATCCCATTCAGTGATCAGTGTGCCTAAACATTCAAATGTTACTTCAGCACTTACAAATGACATGCATGTATGTATCTAATAAAGAACATGGTGAACAAATGGAAATTTGAAATAAAGTAAATTTGAATTAAAACATGTTGTATACACGTCATGTACATGGTATATTAATCACATTCATATGACATATCACAAAGGTTTGGACCAGCACAATACATTAACATCTCATGCTTATGACAAAGATTACCCATCATCTGGACACCATGTCTGTGTGCAGTGTTTGTCCAGCCTGGTGGTGGCACGGTGACAAGGTTATGACTGAAGTAGATGAAAGCATCTATATACTGCCAATGGTAGAACCTGTAGCTGTCTGCATCAAAACATCCCTGAACAAATCTGGTCCAAAAGAAGTCAAAGAAGGCCTATAGTCTTAAGTGCTATTTTCTTGCAAATTTTTATCATATATGTGTGTGTGTATGTTGCCCTCTTTACCACTCATTTATCTTTTTTTTCTTTTACATTCTTGCATCATGATAACACTTGTCAAAATATTAAGAACAGTGGTCTTCTGAATGATACAGCACTCCTTAATTGAGTCAAATTCCTGTCAAAATATTCTGCTATTAAATGCCTTTGATAACTGTCCCTTTTGGTTTGAACAAAAAGTTGAATCCACTTGATTCCTTCATTCGTAGTTTTCAAAATCACACATATGAGCATTACTTTTTTGGAAAACAAGAGTGTTTGTACCATAAAAATTATTTTTTGTTTAACAAAAAAAAAGGACAGAATTACATTATTTGCTAACAACTGAAATGTTTACTCACCGATCTTGTAAATATCCTCCTCTCATATCATGACAAAGTATTGTTTTTGGAGCATCTTTAGCAATTGGAATTCTTCTGACTAAAGTTTCTGTTGCAGCAAAGAGTTTATAGTTCTCTGGTTTAAACTCTAGTACATCTTCAACTGTCTTAAAGGGAAGACACTCTGGGCCAGCCATCTCACCAATCTACTGTCAATAAAGTGGAATATATTTGTATCATAATATTATAAAGACTGAAATTTGGTTTCAACTTCAATACACTAAAGTTTTATCAACTTCTCTGTGTACATTGTACATGAATATACCTCCTTTTGTTATTAAATACAAACGGTTGGCCAGACGTAAAAATTAACATATGATGAATTTCCCTGTCTGAGAGATATCAGAATACTTGTTATGTCATATAAATTTTACATGATTCTCCTTCGTGATAATGACAATTCATCAACAGATTGATGATAATATATCATAGGATGGAATATAAAACAGTGTTTTTCTTTCTTTTTTTGGGGTATAAAGCTTTGTACATAGACAGACGTAGAGCGTAGAGGGATGATGCGACATTGGAAGGCCAGCTATGAATGCTTCATCAGTGTCAGCTGAAGTGACTGAATGAGGAGACTCTAGTGACTGAATGTGAGAGAAAAGAAAGAAAATTTACAGGTGTCTTGAGATGTCTGCATAGAGTGATTATAAGCATAAGTATTGTGTTAAGAAGACCTGGTTCTTGTGTTTGCTGAAATATTGTAATAATTAGATTATTTAGAGTTTTGTAAAGCAATACAAGTCTGAAGTATATTTTGAGTGTTAGAAGGGGAAGCCAGTGTAATGTTTACATCATTTCAGTAACAGAGCTGGTATTATGATGTCAGTTCCAAAAGAACTTTGTGCCACAAAATTAGACTTTCTTCATTTCGTTTATTTAGTTAGCATTATAGGGGTCCCAAACAGGTAAACAATATTCAAGTTTGGGAATGAATTAAGGATTGTAGGCATGTTTTTTTATCTTAAGAGAATAGACCTTCAAATTTCAGCTCAGAAAACCCATGGAATGATTGAATTAGTGGTCATCAAATTAATTTGTTTGTCCTATTTCAGGTAGGATTTTATGGTGATGTCAAAGAATTTTGCCAAATCTGTTGTTTCAAGGGTTTGACCATGAAGCCGATTGCTTTGCCGCCAGGTTAGAACTTTTAACCATAGTAGTGCTATATAAAATACATTTGTCTGGGTGAAAACACATCAACCAGTCCCTTCCCTATTTACCTGCAGATGAATGATCGGACTTTAGTTAATTATTATTATCTTCCTGTGATTTGATCGTTTTGTAAATAATACTATCATTAGAAAAGATGAATACATTTCATTTATGAGAAAGATCATTTATAACGATAAGGCACACAATAGGTGCAAAGACCATTCCTTGTTGAACACCCACGTTACTAGAACTGTCAATGAGGTTTTGCAATTAACACAACCAACTGAGTTTTATTCAAGAGAACATTAATTTTTGGGCCCTTAAAAACTGTATCTTGCTAGCTATGTTACATCAATAAATTTCAACCAAACAATCACATAAATAAATTGATATATGTTCATGCTATAAGATTTATTTAACACCAGTTTTTTTTTTCTAAATATATCCACATATACTACATGAAATTTGCTCACCTAAAATAACCAACATGTGTATTGGCAATGTGACTGCAGTATGTTTCTGATGACATGATTCAATCACATTGGCATAGAAGTACACATATACTGCATAAAATCATCAGCTGATCAGGAATGGCATTTTGATGATAAAAAGATAAAAATCATGTTGCGAAAATGGTGGATATCCTTGTCTGTGTGTACATCTTTTCTAAAGTGTTAGATTTAAGTTTTTATTGCTTGGTTTCTAAAATGAACCATTTGAACTTCTTTTTAATATCACAAACTATTCAAATATTTTTTTCATCTTTTGGTCTGCAATTTACAAGTTAAATCAAATCAGAAATTAGTCATCAAAAGCAATAGCTGTTAATCAACATTTTTCCTGTAAGATGTGCATGTTTGACTTCTGTAGCATACAATTACAAGGATGCATTCATAATTATTCATGATCTTTCCTTATTTATTTGATCAGAGACGACATGAAAACATTTGGAATGGATGGGGATGGATTGATAAATTATTTCATCATATTTGGGAGGATGTTTGACATGTAAAATGTTTATTAAGAGAATAAAAACAAATTTGCATGTGAAATATGTAACCATAACATTTCACGATGAAATGATATAAAAGCATTTTGTATAGCGACCAACATCTTCCAGGTGCAAGCTAGAGGTCATGCAGGTCAATGGTTAACATGATACAGCTTGACAAAATGGCCGCTCCAAAATACATAACGGTCCAGAACCAATGTCGACCCAATAGTTTTTCTTAAGAAAATAATAAAATTAAGTTCAACTGATCAATTTATTAGAAATAAAGCTAACAAAGTGTACATAATTATCCATTACATTTATGCTCACTCGTTCATTGTCATATAGACTGATCAAAGGTAATCAAGAGAGAAGAAGACAAAGTGATACTTCAAGAAGATCTAAATAACATAAGAGAATGGAGTGAGAAATGGCTATTAAAATCACATCCTGATAAATGCAAACATATGTTGGTCGGACAAGATACTGCACAGGTAGATGGAACAGGAGCAAAGTATCAATTACTGGGGAATATTCTAAGAGTCACTGATAAGGAAAAAGACATTGGAGAAATGGTAGATTCTGAACTTTCTTTCCAATACCACATGAGTGAAAAAGTGAAGAAAGCAAATCAAATTTTCGGATTGTTAAGAAGAACATTTCAGTTTATGAATTCTAAAATTTTTCTTCCACTGTATGAAAAGCTTGGTGAGATCACAACTGGATTACGCAAGTTCTGTTTGGTCACCAGTAAAAGTGAAAGATATAGATAAGCTGAAGTCAGTTCAATGAAGGGCCACAAAAAGTTTACCTAGAATGCAGGATATGTCGTACCAGGACAGGCTATAGAAGCTAAATCTTCCAACTTTAACATACAGAAAGCTTAGAGGGGATATGATAGAACTCTATAAAATCACAAATGTATATATGGTAAGGATTCATGCAGTTTTGTAAAGCTTAAGATGGACGTAGGAATAAGAAGTGGTCGAGGACAATCAAACACTTTTTCTTCAACAACACAGGACCAACAGTCAAAAACATGGAATAATCCTACAGAAGACATTGTATCTGCTCCAAATATAAATACTTTTAAAATCAAAATACTGTATATAATTATAGAGCTAGTGAAAACTAACCTCAAAATGAACTTTAACCACAGCAATATAATTTTGAGTCTGGTGAAGAGGAACATGTACCGGAAACACTACAATACTATAAGGAAATAAATACGTGTCGGAAGTCAATGCCGTTCACTACTAGACACTAGAACGTGTTCGTGCCATTTAATTTGTTATGTCACATAATGATTAAACCAGTTTTAAAAAATATACTACGATGCAATAGTATGTAAAACAAATGCATACCAAAATGCTTGCGAAGTTCTTATCTTGCAATACAGTACATTCGTGGATAAAACCCGTCTGTGTTTTTTTCCGTTGTCAATGTAAATTGTTCGGTTTTCAACCGGAAACGCAGTTTTCTGTCCGAAGATTTCAGAGTTATCGTTACTGTATATATATTGCACAATTCCTGTTTATATAAATATATGGCATACTGATCACAGGGACTTGTGGACTTAATTCCAATAGCATTTAAAATTAAGAACCCACACAATAGCTTTGTAAAAGCTAATTTTATAAACTATCAAGGACAAAAAATGAGAAACAACACAATGGTCTATAATTTTTTTTTATTTATACCACGGACTTGTATATTAGATCTTTACTTCTATATTTGAGTCCGCAAGTACCTATGTTGCCAATTTGGCATGTAGTACATTCTAGAATTATCTATTTCATAATTGGTACGTGTCTTTCCTCATTGCATCAGTGGCAATATAAATGTTTGACAGTGACGTTACAACAGAATTAGGAATTTGAAAGTCTGTCAGTCCCCACCATCCTACAGTCTACTATACTTCTGCTTCATGTATAGGCAGTCGTTAGTCGTGCAAACTTCACTTGTAATTCCGACTGTACATTGCAGTGCAATACGCAGACTGCAGAGTCTAAAGTTTCGCGATCACGAGTTGCTTAACGATGTCTTCTGACGGCACCATAGATTTTCCAAGTTATGTTCAAATGGTTAGAACAGCTGCTTATCTTTAGTTGTATATAGTGTTGAGTGGAACTGAATTGGGTTGAACACGTTTACTATGGGAAACGGTTTCATATGTTCAACGTTCATCATCTAATTCAATGGCAGTGTCATTTTTTCTTTTATTTGTGAAATGCACAAGGTACATTGCCATTAATTGTGTGATTCCAATATCGAAGTTATAACATATTGATAAGTACTGAAAAAATACCCAGTCTCTACCATCAACACAATGTAACAGTGGAAGTGTTATCAGAGCTACAATACTGCAGGTAAAAGTTTATGTACTGCTAAATATTGAATTTTCCAATTGCAGATATTAAAAGATGAACACCAGAGATGTGACAAATTTTTGAGTGATGAGGACTTGGATCATCTTTTGGATGAAAGCAATGCTGATTCAAAACAGAGGGAGACAATTCTAGGATATCCCTCATTTCCACTATACAGGGACTTGGGGACAATGCTGAAATTGTGGATGATAAACAGGTAAATACTTTTATCCTGATAGACCAAATGTACAGCAAAATGCAACACATTACACTATCTACAAATACCAATACCTCATGCTGCTACATCAAACATGTCACAAAAACTGCGATAAGGTCTGTGTATTAACTTTATATATGTTTTTTCTTTAAGGTCTTGTCCAGTCTTGGACCTTCCTAAATATGACCTTTTAGATGAAAAGACCTATGTTGAATCCAGGTGCAGTATCTTCTTTTTATTATTGATCTTTACCATAAAACCTGTTAATAATCTACATATTTGGTGTTTATGAAATTAAAGATGATGAAATTATTTCTATATTTGATAATTTCAATATAGTCTTAAAAAATAAAGTGGTAATTTCAGTGGATGACTTTTTGTTCAGTAAATTATAATGAAAATTACAGTTCTTAGAGAGGATATGATAACTGATGTACATCCAATTGTTTGTTATAAAGGTTGGCAAAGTTTAGTGCTGTAACACCTTTATTGGAAGGGCTACAGACTCTATGGGATATCTGGAGCGTGGACGAGAGAAAGTACAGGATCAGGGACATCTTGGTGGTATGTATGTGTAGAGGATTGGTAAAGTGTGAAAAGTGATGGGTGAAGGAACAGGATTGTGTGTCAATGGTCAGGGGAGTGAGAAGAGGATCATTGATATTTTGATAATAAATAGAGACCTATGTACAGACTGGAATGACTGTTTGATAACAGATATAAAACAGTTAGATACATGTAAGTAAATACATATGTATTGCATACAGAAAATTCTGACTTGTTAATTATAACATGTCAGCTTTTGCAACTGTTCTCATGCATTTGATATCTGTTTGTAAAATTGTTTTTCTTTTACAATGAAAAGTACTATTTATTTTGGACTCAGTAATGCAGTTTTGATATCTTTATCACAATGAGTGGAATATTTGTCAGCATGAGGCTCACAAGTGTTGTTTTTACTTGTAGACATTGGAAAAGAGAGGCATGTTGGATTTGTTTGGAGTAAGAAATACTGTTGGAACCCGCGAGATATTACCACCTCCAAGAAAAGTCATGGAGGCAGCTTTCACAAAAAAACACTCGTAAGTAAGAAAAAAATGACTACTAAATGTAAAATACATACTGTCTGTTTATTTTAGCCCTTCAACAATGGCATCAGGTTTTTTTTTTAGGGGGGGGGGGGGTATTTAATTCACACTGTTTTTTCTTTTCAGTACACACCAGTTTAGTGTTGCTACATTTTGTACCATACTGTTTTGAGAAAGAAACTATCTGCCACTACACATCATCAGATGGTGGGCAATTTAAATCACCCTATGTCCATGCTTTGTGGTCAGTCCAGGCATCTTTCTGTCCGTAATCAATTTTTGTTATCGCTCTTTCTTGAGAAGAACGGGATGGATCTTTCTTAAATCTTATATGTAGGTTCCCATTGGTCCCTAGTTGAGCCCATTTGATTTTGAGTCTGATCAGAAAAACAAAATTGTCTACTGGTGGCTGTCTTGTATTTTGGCGTAGAAAGTTTGTTATCATTGTTTCTTGAGAAATACTGCAAAGATCATTCTTCAATTTTTGTTTGTATATGTTCCTCTTGATCCGTAGTTATGCCTGTTTGAGGTTGGGACTGATCAGAAAAACAAAGTGACTGACAGGCAGCCATTTTGGATTTGGGATAGTAAAGACTGTTATCCCTATTTCTTAAGAAGTACAGAATTGGTCTCTATTTGCGTGTTTGATTTCGGGACTGATCAGAGGAAAAAATGGCTTCCAGGCAACCATTTTGGTACAAAGATTATCATCGCTGTTCCTGCAAATGAATGTTCAAATTTCAAAAATAGAGAAGAGGAGAGAAAAGAAGGGAAAAGATACAATTTTCAAAGAGCACATAAAGATCAAACAAAAGTAGGCACCAGGATCCCTCTGGAATCTCTTGTTTGTTGTAGATTTAATGCTGAGCTGTCAGTGGAAGCCAATTATTATTAGTCTTATTGTAGACATAATGCCAAGCTGTCCAGGGGAGTTTACCAATCCCAGACATATTTTGTTGTAGACCATAGCTTCCAGTATTATTTGATATAGGTCCAATGTGAAGCTGTCTGAAGACCAGTCATTTCCAGTCTTATTTGTTGTAGACTCAATGCTAAGCTTCAATGGGATCCAATCATTACAAATATTGTTTGTTGTAGACCTAATGCTGAGCTGTCTGTGGGGGCAAGGGCCTTGGCTAAGCACCATCATAGGGACCAGACCGACTCCTGGTGGGGTGTCTGTACAGGAAGTAAGTTTCTTGTCACGTGGACTTATCACAAAATGAACTTTATTATTTGAATCAGTAATGATGAATGTCTTGCCTATGCTGGGGAGGCTCCGACTAGCAACTGTTTGCTCTCTAATAAGACATGCTGAGACTAAGCTAAAGGGCAATTATTTTAACAGTGACTTGAACAATAACCTGTACTTTTAAGTGTATCTACAAGTTTCTATTCAGATAACTATGAGTTATTATACTGAAATTTAAAAAAAAAAAAAACAGCATTCCCTGTGTTAATATGCTTTATTTCTTTTAGATGAAAAGGCAAAGAACAAGAATGCCTTAGATAACATGAACAAAGTTTTAGATAATGCTACCTGGATCAATATCCACTGGCTCCCGGTGAGTAGCTAACAAAAGTAGAAGTTATGTCCAGAGTATACAGGCTGTATCACATCTGTATAATCATTTCTGTAGAAATTATGTCCAGACTATACAAGCTGTATCACACCAATGTACTCGTACTTGATGTCTAGGATGTATACAGGTAGTAACACATCTTTGTAACCATCTAGGAAGTATACAGAAAATGTTGTGGTTTTGATATATCTTCAAATGTCATTTCAAACTTATTAGGTGTATTACAGTGTGCATTGGCAATATTGATTGACTTGTTCACTTTATGCTTTAAGCTGTATTGTCATATGTGATGAAAAACTCAAATTCCAACCGCAATATTGATTGAATTGTTCACTTTATGCTTTAAGCTGTATTGTCATATGTGAGGAAAAAACTCCAATTCCAACCGCAGATGTTAAGATTAAAGCAATGTTTATCAATGCCAAAGAACTTTTATAATGTAGGGTTATCTTGATACCATATATGGTATATAATGTTTTGAATGATAATGGTTGCGTAACTTTGATTGAAAGTAAATTCCCATATTTTTAATCAATAAACTATGTATTTCTATTGCCTTGCAGCAAGATGTCATCATTATGGAAGCTAGACACGGAGATGGTAATTATAGATAACGTTATTTTACAAACAACAAAAGTTACAGGGACTGTAACAGCAGCAATACTTGATGCTAATAGCTGATAATTAATTCACAGTATGCATGGATAAATGCTCTGGTTACAAAAAATGAATTTCATTTCAAACAACAAATTTCTTTTCTGAACATGAAGGTGGGAAAGAATTGATTTATCAATATTCCTCAGCTGACAAGTACTTCCAACAGGAGATGTGCTCCAACACTTTCTTTATATTTGATTCTCATTCTACGAAATGATCATGTAGCATGGTAAACTGAATCTCAACAGATAACTGTGCTGCTGATTGTGTCACTGCAACAATGATAAAAATAAATGCAGGTTTCTAAAAAGGTTAGCAGACTGAATTTTTTTCTTGCTGGCATTTCAAAATTATAATAGTAAATATCTAACTAAATGGAAAATAATGCAAATAATTGGATTTGATGTATTTTACACAATATAGTACAAAACAAAATATGGTCCAACATTTAGTCTCGCATGCAAACGGAGATTTAGGATTCTTTGCAATTAGGAAAATGCTTTTATCTATCTTGTATGTTTTTACCACAGTATTAATCTAGAAAATTACTATTTGTGTTTTTTGAAGAAAAGATAGCAATATTATGATGTAGATTGACAACACAAGGCAAATATAAATACTGATTGTTTCATACACTGGTTCTGACATCTGTTGAGATGTCCATCATTACATGGAATGTGATGTGACCTCTGATCACAACAAAAAAGTATGTTAAGTTTTTGAAGATTAATTATGTAGGCCTAAAACTGTCCTTTTGTGTACGTACCAGGTTATGGAGCGAGATGGAGCCCTGATGGTAAGGAATTCCGTGGATTCCTGGAACCTCAGATGGTAGATGGTCACATTGTGGGTTGGCGACATTGATGTTGGACTTTTTTTATCATTGGATCTTCATTAATATGTTTGGTGGCAATTCTGGATACAGGGGAATTGCAGTGCTGCAAACAAAGGGACCTCTGCAATGAAGGGAATTCCATATTGAAGTTCTACCTGCAGTGGGGAAGTCCATTGTGAAGCTCTCCCTGCTATGGGGATGTCCATCGTGAAGCTCTTCCTGCTGTTGGGATGTCTTTATTAAAGTTCTACTTGCAGAAGTTCTATATGCAGTGGGGGAAGTCCATTGTAAAGCTCTTCCTGCTGTGAGGAAGTCCTTATTGAAGTTCTATATGCAGTGGGGGAAGTCCATTGTGAAGCTCTTCTTGCTGTTGGGAAGTCTTTATTGAAGGTCTACCTGATGTAGGGGGGGAAAAAAGTTTCCCTGACAGGGGAAGTCCATAGTCAGGCTTTACCTGTTCTGGGTAAATTCATAGTGATGCTCTATCTTATTTCCATACTGCAGTTATATCTGTTAATGGAAAGTTTATAGTGGAGCTCTACCCGACAAGGGAAGACTGAAATGAAGTTTATTTGTATGAGGAAGACGATGGTGGAGCTCTACCTGCAATAAGAAGTCCATACTGAAGATCTACCTGCTGAGATATTCTAGGAAACAGAATGAAAATGCACTGGGGAAGGACCCCAATTCAACTAGTATTTGTCTAAAACTACATGTATATTCGATTATAAAATCCATAGAGCAACGCACATGAATGGTATCAATATTTTATTCATGGGATCAAACTTTGAACTCTTGTGAATGTTCAACCACATTAGTGACCCTGAGAATAGAATATCTTTGACGATTGACTACTCATCTACTGTAATGTCAGGAAATTTGTTATCGTTCTATATCTGCTGTTTTTGGTGGTATTCTAAATTCACAATTTCATATGTTCATGAATCAAAATGCTGTTAAAAATTTGATATGAATTTTCTTATAAGTAAATTTCTTGAGTTTCAACAGAATACAATTTTTTTCAAAAAAGAAAATGTATTTAGAAAAAAACAAATGCACAAAATTTAGAAAATTTTATGATTTTCAGTTAATTTATTAAAGAGATAGAAGTATTCTACTCTTATACATAGCCTTGCTGTTTGTGATTGTTATCGGGTATAAAGCCATACTCGAACGAATCAGAAAAATGATGCCCACATAGCTATACTTCATCAAGGAGAAATTATATCATTGTTACTAAAAAAGGATTATAACACATTTTCTATTTTATCCCTTCATCATCAGATCATGGGGTATTCAAGCTTCCCTACACCCATAGCCTGTCGTCCTTCCGTCCATCCATTAACAATTTTTTATGCTATTTGGGAAGTACAGGAAATTTCAAACGTAGGCTTCCTTTGGTCCCTAGTTGTGTTGTTTGACTTTGAGACTGATCAGAAAAAACAAAATGGCTTCCAGGTGACCATCTTGGATTTGGCAATTAAAGAACAGTTATTACTATTTCTGCAGAGGAATGTTCAGATTTCTTATCATTAAGAGCAAAAACAGAGAACAGAAAAGAAAGGATTAAACAATGGAGGTTGAACAGATCCCTATGGAAGCTCTTTTTTTCTCTATGCTTACAAAAAAAAAAAAACATAATCACATGTTGCTGAGTGTAGAATTTGCCTTTACCTGGTTCTTTACATCCATATTTTATCTTATCTTATTCATCTTATTGATTTATTTTTTCAGCTTTCATAAACAGTCATTATCTACTTCTAACTCAATGTTTTTTACAATATTTTTATTACATAATGTATATTTGTATGAAACTTCAAAATAAATTAATGTTATAATAGCAATATTGTGCTCTTTTTTTTACTCTACTATGATTTACATGTTACATTAAAATATAACATAAACACTCACCTAGGGATATGTGTGCCCTCACACAAAACTTTTCATTTTAGCTCTGTATTAAATTCACCCTAAAACACAAAACCAATTGGGCAGGAGGCTTTACCACCAAGCAATCGGACAGGAGGCATTACCTAACCAACCAGACCTGATCAATCAGACTGTGGGCTTTAGCATTCATCAGACAGAAGGCATCACCTAACCAATCAGACTGCAGACATTAACCAACCAACAAGACATGACCAATCATATTGTAGGCTTTGTCCAACCAATCAGAAGGGGCATTACCCCAACCAACCAGACAAGAACTATTACAAGACCAATTAGACTATGCTTTACCTAACCAATTAGAGAGGAGACATCACCAAACAAATCAGACTTGAGATTACAGCCTATCCAATATCAGATGACAAGAAACACTCAGACATGAGACTTTACCCATCCAAAAAGACAACATTTTCAACCAATGAAGCATCAGACATGACTCATCGATTGAAAATGTGTGGTCATTACCACAGCAATAAATTATACAAAATTGTCTAAATAATCTGACATTATCTAGTCAATGAAACATAACCCAAGCAAAAAAACCTGAGACACAACAGAATCAATTAGACCATTGCAACCAATCAATGAATCATTCCAAATGGGTGAGACCTCATCCAACAAATAAAACATAACTCATCCAACATTACAAAACACAAAAGTACTGAGACATGAGAAATTCCCAACCAGTGAGGCATTACTAAGAAAATAAGAAGTCATTAAACTGATGTGACATGAAATCATCCCACTAATAAGATAGGAGGAATCATCCATCCAAAGAAACACTACTCAATGAACAAGACATTATCCAAACCAACATTCCTTACAAATGAGACACGAGTTTTGCCCAATAAATGAAACATTAACTAACCATCAGAAATTAGCTAATCAATGAAACATTAATTACCTACCAATTAAACATTACCAGTTAATTAGACATTAACTTACCAATGAACCATGCATTACCTGCCAATAAAACAATAACCAACCAATGAACCATTAATTACCTGCCAATAAAACAATAACCAACCAATGAACCATTAATTACCTGCCATTAAAACAATAACTAACCAATGAACCATTAATTACCTGCCATTAAAACAATAACCAACCAATGAACCATTAATTACCTGCCAATAAAACAATAACCAACCAATGAACCATTAATTACCTGCCATTAAAACAATAACTAACCAATGAACCATTAATAACCAAACACCAAAATCAAACATTACTTGATAAAACATTAGCCAACCAATGAGGTACTCTGTTACTTGACCACTATTATGGGACAACGTTTGACTAAAATCCAAAGAGAAAGCATTTAATGACATGGACCTGGATGAAGCATGGGACTTCTTTACTGATAGAATAATGAAAGTCCTAGAAATACAATTGTAGTTGCCAACGGATACCAATCAACAACACAAGAACTTATTAGTGGGGTTCCCAATGTCAGTACTCTATGACCAGTGCTCTTTTTGATGTTTGTGAATGACCTACCTGATGTAAATAACACTGGTCCAACAGGACGGGTAACCGCCATATCTCACTTATTAAAACAAAAGGGCAGGGTCTAAGGGTGAAACATATTTCAGATCGAATCTATCACAATTAACGAAACAAAACATGTCATCAACATCCCCTTTTCCTTAAGAACGAAATTATTACTTTAACACTAACTGAAAAGAAACTTGGCACCTTGAGGTGTTGTTAAGTCCTATTAACGTTTAAGCGCACTAGGTGTTCAGAATTAACTCATTATTTCATGCAATTAATTCTTTGAATATCGAAACAAATTTTAACAATTTGAGCATTTATAATCAACATAGTTCAGGAACACGGTAACTGGGTAATAATCACATTAAACGTCAATGTCGCACATAGTCCTTGAAATAAACTGGCTCGCGAATTGTTCTTATCGGTCGCGACGGTCGCATTATACCAGATTCAGCTGTGGGTGCAGTCAGAGTGTCAGATTGTCCAACGTTTGTCTGAATCTTGTTTTCGGACGCAGTTTGCTTAGTACCTGTGTTAACATCGCACAAATCATTCCGACACACATCTTCGCCATTTCAGGACGAATTGCCAGCTTCACTGTCCGATGTGCGGGTTGGCGTGTGATCACGGATTCTCACGTCGACTGTAGTTGGTCGTAGATGTACACGATTTTGTGACGGATTCCCTAGGATTTACCCAATTTGGCGAACTCGCGGGAGGAATATTGCGGACCTCCATCAGATACAATTTCGGACGGGACTCCAAATCTGGCAAACTGTTTCCTTAACACGTTTATGACCTGGTTCGATGTAGCGGACGTCAGATATTCAACTTCGATGAAATTGGAGTAGTAGTCTACGCTAATAAGGTAGTTTCGTCCTTGAATATCGAGTAAGTCAGTTCCAATCTTTTCCCATGGAGTACTTTCGGGATGTTGTTGCAAACTTTCAAGCGGATTACTAGGTTTGAGTTCTTGACACGCTTCACACGAATTGGCCATTTGCTGGATATCCTTGGCCATACCAGGCCAAAATATAGTGTTGCACGCCCTGCGCATCATGCTATCGTACGCGAGATGACCACTGTGTAGTCGGGTTTTCATGTCGGCACTTGAAGATTGCGGTATCACTACAGCTTCACCTTTCACCACAATACCATCTTGATATCCTAACGTGTCACGGATATCCCAGTATGGTTTCCCAACGGCGAGGACACTAGCCTTGTCACTCGGCCATCCACACTAAATCAGTGATATGAGTTCCTGCATTCCTGAATCGTTTTCGGTAGCGACACGGACTTCCTCGAGTTTCTCATCGGGAATGTTACTGTACGCATTCACAGTCATGATTCTCGGTCGCGGTTCATTTTGCAGTAATAAATTCGGCTCTGCTTAACGCATCGGCAATAGTCAGATTCATTCCTTTCACAAATTGGCATTCGAAGTCGTATCGGTTCAAACGCACTCGAATGTTCTGCATTCGTTTTCGTCTTGCTTCGGGCTCAAAACGCTCGAGACCGAAGAATATCGCTAAGGCCTCTTTCTCGATCTGTGCCCAGTTTCGCTCGGACGTAGTTAACGATCGTGATGCAAACTCTACCGGCTGTCCGTCTTGCATCAATACTACACCGATTCCATGTTGACCGCTATCGACCTGAATAACAACTTCCTTGTTGGCGTTGAAATAAGCCAGGACGGGTGCTTTTGTGAGTTTGCGTTTTACTTCCTCAAACGCGATTTGACAGTCTTTAGAGCGGTTTCATTTCACATCTTTGCGAGTTAATGCACGGATCGGTTCAAGAGTGATCG